CGCGTATCATCCCCTGTCCAAATGCCTCACAGCTCTCCAAGTCAGCGGTCTCTTTCTCTCTACCCGGCGACCCCGTCGATCAGCCACGAGCCTTGTGCCCGTTCCTGGGAAAATCCCCGTGTGCCATCTTTTTTTCTTACTTTTTTTCGTTGCTTGCCGTGGCGGGCGCCAAACGCGGGGTGATGGCCCGGGCGTACTTGTGCATCTCGAGTCCCTCCCTCGTACAAGCAAAAAGAGAGGCTCTCGTGAACCATGGACTTTACTGGGCTGGACCATGCTTCGCCGCTCCCAAGATAGAAGACGGCGTAGGACAGGAGACTCAGCCACGCCATCATTCTGGGCAGTAGTAGCACCCACCTTCTTGTTTCTCCTCTAGGGCTGAGGGCATCACGACGGCTTCCCCTAATGAGACTCCCCCGTAGTGGCGGTGAGAGAAGATGGGCATCGCAATTGGAGCAGCTTTCCCCTGGTCCACACCAAAGCTTTGTTTGAGTCCCCGCAGATTAATTGAATCCTCGATCCATGTCCCCGATGGTTACTGTTTTGTTTGGATTCCATACTCTTGTTGGTTTTCTGTAACTGCGACGACCGGTCATGTGGAGAGAGGGGCATCTGCTCAGTGTCACCATGGTAGGGAGGGGCGCCATCATGGCTTCCCCCCTTCTGTTTCACCTCTGAGAGAGGCAATTTGCTTTGTGCTTGGCCCGGTGTATCAATGGGAGGGGGTGATGGCACGACGTCGGGATTTGGGGAAACTGTGCGTCTTTGCTTTGGAACTCGGGAGAGCGCCACGGCGTTTGTTCCTGCGGCGGGCAAAGAAAGTGGCCAATGTCGATTTGCAAGCAACGTGATGATGTTCTAGATGGCTCCCGAGGTTGCTGTTGCGTGTACTCCAGGGTAGGCTGGGATGGATACTTGGGACTACACGGGGAGACATGATGGCACAATGGTGGCTGAAGATGAAAGGTCTGGTATTGGCTTTCCCTGATTTTGGTGTTCTTGCCATCTTGATGGGTGTATTCTTTATTGGAACCACGTCGTCGTGGTCATAAATTACAGTTGATCCCGTCCGACGCTAGGTGTCGTGGTTGATGAGTGCCACGGTTCATCGACGACGTGGAACCAGATGCTTTGCTACCAGTCACTTAAAGAACACGACCCAAACGGGGATACTGCAGACTGACACGGCACGGAGCTGCACTTTAATCATTTCACACTCGGCCACTTGAAAACTTGATAAGAAGCCTTTCATGTCGGTCGTAATCTTGTCGCCGAGCTGGTTGGGCATCAACCCAGGTTGTGTCAATGCCAAGTCTAGGGTAGCTGGGAACGAATCAGGGGCTCTCGTCGTCCCAAACAGGAAGATCTAAATCAACCACGATGGGCTTGTAGAACTGCTTGCCGCCTACGTGCGGATACCGGCTCTTCATGATGGCGGCGTTCACCACACATGTCTCTCGACGACCCATCCTGCCGGTGAGGGCGGCCTGATCGCACCGCGGAGATGACGAATCGCCACCCAGTCCGAGGGTACCGTGGCCAGCTTCGACGTCTGCTCCAAAGGTATATGGAGGACTGTCCGCCGTGGTGATGGGATCTGAGGGAGTCATTGCGTCAACGTTTCCTGCAGTTGACCCAGATCGGCCTGGGTGAGATCCGTCGTTGGCGAGCGAGGGAGCTTTCTTCCCGGTGAGATCTACCAAGCTCGTCTTGTTTCCCTGGCCTGGATCCTGCCAGCGGACGACGCTCTCTTCCTGGTAGGCGACGTTTCGACAGCTCAGGTCCCACGTCACCCGCTCGGCGCCTCTTCCGCTATGGATGTGCCCGCAGACGGCAAGTTGTGGCCTCACGCGCCAGAGGGCCTGCCGCAGAGCCTCGCAGCCGGTAGCTCGACGCTCATCCGTCTCGTCGCAGTGTGTCCGCGGGGGCGTGTGCGTCACGACGATGTCCGTGTCGAGGGGGATGAGCTCCCAGAGTGATGTGAGATCGGACCAGTTACTGTGGTTCTTTGGGGCGTCATAGTAGAATGCCCACAATCCGTGACGTGGAGAGTAGGGAGACCCAAAGATCTTGAATTCAGTGTGTGGTCCAGTGGGTGATCTCAGGCGGATGGTAGCCGATTCGTGATGGAGATATGTTATCGAAGATGAGGCAAATAGCCCGAGGCACTCTTCTGACGACTGAGGGTTGTTGTTGTGAAAGTACATGCCATGTTCGGCGTAAAAGTCCGAGTCCAGCGTGATATCATGATTCCCTTTGCTTGCCGTCAGCCATCATGACCATGATTATCTGGGGTTATCATACCCGCAATGACAATCTTGGCCTCAAAGTCTGCCTTTTCCAACCAGGCTATCGTCTTGGAAAGCTAAATCTTGTGGTCAACCTCATTCTGTCGCTCCAAGTCAAACGCCTCAAGGTCCAAGGGGCGACAAACCTCGGAATAGCTTCCCTGGTTCGTCAAGTCACCCGCATGGATGAGGACATCTCCCTTGGGAAGTTTGACCGTGCAATTATGAGTGTCCGAGATGCAGACGATCCTGGTCCTCCTCCTCCTCGTAGACGATGCCATGACGTTGGTTGAGCCGTTTTATGCAACGTCGTCCCAGAAGGTTGGTTGAGTTTGTGCTAGTTGGCAAGCCAAAAGTATGATGAGCCTCAGTGAAACCAGAAATGTGATGGCGACTGTTGGCCATGCGAGCTGCGGGGTTGTCTTAGACAAGTTCTTTCAGAAAGCGGATGCGAGAGTCATATCGACTGGTTGAGTTGATTGTCATGAATGTAAGGGAGAACTCGGCGTATTTGTTGAAGGGGGTTGGCTGAGGGGTTGGTTCACGTCATTGTCGGGGAGTTGATGAAGGAACTGAGAGCTGATGAAGATGAAGTTTGTATTTTCAAAGTTATGTCGGTACAGAGTAGAGAATCGATCAGACAAGGTGAATCGAGAATGAGATTCGAGTTGAAGAATGAGTCACGTCGTAAGCTGAGCAAGTCCTAGAATGATGACGAGCAGCAATACCAGAGGTGAATCAGTTGTTGGCCAAAAGGGCCGAGGCTGAGCGACCAAGATGGCAGATCTAGATTCAGATTCAGGCATTTATTGAGACCCAAGGGAAGAGAAGGGATGGACTTTTGACGTGCTTAATGAGGAGCAAAAAGAATGCTAGTTTGATGAATGACGGAGGTTGTCACGGCCGTAACCGAGATGTTGGAGAAACAAGTGCCGTGGGATTGTGGGGCTGTTTCATGAGGACAGCACGGTGCGAGGACAGTGTGAAGCTAGCATCAGCGCTAAAACTCCAAAACCTGTGGCGGACAGGTTCTTTCTTTGTTATGGACTTGAGTTTTGGTGAAGGATGAGTCTATCCGCAACTTGATCCTTGAACCGTTGTCGATGATGAAACTGGCCACGTTGAAAGTTTCTTTTGCCTTGTCGTCCTTGTTCACTTGCACCCTGTCTGTCACGTCTGGGAAAAGAGGACTCTTTGCAGAACGATAACCAACCCCCCTGTCAGTATGGACAAGGAACACGACAGGGTCAGAAGCGGCCGGTCCATTCCCAGCGCAACGGGACGGGCTCTGGAGGGAAGCTAATCTCGGCATCGCCTTGTTCAAGTCAAGGAGACGTCGTTCCTCTGGCCATGTCGAGGACGATTGTAATAACGACGCTGGTCGACTTTATGCCACGCTGATTTGCTTCTCCGCCCAGAGGCTAGAAGGAGGAGAGATGGTAGTGTCAACAAGGATACCTTGACGGCGCCAGACACGAAAAAGCAACTAACCTCGGACCAGACGTTCTTGTCTCCCCCAACATCAACAACGTCAAATTTCCCCTCTGACCGTTCGTGTCGTCCTGCCCTTGTCTGTTGACCCTGGCACGGGTCTGTTTCCTTCAGGGGCCGGGACTCTTGTCTTCCACTCACGGCTGGTCTTTATCTGCGCGCCATTCCTCCAGTGCGTCACCAATTGAGCAATCAGAATGAAACAAACGGCGGCGGCAACTAACATGGACGGGCCTAGCGTGCAGAGGGCAGCCTCAGAGGCTGCAGAGTTGCGCCAAGTAAGATTCAGCCGTCGACAAGAGGATGTAATCATCGTACATGAACCGTGGCGTAATCATGACTCCTCATTAGGTGGCCTCCAGCGAGGGGTCGAGGAGAGAAGCTGGCCCGGAAAACCCGTCAACGAGTCCTTCTGTAGACCACATGAACACCAGAAAAGAGATCTAACCATCCTGGTACAAGATGTCTCTCCATCATACAAATTCATATCCCGTCTCAAGCCACCTCTAGGGTCCTGCTGCTCACCCCTGCAAGACTGCCCTCCACTGTATTTCCGGGAGAGCCCACTGGAGCCCGCTGAAATCCTCCTCCGTAGCAGCCCCGGCCACAGCGGATGGGGAGGGTTGCAGGGGCCTGGAGGCACCGGCTTCTAGCGCAGTTCAGGTGCCCGTCACCAGTGGACCGCTAATCCAACACAGTGCGGCTATCCCGACGCGCCCACAGCCAACCAACCCCCCTCGGACGGGACCTCCTGTCTCCCGTCCTGCAGACATCAGTCCGAAAACCCCCCATCCTCATCTCTTTGCAAAGCTCCCTCTCCGAGCCCGACGCGCCTCGATTTTCTAGAGAGCCGTGCCGTGATCTTGACTGACGGCGACATCTCCATCGTCGGCTTTCGAGGTTTACGCCTGTCGTTTGTTCCGAGAAGCGGCCTTTGTTCTTTTCTAGTCGCCTCTTTTCACGATCCCCTCCCTCCCCTTTATCGTCGGCTCCGACTTGTCGCGCACCTTTGACCCGCCACGAACCGTCTCTCTTTGTCCGACTGCGAATATTCCGTTTTACTAGTGACTAGCTTGAGTTACTACCTATATATCCCGACACCGACTTCTCGTATACGATCGCGCATTCTCTCGCCGCACTCACCTCTCGCCTCTCGCTCCCACGGCGCCGCCAGATCCTCTACTCATTCAGGGGGTTGCGGGCGCCATCGATATGGCCACAATGGCACCCGCCCCGACTTCGACCGAAAACATTACTCCGCCGCGCAGCAGTCATGGCTATACGGACTCGTGGGGATATGCTCATCCCCAGAAGGAGGTACGAAACCTTTCCGTCCTGCAGGAGGTGTCGACGTCACGGGACATCTGCATGTGGTGCAGTACTGACCGCTCGCTAGGACCTGGACGACGATATGAATGCCACCACGAACCACGACTACACGCATAAAAATCACTACTCTAATCAAAACGGCAACTCGAACGTACCATCCTACCACTCTGCCATGGACCGACCTAGTCGCAAGAGGAACTCACATGATAACCTCTCGAGCGTCAAGGTACGCAACTCGGTTGACGGGACACACTACGGTAGCGAACCCAAGACGAGCCCAACTCTAGATGACGGCTCTTGGGCAACCTACGGACCTCACTTGAATGGTGATGAGTATAGCCGAAACGCCGTGCCCTTGGAAAATGCCGTCGTCCCCGACGAAGAAGAATCCAAGTGGATTCACCGAGACAAGTTGGCAAAAATCGAGAGCGAAGAGCTTCAAGCTGCAGGCTTCTTTGTCCCCAGAACGCGCAACCATAGCAAGCAGAGACGAGATAGGAGCCGCAGTGCTATGCGCCGAGGCACCGACGCGTCCGAACAGAGCCACGCCCCCAGGTCTCGCAAGAATTCGACCGCTGTCGAATCACGAAACGCCGAGCCAGTGGTGGAGAGCTGGGATCTGCGAACTCCCGAAGAGATCCGTGAAGAGGAAGCCAATGCTTACTTCACTTCAAACAACCACAAGGGAGGCTCTCGCATTCCGGTTGCAAAGGTTAGTCCAGTGCCTATTGTTGTCGACTGTTTTGAGCGAGGATCCATTGTTTCGAGGAAGACGAGCGAGAGCCCCGATGGAGAAGAATCATCTTTAACAAATGAAAAGACTCGACCTGGAAGCGCACACATGAAAGGGCCCGACACCATGTCGCTCAACGGAAGCACCACCTTGGCTGCGCCGAAGCGCTCCGCTACCGATACGTCTCCGAAGAAGCCTGCGCCAGGCGTCCGGAAGACGTCAGGGCCGGGCAAGACGACGACCACGACGGGTAGACCAAAGACGCGCTCTGGGTCTATCGGCGGGAGCATCTCGACTCGACCCTCTACTAGATCCGGAGAATTGTCTCCAGGAAACAAGGCCCCCGAGGGCGACCCCCCATGGATGATCAACTCTTACAAGCCTGATCCTCGACTGCCTCCAGACCAGCAGCTGCTCCCGACCGTCGCAAGACGTCTACAGCAGGAGAAGTGGGAGAAGGAGGGCAAGTTTGGCGATGTCTACGATAAGGACTTCCGGCCGCTCAACGATCACGCCCTCCTGAGGCCCACAGAGCCCGCCCAGACCGAGAAAGTCGAAGAGGATAAGGACAAGGAGAAGTCGCCAACAGAAGATGAATGGCCGCTCAAGCTCGAGCCGACAAAGAGTCCGACTCAACGCCCAGGCGGATACTCTACCATGCCCAAGATCTCGGACAAGCATCACAGCCCACTGCCGAGCCCAAGGACGCCAGTCACACCACATGCACCACAAGAGGAACCGAAGCCTCAACCAGCTTCCCAAGCTCCAGCGCAACAACCACCACCACCTGCTGACGACGACAAGGGTGGCTGCGGATGCTGTGTGGTGATGTAGAGTCCCTTTAGCCGTTCCTTTCTGTCAACTGCGCGATCCAGAGAAAAAAGACCGACACCGACCCAATGTGTCCCGACGACACTTTACGACGAAACGAATTTCCTTGCCAATTACCTAGTTTTCTGCTTGCATTCAGCCCTTGTGTTAGTTTACCGTACCATACCAAGCCAGCCGCCTGCTTAGCGACGCAACTGCCATTCCCTTCCCTTTGTTATACCGTGTTAGCGATTTCTTTCATATACCTGGACGGGATGCTACCAACCACTTGTCGCCGTGATGCAACCTCATCGCGAGAAGAAGAGAAGATATAGTCACTGGCCTGACCTGGATGCTCGACGACGACGAGTGGTGTTGGTTCCCGGCCTGCAGACGGGATTCTGATTCCTGCTTTGGGCGTCCCACATTCTCATGTATTTAATTATCGGAGTTGGCGCTTCATTTTTATTTGTCCTTTTTTATACAGTTGGTTGCGGTTTTTGCTTTATACTTTTTTGAGGTGTCTCTCTTCCCGTTGCACTTTGTGAAGGGAGGAGAAAAAGACAGGAGAAGGGGAATGATAAAATGGGGATGGATATTAGGTGTAGTTGGTTGAACTGGAGTGAAAGTCGCAGCGATTCTAGGTTGGATGACCTTGAGTCGAGGCCAGCGGTGACAGCTCTCTTGAAGGGAGAGGAGAGGTGGAGGGGCTTTCTATCAGCACTCTTGGAGATTGGAGATGATGGGTGTGGGATGAATAACAAGACTTTAAGATGTTTGCTGCCGTGTCGAGCTGTGAATCTGCTGATGTGACATGCTTTCAATGTGTCCAAATGCGGCTGTGATATAAACGATGGGGACCTCAGCTTCGAACTCAAACGTATTTATCAGGCCATCTACGTGAACGACATTTCAAGTTGTTCGGCTGCGTCTGTGCAAATGATCATGAAGTTTACACGAAATCCAACAGCCACACATCAAAATCCGGCACCGCAATCTTGGAGTTTCGGGTCTTTCTGCACGAACTCTCTCCACAACGTCATCATTACACACTAAAAAACCCGCCGAATCGCGATCCAAGTTTCGGCAGATCGGCACACAATGTGGTTGCGCGTATTCTTTTCAAAAAGTTTACGACCAAGGCGGCAGAGCTTTTTATGCAACGGATAGAACGGAATGAGAATGTGCTGCGAAAGTAATCAGCTGGTGTTTTTTGAGGTGGAGTTGGCGGTGCGTTTGCATCATCGATTGGGATGTGACGTGGAGGACATGTGAAGATGGGCATTTATATAGAGGTCTGATCTCGGCGTGAGTGAAGGGCATTGAGTAGTTATCGTATCTATTCAAGATAATACACAATGGTTGTTCAACACGGAGACGCCCACAATATCCCCAAGGAGCACCGGGTTCACAAGTAAGTCTCCCATGAGTCTCCAACATAATCATCACCACTGACACCCTCAGACCCGGTGCCTGGCTTCCAGCCGACCACCGCGTGCATCGCGAATACGTCCGTCGCGTAAGCAAACACGCCGACGAGAACCCCAAAGACCTGGTCCCAGTCCTCCAAGAATTCAAGGACTTTATCGAAAAGACGCCCCGCGTGTACATGTACTTTGTACAAATGTTTGAAGAGATTCCTCAGAAGCACCCTTACTGCAATGATCCGACGGGCACCCCGCAGATTAGGGATTATGAGCACATGTTGCAGGTGTTGAATCATATTCTTACGAGGGCGCCTGAGTGGACGGATGCTGCGGAGAGTGTGGGCATGGTGGGTGTTCCGATGAATGCTATTTTTGACTATCCCATGGGAACGCCGAGGTGAGTTGACGTGAACTTGAAGATGGGTTTGACTGATGAAGTTAGTGGGTATGCTGCTTTCTTGGATCCTGATGTGAATCGGATGATCAAGAAGGTTCTCAACGAATGGGGCAAGTTCCTCCAGGTAAGGTTAACCACCTTGTTCTTGAGTAGAGTTGAGCTGACATTTCAAGACTCCTGAATCGGCTGAAGTCCTGGGAAACCACAAGCTGGGCTGGTTCGGCGAGACTGGTCTAGGCGATCTCGTCGAGGTCGCCAACGCACCCAAAAAGTCCAACCTCAAGTTTGAAGAAATGTTTGAGTGTGATCCCTCTGCTACACACTATGGCTTCAAATCCTGGGACGGTAAGTGGACAAACTCACTTTAACGATGTTTTACTCACAAGATGTTAGACTTCTTTACTCGCAAGGTTCGTGATTCGGCTCGTCCGGTCGCGTCTCCCGAGAATGACCTCGTCGTTGCGAATTGCTGCGAGTCTCGCGTGTACAACATTGAGCGAGATGTCAAGCTTCGTGATCGCTTCTTTGCCAAGGGTCAACCTTATTCAATCCTCGACATGCTCGCCCATGATCCCTTGGCCGAGAAGTTTGCAGGAGGCACTATTTACCAGGCGTTTCTCTCAGCGCTGTCCTATCATCGCTGGCACTCGCCGGTGTCGGGAACGGTACGTCGAGCCTTTGTTCAAGAGGGTACGTACTTTAGCGAGCCACTGTTCGAAGGCGTCGGCGAGCCCGGCCAAACCGAGATTTCGTTGGCGGGATTGTCGCAATCGCAAGGATACCTGAGTGCCCTGGCTACGAGGGCAATTATCCTGATCGAGGCGGATGAGCCGGCGATTGGGCTGCTTGCATTCATCGGTATCGGCATGGATGAGGTGAGCACGTGTGAGATCACGGTCAAGGAGGGACAAAAGATCAAGAAGGGTCAAGAGACGGGCATGTTTCATTTCGGCGGGTCTACGCATTGTGTGATCTTCAGAAAGGGCGTCAAGCTTGAAGGATTCCCCGAGGTTGGGAAGAAGGAGAATGTGCCTGTCCGTAGCCAGTTGGCGGTTGTCAAGAAGTGAGCTTATCGCTGAATGGACGGGGCAACTATGTTGGGTAGTATTATGCCACAGCTACATGGAACAAATCGAGAGATCGTACAAGTCATTCAATTAATCGTCGTTTCACTTATTTCTTCGCATCGTCCTTCATGCCAGCCTGGATCCAAGCTTTCGAAGCAGCAGCCTTGGCCTCAATCTCCTCCTCGGTCAACTTGTTGGTCTCAAACGCAGTGTGAGGCGTAGGCACATGGCGACCAGCTTCAAATCCAGGACGCTCTAGGAGCTTGTAAAGCCACTTCTCAAGGTGAGGGAACTCGGAGAGGTCTACACCAGCCCATTCTGTGAGTTGCGTTAGTGACTGTTCAATATGCGAGAGTTGAGAGGGTGACTTACTGGCACTTGAGACCCAGCCCCAGCAGGAAATGTCGGCGATAGTTACCTTGTCGCCGACAATATAGCCTGACGACGACTTTTCAAGGTGCGTGTCAAGGGTGCGGTACAGGCGGCGTGTCTCGTTGACGTAGCGGTTGATGCCGTACTCAATCTTTTCCGGAGCGTATCCTAGGGAGGGTTAGAAGAGGTGATTAATGGAGATTAAATGCACGCACGCTTGAAGTGGTTTGCCTGTCCTTGCATGGGACCCAGACCACCCATCTGCCACATGAGCTGCGATTTGTTAGTATCAGATCGTTGATGGACTGATTGGTAATGTGAGAACTCACCCAGCTTGTGGTCTCCCAGTGCTCACGAGATCCATAAGGATAAGAAACCTTGTGATCCTTATCATAGCGATCAACAAGATACTGCAGAATGGCGCCCGACTCAAAAACGCGAATCTTTTCACCGTTGAGGGTATCGGTCATGGCGGGGATGCGACCATTGGGGTTAATCTCGAGAAACCAAGGTTCCTTCTGCTCGTTCTCGCTCATCTTGATGGGGTACACCTTATAATCAAGGCCAAGCTCCTCAAGCAGGATGGAAGCCTTGATGCCATTGGGTGTACCAACGGTGTAGAGGGTGATGTCTGTCTTTGTCTTGGAAGCCATGTTGAAGAGTTGTTTACCGAGCAGAGCGATGCGTGAGGTCATTGAGTTGTGAACGGCAGTGAATGGGTGTGTACGGGCTGCTTTATATGTAGACCACACACCCATTGTGAGTGAGGGGTTGCTCCCCTTCCCGAGATACGATTATTCATTCATTTTTGGATCCGGCTTAGAAATCCGATAGGAGCCCACATTCTGCTCTTTCCAGGTTCGGATTCGGAGGAATACCTGTGTACAGGCTCGTTTGCTGCCGATGGCGCCATCTTAGTAATGACGTTCCGAAATCTCCTTGTGGACCGGAGGATTTGGGGCCGAGGATCCGTGGGATATCCGACTACCTCCGGGATGTCGATTATTCCTTTTACAACGTCTATTGTTGTTCATCTGGGCATTTCTGAATTACTCAGCTTCTTTTCTTTATCTTTGGCGCATGCCTTTGTTTCGGCGTTAATGAGATTCTTTGCTTGGATGGCCATGGTTGGACAGGCTTGGCTGCTCCGTGGGTAGATGACGGAATGTCGGGACGGAATGTCGGAGCACAGTAACTTCGATCTTTAAGCCGTAGAGAAGGCTCGATCTTTGGGCATTGATGCTCCGTAGTTGTATGAAGCTCGGGGATTGAACTTTGATCGATGTTGAACGAGGGAAAGCTGATCAAAGCGGGCCTGGTCTGAATGAGGTGATCCTCTGCATGAACGGTCTTGTCAATGGTTGTGGGATCGGAGAGTCCCTTTTAACTGACAATGTGTGTTCTATCTAGTAAAATTAGGACGCCGCAGATGCGTGTCTTCCTGCATAGTCCAATGCTCTTCTACAAAGGTCTAATGAAGCTGTCAGCACCTTGATTCGACCTGCCAGCACTTAGGGGGACGCAGCAGGGAACAACCTGCCTGTGATTGCAACACGGCGAAATTTGGTATCTATTCAAATTAAATAAATGGTAGTCACATGCCTTGTACAAGACTGTAGAACGTGAACTGTTGCGCCCCTGTTGGCTCGCTGGAAGATGTCGGCCATCTATTGCCGACCTCCGGAGACCAACGACACTGCTTGGATTTGGGTTGGAAATGACCATATGCCAAAAAAGTTTCGCGCCGATTCGCTTTTGATATTTTCTAGTACCCAAAAATAAGGTTGGTGAAATGCCAGCTCTTGCATACGTTCACGATGTGCCCTCGTAAACAAGGGCGTCATGTGTTGCGTTCACATTGAGGCGTGCACCTGCCATCACGCTGTGTTTCCTGGGGAATATTGCAGGCCAAAAGTCAGTAAACCCAAACTATAGGAGGCTGGTTATCAGGTCTTCTTGCTGTCTGAAGGATCCTGAGCGTATTTGGCCGTTGAGTTTCTTTGGAGACGTTTGTGACCTCAGGGTAAAGTTGCATCTGGCCGATTTCCAAAAAACTAAAACAACCTGTTTGGCCTGATCAGGCGATAATAGATGAGAAACTGTGATTCAATGTCGGGCCGTGAAAAATGTTTATTAAGGAGTAATACATCTCGTCCAGATTCTTTTTCTTCCTTCCACTTACCACTTCCATCGAGGAACCACACTCATTACTGATCCCCTAATAACAACTGGGTTTCGATTAGGCTGCCTACTTCTACACATATGATCCTTTTTGTATCAGTTTTATACTGCCACTTAACTGTCATTATATACAGTACCCGAAATGACCCGTATGGGACTGGATGAATTAGCCCCAGAGCTGATCGAGCTCATCGTGGAAAACGCCTTCGAAGTTAACAAAAAGAATGTGGAAAGGGGCTACGACTTCCCCGCGATCATCGAGTTTCATTTTTTATCCAACAGAAACGACCTACTCGAACGCTTTCAGGTCTGGCGGGACCTTCTCAGCCTGGCCGCCACCTGCAAATACCTGCGTCGCGTCGTCACCCCCCTGGTTTACTACCGCGACATTCAAGACAACTACACCTCTTCATTGCTCATCTCAGCTAAGAGGAACAATATCGCTGGTATTTCCATGGCTTTAAGCCATGGTGCGGACCCTCATATCGGAGATCGAACAACCGCCGTCTCGTGGACTTTTAAACATCTCGGCTGGAAGCACTGGTACGTCCTCAATCTCGAGGAACAAGCCACACCCCTTCACTGGGCAGCTCTAAACGGCCATATTGAGGCGATGAAGTTGCTTCTTGAGCATAAAGACGCCGATATCAATCACCGCGTGAGAATTGACACAAGCGTTGCGAGATATAGGAGCATTGGTTGCAGAGGACGCGCAGACAAGTTTTTGGAGGTTTTCCCCTTCCCAGACAAGCCTGTCCAAGAGGTCACGGCTTACATACGCCATGGCCTATGGGGAGTGGATGACTCCATCTGTTACGATACGATTGAAAAGGGGGCAAATCCTCTTTACTTCGCTCTCCTGGCCGGGAACGTCGAAATGTCGGCGTTCCTTATCAAAGCAGGTTCTTCCTTGCAGACCCATCTGGGCACAGGCACCACTGCCTTGCACCAAGCTTGTCAGAGGGGAAGCATCGAACTGGTGCGGCTTGTTCTTGACCACGTTAGCCCCAGCATCGAGGACGCCATGGGGAACACACCCGTTCACTACCTACCCGATGATGCGCCCGACAGAGACATCATCATCGACTTTCTCTTGGCGAAAGGCGGAGATGCATTCGCAATCGGGCTGAAACACAAGAAAGTGGAGCGTGTCCAATTGCGTCACTTCTTTCAACGGAACCTACGTGTGAACACTTGGTTTCACACTAGATTCTACGGAGAGGAGCCTCGTGATGACCTGCTTGTCCTGAATGATTGGCAGTGGGAGACGGTCTGGAGGCTGGAAAATGGGAATATGACTGTGAAACCGCTAATTCTATGTGGTGGTCTCGTCCAAGAAGGACAGGATGAGGAGTTTGTTGAAGAAGAAGAAGGTGATGCGCGAGTGGGACGAAGAATCCAATTGATCATCACGACATAGACGCTCGAGTTCAATCTAGACGCCGGAGGACGGCCTTGGGACGATGATGCTATGAACGGCTTGCGGTATCTTGTTTGTTGGACTTTGTACTTCTAGCACTTTGACTTTGTATGATACCCCATCGCTCCGGATATTTGCAATCGACGTTGTCTCAATCGAGCCTCCTGGTTGAGATGCTTGGTGCACATCCCTTTGGAGCCTTTTGCTTCCGAGTTTTACACCCTCGACTTCTCCTACGCCTTGCCACTGCTGCCACAAATATCCATCCACCTCTCGACTTCCTCCTGCAAAATCGTAATCCCCTCGTCCGTCCGCTGCATAAAAGACTTATCAGCATTCTCCCTCAGATGCACATGCCACACCTCCAACAGCAACTTGTTGACGTTGAGCTTGACGGCACCGGCGTCGATACACTGCTTCATGATGTCGGCGCTAAAGTCGTTTGTCCCGTGGAGGGCCATCAAGGCGCGGCTGCGGATTTGCTTGTCGATTGAGGAGAGGCGGGTGAGGTCTAACTTGGGTCCTTCGGGAGGGTAGTCACCGTGGATGTTTCCGACGCTTGGGGCGAGGATGTCGATGCCTGCTTTTAGGAAGTCTTCTACTTCTTCGGGGGTTGTGAAGAGGGCTGTTGTTCATGGTTAATATGGGATTTTAATTGAGGGGATTAAGCTTGCCTTCGAGGTCACCGGTGCCAGCGATGCCATCTTCGCCGCCGTTAATACGACCGCTCTCTGCTTCAACTGCTATACCGTGCTCGTGGCACAGCTTTGTGAGAGTAGCGGTTTTGGCAAGGTTCTCTTCGTGGTCGTAATGGCTCATATCAACCATGATAGAGTCAAATGGAAGACTAGACACGGCTTTCTCAATCTGCGACACGTCTTGCGCATGATCTAGATGAAGCGAAAGAGGCACAGTGGCAGATTTGATGGCAGCAGATGCGGCCCAAGCCATAGTTGGAAGTTGCTCCAATGTTGACGGGAATAAGAGCAGAATTAATGGAGAGCGCTTGGCCTCGGCAGCTCTGACCAGAGCTGTGAGATGTTCGACGTTGTAGCTGTCATCCGATGAGCATGGGTTTGATGAAGAGGAGCGGGACGACTCACCAGATGGCTGCCAAGACTCCATACTTGCCTTTGACGGCATTCTCCAAGATCTGGAGCGTGCGATTCGACTCTTTTAGGGTTGCAGTTGACGCCATGTTTGAAGCGATGTCAGGCTAGATTCTGGGATGTTGGATTTAAGCTGTGACTTGTGAGGGACATCGCATCGTGGGGTGATGCTGTCGAGATCTCAAGCGGGGCTCTCCGCTAAGCTCAAGATTGGCTATCGTGATGGTCAACCTGATGACCAACCAATAAGTCATGGTTCAAGCTTGACTTGGGACCAAATCTCCACCAAACTCTTTATCAATGGGGGCAACTCTGAGATGCCTCAAGAACGAAGTTGGAAAGCTTCTCAGTCCTTCGCCTGGGCTCTGTAAATGACATGGAGATGAGAATGAGCAAAGACCACAGACATCGTGGGCCTGCAGTAGTTTGAGTCTATATACGTTCAGCATTTACTTTCTTTTTTGGTCCTTCATTCTTGCGCGCTCGCTCTGGCTCTTTCGATGCAGCACCTGCCTCAACAGGAGTAGTTGATTGAGCTTTCATGGGCACGCTTGAGGCGTCAGGCTGCTCATCGTCAAGGTTCGGTGCAGGATCACCCTCCGCGTCGTCGGTCAATTCCCCTCCGTAGACATCTGGGTACTTTTTGAAGCACTCTTGCATTACTCTGGCGCCGCATCAGTCGCTGAAACGTACACGTGCATGTTTTGGGGGTCGATGTACTTGAAGTGTTCGATACAGTTCATTCCTTTGGGCTCATCGGTGGAGAGCATGAAACAGCTGAATGAGCTCTTGAACTCTTCTCCGCATGGACCGTGGGCCATTCCACCAAGGCAAGAGCAGTCCCAATTGAACTCCCCCGTCTCCGGGTTGAAGGCACCCTGCTGACTTTTATCCTCTGGGTTGGCAGCGTCATTGGTAGCTATGCCACTCTGGGCGCCCGATTGGGGCTCGGGGTTCTTGGCCGATTCGGGGTCATTCTCATGTGTTGTCTCAGTATTGGCATTTATCTGTCTTTGCTTCTCGGCAATGAGGTCTTTGGAAGGGTTGTCGTCGGAGCGGGTAGGAGTCGGTATCGTTTGTGCTATCCAAAAGTCAACGATGGCTCCATCAGCCTACACCACCTGCCAGCACATACCGGTAGCCTCTGCAAATACAGGGCTGGTATTGAAGTAGTAGAATGCGCCAACAGCAAGACTAAGCTGCACTGCTGAGCTCTTCCATGATCGGGTGGGCCTCCGCCGAGCTGCTGTCGATGTGAATCGTTGAAGGGCGATGGAGCGTAAGTTCGTAACTGCAGGGCGCGAAGCCGAACGCAAGGTCTTTAGATACATTTTGGGATGAGATGGATTGAAACTGTACCGAACAAGGTCATGGGCAGCCAGCGAGGCAAAATACGATTGCCAGGTTGGTGAAATAGCTGCCCTCGGACTAGGACGGGGTGATCGGAACTGCCGGCCCCGATATTTCGGACCAAAAGGAAGATGCAGCCGCTAGATTCGGCCGAAGAGCTCCGTAAAGGGTCACCCTGGACATGACCCTGCTCCCTGAGACGCCCCGACTCATGTCTCCGAGGGAGCATGGATTTGTTTTGGGGACCAATCGGCGAACTTGGAAGAGGAAAAGCCTCCTCTTGCAACATGGTGTTCCCAAGGAGGCGGTTTATGATTGCCCATATTCCGGACTAGTAAAAGAAGCAATACTGGGATATAACATTTTTCGTATTCTACCATGATGCAGTGCATCTGACGCTAACCATGCTTAATTCAGACTCTTATACACACACCTCGCTGCTTTGAGAACCCACCAGCCTGTAGATTTCAACATGTAACAAAGGACCCTGTATGCCATCAAGATCACCTTGTTCAGAAGGTACACACCACCAATAACACCCACAGTGCCCAGAACAAACCAAAGCAACGGCTTGTTCGCGAGCCACTTTAGTACACGGGCATCTGTTCTGTACCAAGTGGCTGTTTGGAGGTCTGTGATGTAGGGTTTGAGATTGGTCGAGCTGATGATCTGCACTGTGGGTGATGGGAGTGATGGTTCTCCGTATAGATAGGCCGCTGTAGCGAGAGAGATGAAGAGCGGTCCTGTTGAGAACATGATTGCAGCGTAAGGTAGAAGCCATGCCCAGAATCGCGTTATGCGGTGATGGAACGGCAGTCGAGTAATAGCTGATGCAAAGGCAGGGTGCCTTGCGGATGAAATCATTATATCGTTGGTGATACCGGTAGGCAAAGTGGCCTGGAAGAGGGAATTATGCTTCAGCTCGGTTTCGATTTGGTCGAGCGGGAAGGGCTGGTGGCAGACAGTGTCCATGTCAAGGTAAATGCCGCCATAGTGATGGAGAACAAAGTAGCGTATGGCATCGGCACGTTGAATAGGAAAAGGGTAGGTGTCCCAGGTTTCCACAAACCAAGGGTATTCGGACGACAGAAACTCGCGAGCTAGCTCGTCGGTCCAACGCTGGAATTCAAGTTAGAAGCTGGTCTATTTTCACAGGGGGTGTTGTCAAACGTACCTTGTACTCAAAGTCTGAGTACGCTTTGAGACAACTCTGTTGCGACTTGGCCCACATCTCTGGGATCGTCTCGTTCTTGCATGTCTGGTGCAGAATTCGTGGGATCTGCCTTGACGAATGACCGTGCTTTGGTTGATCCTGGAGAGTCACATTGACGTGGGCACTAAACATCTCTTTGTTGTGACGTAGCAGGGAGAAGAGATCTCGTAGGGCGTAGAGCAAGAGACCAAAGAGTGCCAAGTCCACTAGAATGAGGCATATCGTGGTTGGTCCCGGTTTTGTAAATCTTGGACGCTTGGCTGGCCACTGTCCAAGACATCCACGTTCTGGTTCTTGGAGTTGGCTTTCTTGGTCTTCTAGTTTTTGATAGCCGGCAAGGCGGCGGAAGCAAGATAGCATTGTGGCTTGTCGATCACGATGAAGAAGTATGGTGGTTTAAGTGCCCGTGGTGCAACAAAGTGTGCAAGCTAAAGGTTATATACAATTACTTATCATGAAGCTTTAGTCCGACGGACAACCACGAAATTACTCTGCCCCTGATCCCTAATGATTTTCGTATCCCTCCTTCGTCCAAAAGTTCCTAGGGATTCTGCAGGCTAGAAGGACCGCAGAGAGGCTCGACAGTGGCTAGTGTCTGGCCGTGATGGAGGCATTTCCGCCCATCTGGTACACGAGACGCGTCAACTGAGGCGGTGATGGACTCAAACTTAAGCGATGGAGAGTTAATACGAATATGGTTGGTCATTCAGCGAAAAAGGGTGTCTGTGCCTCTCGCAATGCATGCCGAAACCCGCGGCCCCATGGATAGATTTGGCATTTCCTCTCCCAAAAGACGGTTGGGGACCGCTTGATTTAATGCTTCTGCCTAGAAAGAGTACGCACGCGTCTATGCTCCTGGAGGATCAAATATTGACGATCGAGACTTTCGGGCTGAAGTGTGGGATGTTGAGAGGCATTACAAATTAGCCTCGTGGGATAATGATTGGCTGCATCGTCAAAGTGTGTGGACACTTGCTATATTTAGTTACCTTCCCGTTACTGGATCCACTGACAGGAAAAGCTTGACCAATTGTAGCTAGTTTTTCCACCTTGTGCTGCATCTCGACTCTTACAGTTACTCCGTACCTTACTCCGTACCTTACTCCATAGGAAGTTGTTGTTATCTCAAAGATTCAACCGGTCAAACTTGATTCATCTTTTGTTAATGGAGGGTAGAGTACGTAATTATGCTTTGGTCACTTGCGTGGCCTCGAGGTGGGAGTGACAGATTTGACTCGGTCTGCTAACTATAGGTAGTTAGCTTTTCCACCTTGTCTGCAGAACCTTCCTACTTCTCCTCCTTGAGCTTGGATGCAGCATCACTTGATCATCAACAGGGATATATTCCATTTCGGCACATCGCCGAGATTTGTTCCGCATGTCTCGCTCGCGCGGAGGTTGCTTGAATTGTCGACAGCGCCGAAGAAAATGTGACCAACAACGCCCGTCTTGTGTAGCATGCAACCGTCAACACGTCCAATGTTCGGGCTACTCGACTGAATACCGTTGGATAAACCATGCTGTCGTGCCAAACGGTCCTCAATATGCTGGGCGTACTGCGGTGTACGACTACAGTCACGCACCTTGCAACCTTCAGCCGAGTGTCACTTTGACTGCGCCTCCACCAACTTACGATTCTCGAATAACGCAGCCTCTGTTTAGGAATTGTAGGCAGCAAGATAACCCGCCCCATTCGTTTTATTGAGCCAAACTAATTTGTGTGGCAGTCCTTCAATCTGGGCTGAGGCTGTTCTACAAGACCCAATCTAACACATGGATTCAGCCCTTCCTTGTCGACATGTCGCTGGAGAGCCAGTCCATTCCCATCATGGGTGCTGCTCTCCAGTCCCTCATCTCAAACGGAGATGATAGCATCCCTATAACGGCTATGGAGTGTCTTGATATTGCTCTCAAGACGTTTCGTCTTGAGATAGTATCAGGTGGTGCACTTCTATCTCCTGGTACAATGTGTGCTGGAGTTTTTCTCTGTGCTATCTACGCCAGTCCCCTCTGTTCTATCATACCTATGAACCAAAGTAATGGCTAACTGGACTTCACACAGCTTCTTCAGGCGCAACCGTACACGCCGTATCTTCGAATGATGGCTGATGTTTATCAGCTGACCAATCCAACAATGACACTCGTCCCAAGCCCAGAGAAGGACCCCGCTCTTGAACATGCCCTCGAGTACATGGCCGTCGTGGATCTACCTTGCCTCGTTCTGGGTAGAATATGCCCCTCAATAGGTCTTTGGAGACGCTTCCGCCAAGCTCAAGATGACTGGGAGGGTGGAAGAAAAATGAGCGTCGAGACTTTTACGGGAGTCCATGGAGGGCTGCTGGACATATATGGTGACATGATGCATGATGAAGCGAGTGTTTCGGTCGCTCGTCTATGGGGATGGTCTTCTGGTGAGACCAGCAACTCCATACAGCACCATTTCTGGGATGCTTGGAGGTTTGCTGGTATCGTTGATGCTCGCCGACGGGTCCGCTGCCAAAGAGCTCCTGGAAGTTGGACAACAGGAGGCGAGACGGCGAATATCCCTGAAAACGACCTGGTACTGGGAAGATTGATCGCTGCCATCCAGGCAGTCTATGCTTATTCACGATTACCACAGAACCAAGGCCTCCTAGTAATCAACGGCCTCCTCTTCCCCCTTGTCGTGGCCAGCCTAGAAGTCACATGCCTCAAACAGCACCCGGAGTCGAAAAGAACGGTGGATGACGTGAGGCAAAGTTTTGAACAAGGGCGTACATTTCCTCTTTCCAAGGTCATGTTTCAATTACTTGATGAGGCTTGGGAAGATGGATCGAATTGCTTTGACATGGATCATGCAGCTCGATGTAAAGGCGTGGAACTGGCTATCATGTAGAGAACTTTGCTACTGTTTGTGAGTAGTATCATTTAATACATCTCACCATTGTGTCTCTGGGGGGGAGTTGAAGGACCGACTTGTACATCATGGTGAAGTTTTTACGTAATGCCCTATACAACTCGATGTCTTGTTTGAATTCTTGGAGCAAATGTTGCTACCGCCCAAATAGATATAGTGATCTGAAAGGAAGGTCCATGTTTCGGTCGTCGGACTACGCCGAGCGGTGTCATTCGTGGCAAAACCTTAGCTGCAGATGGCTAGACATGCCATCACCAAAGTGTGGGTTGGCGGATGGACTTTAAAGACCCACGGACTTAAGCCAGTGGCCCCAGGAAAACTCATTTGATTCGTAATAGAGGAGCCAGATGGGGTCCGTTTTCGCCAAGTTGTATATGCTGCATCATCCCACGCATAATAACACGAGACAGACTTGTCTCGAGGAGACCCAATACAGTTCTGATTTATAAGCCCCTGACGTCAATGGCCAAGTATATTCCCATAAGGTTGATGTATAAGTATTTGGTGTCTCTTTCTCTTGGCGGACTGTTTCCAAAAGTTGTACACCTGAAGAACAGTCCCGCTTTCATTCGACATCAGAGGCATCTCAGCACCATGACCACCCCTTATAGAATCCACATCGCACCGAATAGCACGGGATTATGGAACATCAAACAGAGTGAAGAGGCCGCTAAGACTGCGACCGAGACTTTGCAAAAGGATCTGGAGGTGCGGCAACAGAACCACTTGGGAATCGAAATGCTAATTCCGGAAAGAATCACCACGTATTCCTGAACAATGTCGGGTTTCATGACCATGTGAGCCTAGCTATCCAACGTAATGAACTGGAAATTTGCTTACAAGTCAACATAGATGCCGCATCATTTGCTAGCCCTGTATGGAACAGGTGCAAGTGTCGCCGACATCCAAAAGGCACATGACCTGCGTCACCCATTGCAACGCCCAGTTGTCTCTCAGCATCAAGACGCCGTAAAGGACCTCATAACCCATTGGGATCACGATTCTGAATATCTGGGAAAAGAGGAGTATTACCTAGACTTTCTCGCCTACTTCCAACGAGTCATCGAGCGCGATGGGTACGAGTCGGTTGTCAAGTCTCACCTCTTGAAAGGTGACGACTCGGCTAATGACATCCTTCTCCGCCTGCACGCCGGTGTTGTGCATCCTTTGATCCAGCTGATGTACGGTCTTGAGTGGAAACAGCCTGCAATCGCCGCCCAGGCCTTTGCTCAGACTTGTGTCCATAATGTCGAGGGGTTAGACCAGCTGCTTCTCGCCAGCGAGCAGCAGGCAAATACCATTCCAAGGTCCACAAAGATGCCCTCGTTACTTTCAATGTACGAAAAGGTCAAGGCAGATCCTCAGCTGGCGGGCTCAGTCCGGATGGAGGATGAGAGTAAGATCGAAGATGGTATCATCCAAAGAGCCAGGGAGCCGATGATCGCCATCCTGGAACAAGTACACGTGGAACCCGAAGAATTGGACGAGAGGATAGCAGAGATGTTTCACGCCATGATCCTTGTGGCGTCGAGCGCCGCGATTCATCCTCCTCATCATGTCAAATACGACTTTTTCTTCATGTGAGTACATCACTACACATGATTGGGTCAGGAGGGCAGCTAACTGACGGGGTCTTAGGCATCACGTCAACTCCGCTTTGATGTACCTAACCATCAACTCTCAGCCGTGGCTGTCTACTGCAGACAAGGTTCGCTTGTTGGAGTGGAAGATTCGGCTCGATCTTGTGCAGTATGCCGCTCGGGGCTGTCCTGCTATTTCTTTGGAAAGCATTGAGTCTTATGTCCCCAAGCAGCCGTCTGAGGAATCTGTTAGAGGTGAGTACAACTTGATGGGATATTCCAACCTGCCCTGTATTGCGTGCGGTGGCACTCTATGTATCTGACTCGCCATCTTAGAAATTGGCAAGAGGCTCTACGACTTTGGGGATGACGGCCATGCAATCAAACAAGCACGCGCTACGGCTATTTGCCACGAGCTGATGGTAGAGTACAAGGACAAGTCCTGGGAAGTCTTGAAGGACGAGTCAACTTGGAAGAAGATTCAACATATGGTGGTTGATGGTGTCGAAGGACCTAGCGTATTGTACGTTCGTTCCACTGGCTTTGATGAGGCCTGGAAGGTAAACACCCCCATGGGCTTCAACCGAATATATGCTGACAGTAACTCAAGGACGTTCCTGGCCAAGACTCGCCGAAGAGATCTCCTGACCTTCTGCGCGCTCTGCAGACTGGAAGTGGCAGCTCACCAGAAGCTCTCAAACCATATTCTCAGTAATTTCACCTATTAACGTAGAGTTTCCTTTGATGCCAACTCAGTGACGAAATTGTGCCACCGAGTTGACCCTATTTAGCAATAGTGAAATATCAAAATGTGCCAAGGGCGTTTAGTGACTGCGATATCTTGAAAATGACAGTGATGGTCGTTGTGGCTGCACTCCAGCATTTCCTCATTACTAACATGCGTAATTGACATTTGCGCTGTACTATTACGTGACATAAATATCTGGTAGACCCCAAACTAATGCATATATCTCCAGGTCAACGCCTTGTCGCCCTTGGCCGATAGTTCCTCGGGAGAGTATTGGTTGTGCTCGCCTTGGGCCATCTTGCGCTCACGGCTCTTATTGATGCGATCGTAGCTCACAATAAGGATCAGAGCGGCAATAATACCAGCACTGATGAAGCCGAGCTCCAGACCGTGTCCTAGAATGTAGCGAGGACCATCCTTTTGTCGGTAAAAGTTGGAAGCCATGGCCTATAGAAGTTAGTTGTTGAGATCTTCTTGTGCATGTATAAACTTACGCCTCCGAGGTTTCCGACTCCGATTTGAATAGCCATACCAACGCTTCGCTTGTAGCTTCCTGCAAGGTTGTTGGACAGCCAAGTGATGACACCAGGGAAGGCTGGGTAAATGGCACAGGCCGCGATAAAGACACCACCGTAGACGACCTTGGGGTTGCTGGTAGAGATGCACCTGAGAAAGAGTCAGCGCCGGGCTATGAATGTTCAAGGGAAAACGCACATTGAGAAGCCAACAATCATGATGCAGAGGAACACGACGATGAATGGGCTTCGCTTTCCGACTCGGTCTGACGTCCAAGCAACGATGACGGCAATAATTGCGGCCGTGATGTAGATGGGAACCGTCATGAGTTGAGAGTGGCTTGAGGTGTAGCCGAGGTTGCGAATAATCGTTGGGAGGAAGAGACTGATGCCGTAGAGAGGGCACACAATCTGAAACCAGTTAGTTTAATCCATAATGAAAGGTAGAACTGCCACTTACACCCCAGTAGACAAAGATGTTGACCCAAATCTGCCAATCCTTAAAAGCACTCCAGACATACTCCCACCTAAACTCATCCGCTTGCGCAACTTGCGTGTGAGTACCCTCCTCCTCGCTCGTAGCCTGTCTCTGACCCTGATACTTGAGTCGGAACACAACAAAGGCGCGCTCCTCCTCAGTCAGGAACTTTGCGGTTTCGGGGAAATCGTAGAGAGCCCAAAAGGCGCAGATGGCGACAATGACGGTGACGATACCCTCGAGGATAAAGATCCAGCGCCAGCCTTCGAGGCCGCCGACGCCGTCCATCTTGGCGATCGCAAAGGCGAGGAGACCGCTGAATGCGCCGGCGATGGAGGCGGCTGAGAAGAAGAGGGCTTGGCGGAATTGGATCTCGTGTCGGCAGTACCACATGGTTAGATAGTACTAAAGAAATTAGCGGACAAGATGGAGTTGCAGAAGATGTAAACTTACCGCGACTCCAGGGAATAGACCAGCCTCTGTGAGTCCGAGAAAGATGCGAGCAATGAGAAGACCATGGTAATTCTTGACAATACCCATAAGAGTCATCACAATACCCCAAGCCACCATGATGGTGGGCAGCCAAACACTAGGACGGAGCTTCTTGAGGAGGAGGTTCGAAGGCACTTCAAAGGCGGCGTAGGTGAAGAAGAAGACTGTGAGGCACCAGTTGTACTGGTCGGGCGTCATGTTGAGGTCCTCCTGGAGACCTTCGATCTTGGCGTTTCCAATGTTTCCACCTGAAAGAGTGCATTTTAGTGGTGAGTTGTGATGTTGTTGGGAGTCGACTTACGGTCGAGGAAGGAGAGGAGGTAGAGGAGCGCAAGCATGGGGATCAACCGTAGATCCATCTGTAGACAAAGGTTAGAAACTTGTTGTTTGACATGATTGCAGAGACAGACCTTGCGAAGAATCTTCTTCTCATCGAGGTGCGAGAAGGAACCGAGCGTCGTGCCGGGTGCGGTAGTGAGGGCGTCGATATGGTCGACCTCGCCCTTTCGCGGATGGTCAGAGCTGTTACCCATCTCGGCCTCGACAAAGTCTGCCTTTTCATTGGGAGGAGTATAAGAAGCCATGATGGCAGCAAAAGTAAACGTCTGCTGCTGAAAGTCTTCGAGGCAAGATCTGGCTGTAGAGATCCTGGATCTTGAATCCTTTCGACGATGGGATCAGGGTCTTAAGTACATGTTTGAATCATACCCATGTCTTGTTTTCCTTCCCCATGTTTTTTCCCCGCAGCCCTTTTCCAACGCTCATGAACAAGCGTAAGCGGCTTGAGTATCCACTGACTCGGCAAATGGAGCGGACAAAAGTTGTGATTTTGCGGGGAGACGCTTGTCTAGAACAAGAAACTCGAACAAGCGAGTTGACGATCATTGACGGGGGGGAAATCGGATCCGAGATGGATGTGCGAGTCAGGCGTGGGTGGCATCGTCTTTTCGCTTGTGTCAAGGGCTGCAAGGTTGGTTCGATGATGGCTTCATATTGCATGTGAAGTGGGTTAGTTGATCCTTCCAGTTTGACTGTTGAGCCGGTGTTTATGGAGAGACCTATTTACTCTTAATGCTTTCTACAGTTGTCTCTTCTAAAAAAGAGACAAAGTAGGCTCTGACGAGAAACAAAGCCAAAGACCAACTCCCCAAATTGCGTCATGGAAAGACAATGGCCTTGCCGGTGATAACTTGCCACAACTAGCGAGTCACGTCTCGGTTCCGATGATCCCTGCTGGCACATGGCGGCCGCACACTGGGCAAAAACCGCTACGGAGTGCTCCGTAGTTAGTCTCAAAACCGGTTCCGGACTTAAAATTGGAGTTTCTCTCCCTGGAGAAGCGTACTTCATCTTCCCAACTTTGTGGCGTCGTCTAAACAATCCCCAAGATCAAGGAAACGGGCCGTCAAAGCGAAATTCTTGGCTAGACGCCAGCCATCAGCTGGGAGACGCTACTGCAAAGGGTGTCATGAACTGATGGATGCAGTCCCCGGACAAGATTACCCCGGTCTTTTCTCATTACCCCAGAAAGGGGATCTGCATTACCCCGCATCTTGGACTCTCATATCTTTTACAAGAGTCGGGCCCGGTTCCGTTTCTCTCTGTTGTCTCATCCCCACATGAATCCTTGAGCCTGAGATTGACACTCGCAGCAAGCATCCCCTTCGGATCCGTCTCTCCCCTCGGGTGGATCTGATCATGCCAGGCGGCCTCGTCACGCGACGTACCCAGTTCTCCAGCTGCGACGAGTGTCGCCGATCGCGCGTTGCCTGCGACGCCGCCCAGAGCCGCAACGTCGCCGCTGGAGAAGTGCCCGCTTCTTGCACGCGCTGCCGCAACCGCCACAAATCATGTACCTTCAAGGTAACTTACCTTATGCAGCGAGAGCTTAAATCACCACGTGAGAGTATATGCTTACCCCCGAACAGTGGATCCAAGATGCCAAAGCGACCGGTGGCAGCTCTGGTGGAGTGAAGCGCAAGGGACGTCGCAGGATTGCATCTCACCCCTCAAGTGACACGTCGTCGACCCAGGGTAGCAGAGCTTCCGCGGGTAATGAGGGGTTTGCCCTCGGCTCTGAACGCGGTGCTCACCGGGAGAGCCTGACAACCTCGGTGTTGTCGACTCCGTTTGTTGCGCCTTCGCCGACGTACTCGACTATTACGGCGCAGAATACGGGCCTTCTTAGTGATGCTGACTCTAAGTGGTTGGAGACTTTGTATCGGGAAGGTTTTGAAGCTGTGTTTGGGTCTTGGATGGGGAGATATAGCTGCCCTTTCTTGTGAGTGACACCGCTTCGGCTCCGAGTATAATATTGACAGTCTTAGGTTTGGACATAACCTCGCCGACAAGTATGTCAGCATCTCGGATCTATGCTGCCATCTCGATGGATGCATGGCAGATGCTACTACAAATAACGGGCAGTCACCAGGGAGAGGGAGCCAAAGGTGTTGTCTGATTGAGCAATCTCTTCAGAGCACTATTGCCTCATTCTCTGCACGATGGCTGCCCATTAGCTCTCGAACCGCACTTTCAGACAATGATCACCGTCTGCTTGTTCAAGCTCTTTGGCGGCATGCACGGAGAGATATGCTTAGAATCATCAACAGGCCTTCCTACCGCTCAATGCTATCCCTGCTTTTATTTGCTTTGACTCCGATTCCAGATGGGATCTCGGAGGAGGAAGAAGCCGATGGTATCTCAGGACAAGCTTGTGTACACACAGCTTTGCAACAGATCCAAACTCTGAGGGCTCGACAAAAGAATCTCCAGTTCAGTGGCTCCAAGGTCTCACCATCACTCAAGTCACAAGGCATAGTCACAACACCAGAGTCAATCGAGACATCAGGCTTCATCAATGCAGAGAGCACTGCATACTGGGCCGCCTTGACGTTTGATACCTCGGCTTCCTTGACCCTCAACTGTCGCCCACTGCTTTCTTCAGGCTTATTTGGATTCGAGTCTGAACTGCCGTGGCGACTAGTCAGAACATGTGCCAAAATGTTTGACGAGACTGCACAGCATTGGAGTCGAGGAAGTTCTGACATGACGGACGAGAGGGCGAACCAGATCATCGCTGCCGGAGCATCTTGGAAGTTGTTGGGGTGGAAGTTGACTGCCATCTTTAAAGAGGCTCTCCGGGATGGGCATGATGAGTCTGAAGTTCGCAAGGCCTATTTGGCTGTGGTGGACTCCATCAAGCAGTTTGGTACAGTCTATCGTCCACTTTTGGATGAGTGTCACAAGCGGATGCAGTTTCTTGGGCAGCAAACCAAGCTCCGATGGTGTAAGTGTCTTGGCCTTCCAAGAGTAGTACACTTGTTGACTTGAACAGTTTCTCTCATGCTTCACTACCATCTTAGCATCCTGATGCTCGTCGATGTAATGGAGGTTACGGATCGCCATGACCTACTGGCTGATATAGCAGACATCAGCACAGACGCCGAAAACACTGTCATGAATACCTTGGCATTTGGTCTGCACAATACCTTTACATTGAGGCGTCCACCGGATCCGGATACCCTTGGCCAAGAAGGAGTTCGGGAGACAACCTTTACGGTTCCGATCGTATCCATAGACCCCTATCCACACCATGCTGTTGCAGGTGTGCAGCTTTTACGGAAGGCTATCGACAGAGACTTTGGGGTTGGAAAGATAACGGATGAGACGTATCAAAGCTTGCTATCCACGCTGGAGCGAACGCTGAAGCATCTTCCACAGAGCTCCAAGTCTGTGCAAGCTGCTATTGCCAAGTTCTCTTCGGGGGCACAGGATGAAGCTGACGTCGAGAGGCGTTTTTCGGTTGCGATTCTGGGTGTGCAATAGGTTGTAAGATACTGTAGTTTGCCACGAGCCAAGAATAATCTGCAAAGAGGATCAACAAGGTTATGGTTGCCACATGTTGCATTGCATCTTGATCTGAAGACTCATGTGTCTCTGAAACCAGATATCTGTGATGATGATATCATTTCAACATTGGTGTTCCGCTGTGCGGAATGCCTCCAATAGTCTCCGCCGAAAGGAGCAAATGCTCTGCAGCTTGATCTGCAATCCTGATTGACTGTTGGAGTCTCGGATCCGATGATGCTTGCGCTTGAGTGGAGATGTTTGCCACTGCGGGTCGACATAGGCAGATCGGATCCGACTTCCACTATAATATTGAATGGTGACCACTTGCGGAGTCTTTTGCTTTCTTTGGACAAGTATCTTGTTTCTTTCGTCTTCATTCTCAATTCTGATCTATCTTGAGCTTGATTATAGTCTCACATTCGCCAACAACATGGTTCTCTCAGTAACACCAAAGACCTCGGTCACTTTGATCGGGGCGGGCACCCAAGGCAGGCGTCTTGCATTCATGGTATGAATATCACACCCAAAGACTTTTTGAAATTTCAAGAAAATTTCCCGAAGTATTGCTAACGAGATCTCTGCAGTGGTCAAGTAGAGGAAACGACGTTCATCTCGTTGATGGCCAAGAAAGTCAACTCGAGGCCAGCCAGAAAGCTATCGACGGCTTCCGAAAAGACGCTGGAAAGAAAAACGGCCAATGGGGAAGGATCATCACACATTCACCAGAAACATTGTGCGAAGCACTCAAAACAGCATGGCTTGTTGTGGAGGTGAGACAACTGCCTTGGACACAGATAACTGAGCTGACTTGACAGTGTGTGCCTGAGCAACTTGCCCTCAAGCAGAAAGTGATCGTGGAGTTGGATTCTCTAGCAGGAGAGGACACAATCATTGCTTCCAACCCTAGTAGCTACTCTTGTTCTGAGATACTGGAGGGTATCACCCTGAAGAATGAACGCCGCTTTCTGAGCGCCCACTCTTGTACGTTTAAAGTCTATTTGAGCGTAACTTAGCTGACTGTGGCAAACTGTATAGATTGGCCTCCTGAGACTCCAGGTGAGAAATTGGATCTTTTACTTGAATATTCACATTGATTAACACGCTCGCAGAGATTGAAATCATGGGGCACAAAACTACCAACCCCGCTTACATCCCCTTGATGATGGAGCAATGCAAGGCACATGGATTTTCTCCCTTCGAAGTCAAGCGGCCATCCATGGGCTACATCTACAACCGGTAAGCTGAAACACACCATATCTTTCAAACGTTTACAGACTGACCTTCCGGTCGTAGTATCTGGGCGGCCATCAAGAGGGAAGCCCTCCTTGCGGCATCAGAAGGAGTTGCAACTCCAGAAGAAATCGATGCCATGTTCAAAGGGGTTCTCAAGACACCCAAAGGTCCCTTTGAGCAGATGGATGTTGTTGGCCTGGATGTGGTTCTGGACATTGAGCAACACTACGCTGATGCTCGAGGAGACATTCCTAGTGCGCCTCGTGAGTATCTTCAGAAGTTCCTCCAGAACGGTCATCTTGGCGTTAAGAGTGGTCGCGGTTTCTATGATTACGGGTCATAGAGGATTTCGGAACCGAAAGGGAGAGATCAGTAAATTTATTCAGGCGTTGAGGATCTCTTGTTAGTGCCCACGTTTTGCGAGTCATGGAAGGTTTAAACATCTATACGAGTAGAATATATGGAGTTTTCTCAACAATCGATGTTTCCTTCCTCCATAGTAGTGATGTGCATGCAAACATCTAACTCACTCCCCAGGCCCCGAGAACATTCCGCTTACCCTCGCCTCTGCTCTTCAGGCTTCCAGCCTCCAACTGTTTAACTCGATTTACGAGAAGCCCAACGCAGATAGGTCCAATCACTGTGCAAAGGGAAATAGCCCAAGTCACGATAAGAAACATCTCCGAGGGCTGACCATTGGGTGGGCGACCAAATACTCCCTTGCTCTCAGCCAGTGCAGCAATTAGAAATCCAATCTCCCCTCGAGCAACCATTCCTAGACCGACGATGCATGCTGGATACAGAGACACGGCCTTTTCAGGCTTTGGCGTTGAATTGCGTACTTCAGGGGAAACGGGACGGGCACTTGTATCAGCCAGTGCCTCCAAAGGTACAGCCTCCCGCTCCTCTGTCGGATCCGATGCCGTCGTGATATCCCGAGCGGCTGAGGCAGGGTCTGCGCACTGGGCCCCAGGGACAAGGGGCTTTGGATTTCTCTTGCACATGACGGCAAGACTCTGCGCGATCTTTTGGAAGGGTCGAAGGGGGTTTGCAAAGGAAATCAACCAGATACCGCAGGCTAGTTTGCTGATGGTCATGAGGACTGTGTAGATGATGCCTCGCCATGCCACAGGGCCAGAAAAGAGTCTAGTGATGGGGACTGAAAAGCCAATGGATGCCTGTGCTGGTTAGCAGTTATCTTCTAAATTGGCCTTCAAGTACGCACAAAGAAGAAAGGCTTCAAGATATGCTCAACGGCAGTCTTGTAATAACACTCGTAAACCTCCATGCCGGATCCGCCGTCCATCGCCAGGGCTATGCTTGTTTGGTCTGAGATTGCGGGGGCTGCTTGGTCCGTAATGGTGTTATCACTGCTCTGATTTCTTTCTTCTGTGGTCTCAGCTCCAGTAGAAGTACTTGGTACTCGGTCTAGGACGTGAGGAACCTCAGAGTCCCACCAACTAATGCTTGCGCCGGCAATGTATGCCGCCAGGAGGCTTGAGGTGCCTGCAAAGGTAGCGCCCACCACAAGACCGAGAAGAAGGGCTGTATGGATAACAAAGGCAGTCTGTCTCAACTTGAGTAGCTGAGAGACCTTTCCAGACGGGTGTGCTTCACGGAAAGTGTTGAGTTTGGCAGTGACAGGCATCACCACGAATCTGCCAAGGAGGGGCATAAGAGTTGCAAAGGCGAGGGATACCATGATGGGTCTTACGACAGTGACGGCATCGAATGAGTCTCCTCCCAGATTCGAAATGACTTGGACCATGATGAGACCTACCACATCATCCATCATGGCGGCACTTGTTAGGACGACGCCGAGTCTTGTCGTTGAGAGGCCGCTAGTGCCTAGGATGGTGAAGGTGGTGCCCAGGCTTGTTGAGCAGAGAGCAGCGCCTGCAGCAAAAGCCTGGAGTGGGGATGCATTGAACATGGACTTTAAAGCGAAGGATAGACCGATGGGCAGAAGGATGCCGGTAACAGCGACGCCAGAGGAAAGACCAATGTTGGCCTTCAATGATCTGAACGAGGTTGCTAGACCACCTATTCTGGGTTAGCAGATAAGCCGTAAATTTATGGCATACTTCCTACCTTCATAGACGATTAGAATGAGCCCAAGATATCCCAGCTGCATGACAGCATCCTCGACTTCACGAGAGAGCCATTTCGCGCCAGGAGTACCCCAAGCAATGCCAAGAGCAACCTGACCGATAAGGCCACAATACGCGACCTTGTCTAGGCCATAGTTGAGCAAGTTCAGCAACAAAAGAAATCCAGAAAGTATAGATATAACGGTGATGGAGGGTTCGTGATATGAGAGCGAAGACTGCATCGTGATGGTGCGAAAAGTTGGGGGATTGGGATCGACAATCGCGTGAAGCGAATAGCTTCGTTTCGGATTCTGGATTCTCCGCTCCGTCTGAGCATTTTTGGTGTCTGACCCAACAAATCATCAAGGATGTGGCAATCGTTTTTCTTACTTATTCAATGATGATATTGTGTTTTTAGGCGTGTAATTCCTATTCCTGTTTCCAGAAGTTGGGGTATTTCCACACGTTCTGTAGAATCCACATCTGCCAGGGCAATACTGCAGCCACGGCTTTGCCCCCAGTCACATTGAAACGACTGAAACATTTCTTTAAATTACATCTGAGGAGTTAACTTGGCATCAAAGAAACGTGAAAACTATAACGAAAGGCTTGTTTATAGCATCTTAAGACCAGCTGAGCTTGTTATTCCTGTTGGATTAGCAATACGGCCACGTCGTCAATCGCCATAAACAACTACTCAATTGCCATGAGAGAGAATAAAACACAAATAATTCTATTAGATAGTCTATATAACTGTCATAGAGCGTGTTGATATTGCGGCATTCAGCTTTGAACCAGAAGAGACCAGCCATATCACTTACCCTACAGAGCAAAGGATGGTCGACGAGATAAAAGAAGAGTACGGCGACGAGGTACGTAGTCAAGTAAATTTCACCATATAAACTTCCCACCAAGGAGAGCCTTTTGAGTATCCTCGGCAGAGCACATGTGAACAAGTAGTTTTGGGAAGTTGATCGAAGTTGTCAAGACTCGTCACTCCTAGGCAAGATTCCTCCTACCATTTCCGAGGCCACCTATGCACGATAAAGCGTGCCTCTATAGCTCTTCTTGATATTAAATCAAAACCTGTTTTATTCTCATTGTTCCTTATCGTCACACTTAACATGCCGTCGCCGAGGAGGGTGAGTAAAGTGGCAAAAGGCACAGGGTTCTTCATAAGTGACGGCGCCAAGATCCTGCCAAAACACCTGAACTCAAGTCCTATAAGGGGAGGTTGCTATATTCACCAACTAAGTTGCAAACTCTAATTCAATTTATGACCGAGACTAACTGCAATGTCGCAGCCAAGAATGCACAGCTTGTTGGAGTTTCTGGAAGCCACCTTCTACTTCAAACTCGTCATTGACAAGAGTTGATCAAAGAGGTTACCGGGACCCATGTCACGATACACCACTGTAACGTCTCTGCTGAATCTCTATACGGCGATGACGTGTATCCCTGACCATATCTACCCGAGAAATCCAGGGGTATTGATCCGCCCCGGTTGGATGCCTTCAGGCCTTACAAACTCTATCGACCGGAATATTTACCTAGAGGGAAACGCCGCTTACATACGAGTACGATTGAGGAAACAAGACGGGTAGACCGAGGGTATAACTTTATCCTTTGGGAACATGCACTACCCAAACAAGCATATAATCCGCGGCATTAAGCTTGTCCTCTCTCACCTGAAGGGATAATGCATTTAAACACGCACTAGCCCGTTTATTCCCAGTCCTGTTCCGACCTTGCCGCACCAAGCGCGGGACATTTTAATTCAGCTGGTCAGAGCTCGCTTAACGGTCTGTGCATGAGATGAGGCGATTCCGGTCGCGGGCTAGAGTGCTAGCGTTGGAGCCGGACTCGAAGTGTTAGCGTTGGTGTTTGGACGAGATGATGGGATGCGGCTGAGATGAGGGGGACCTGGCACTAGAACATGCTAGAATTGATTGACCAGGAACATCGTGAATAGAGGGACTCAACTGAGAGCCTTTATCTATGCGGCGTGCTGGCTCTAGAACGAGAGCTTGAGTGAGAAATAAGCGCGAGTCAGAAGTCACACCACTTTGCCACTCTGCGGCCAACATGAACTAACCCAAGTGTCAACGGCCTGTCAAGCGATAATGTGGCTTGCTCCTTCATCTTGGCCGTCAGCAAAATGTCAATACGCCTAAATACGCTTGCTTCTACTGCTTACTCCGTTCGTCGGCCCCCCGTTGTTACTGTTCCATCCCGTCCATGCCGAGGCAGCTGTCATGACCCGTCATTTCCACGTGCTTGGGAGAGCTTACAGTGGTTCATCCGTTCTTCGCCTGCATTTCCTCCATCTAACAAAACCCCGTTCTCCACTGTCAAGGGCCGCATCCACGGTCATCCGGGGGTCGTTACGATTGGCCCCTGTATGAGACCCTTCCACGGCCCTGAAATGGAAGGTCGACAGATCCAGACCCCGTCCGTGTAGTATCCATGACACCCGGATGAGACGTACGATCATGCCAGGCATGGGGACGCACTGCTCAGGAGAGACGACTGGATCTAGATAGCACAGCGTTGCATCGAACTCTTGATCTAGGAAAGCGCTGCTCTATCTTGTAACCCCTGATCAGACCCAGTATTACAGAATCCCTGCTGCATCTCCCTCGCTTGGTCAGCGCCTTGGTCAGAAATCGGAGGCACCACCTGCGCTAGGACATTTTCCGGCCCTTGCCGCAATCTTGGCGAGCAGGTCGATGCGATGGCGCAAGAAGCGAGATGGAGTTTTGTATGCGGCTGAGACTGGAGGATTCAGGTACATTCGCTTCCAAGTTTGCAAACTACTGGTGGGGATGATTGACAGCTACGGATGGATCAAGTTTTGATTGACGAGTTAAAAGGTTTAATATTGTGGCTCTCTAGATACTCGAGCCTAATATAATAGACAATGCCGACTCGGGCTGAAGAAGATGAACACGTGCTATATACAATGACTCTCGCTTACATTACACGCTCGCTCGCTTACAAGTAGACGTAGCAGAAAGGACCAGACAGGGTGCTCATCAGGTCCTTGATCTGCTTGGACTCACCAGCCCAGCCAAAGTTGACATAATCCTCAAAGGTGGTGGCGTTGCTGGCAGGGATGTCGAGGAAGGTGTTTGTTCCCATGAGGGCAGACTTGCCGTACTGGCGCTCCTTGGGGCTCAGCATCTGCCAGATCCACCACACGCGGTCGATCATGGAGTGGTGCAGGTAGAATGCAGGGTCGCCGGGGGAGGTGAAGACGTCGTTGCCGGGGTCGCCTCCAAGCGAGTAGTGACCACCTCCGTGGATGCCGATGTCTCCGGAGCCGGGGACGCCCTGCATCTGCATCTGGAAGTCGTAGGCGTTCTTGGGCTGGAGAATGTTGCGGAGGATAGAGGTGGCGTTGGCGTACCGTCTGTTGACGGCGTCACCCAGGTCGCGCTTCAGGCAACGGGGGTTGTACTCGAGGGGGTTGGTTGCGGCCTCGACGATACCGCCGGGGAGGTCCAGAGCTGCGGGACCGAGGTTGACCTTCATGTCCTTGAAGGGACCCGACTTGACGCAGCCGCCACCGTTACCGGTAGGGAGGTAGACCGGGGGGAGACCGCTGGAGGCTCCGAGGATGACGTCGGGGCGGTTGGGGATGGACTCGCCGTCACCCGACATGGAGTACTCGCTACCATCAAAGATGGAAGACTTGGCGAGGCCAGTGATGGCAGTGAGGGACCAATCCCAGTACTATGGATCGTTAGTAAGATTGCATCTACAAATGCCATGTGGTGACTTACAGGTTGGGTGCCCTTGTATCCACACTCATTGCGAAGAGCCTCCTCGTACAACCAGGTAAAGTACCGATGCCAGACCAGGAAGTTTCCAGTGTAGTGGATAATCTGCGTCTGGTCAACGTGAGTGGCTACCCAGTCGTCGAACCGAGTCTTTGCGCCAGGAGCGAAAGATGCGGGAGTCTTGGCAGGCTTGGACTGGAGACACTTGACGGCGTTGATGTAAGCCTTCTTGTCGTTCTTGGAGAGGGTGTTCCTGTTATTGTCAGTATAGATAAGTTAGAATAGAGTGTTGAGACTCACCATTCCCGTCGCACGCGGACGTTGCTCCAGTTGCAAGTGCTTCCACGCTTGGCGTTTGTCTCGACAAACTCCTGCGCATTCTCATACGCAGAGGCAGCGAGGTCCTTGATCTCGTCAATGTTTGTCACCTCAGGTGCTGAAGAAGCAATGGTGGTGGCCTGAGGGGCGGCCAAAACGCCGGCGGCGTTGAGGGCCAGGAGAGAGACGAATCCGGCGCGCATGGTGGGCAACGTTCAATCAATGCGAGGCAGGTAGGTAAAACTAGCCGACAAGGATGAGGCACTTGAATGGAGTTGAGCGTGGTAGTATTGCAGAGAGGCGCGGATGCAAGAGGGGATATATACTGCAGAGTTTTAGGCCAAGCGTGGATAAGGAGGACCCCTAAGAACGCATTGCATTGTCTTTGAATTTCCGTCCTTTGAGTGATTTCATCCCCGAGGACAAGGGCCGCTGTCCCCTGAGAGCAACGTTGGCGGAGACGCGATGAAAGGCAAATAGAGACGGGATTTCTCGAGTAGGCGCGTTTCACCGGCAGGGAAGATAATACAGGTTAGAAAGGGTGGACCGGGGGACCTAGGAATCGACTTCCGTTGGCAGGGGAGGGGGGGGCCATCAGGTACCCTACCATAGATCCCGATTCGAAAATCTGGAGTCTGTCTCCCAGGGTTGTTGGTGTGTGCAAGCGGCGCAGCAAGGGGTCCCAGCGGGCCATGTCAGGGGAAGCGTGCGGCGTGGTTTTTTTGCTGGCAGGAGGATCGAGTCATTGGATCGAATGTTTTGGTAAGACCGTTATAGGATCATGTTTACTACTGTTGGTTGAAGAGAGCGGTTTGATGTTGAACAACGTTCTGTCCCTCCCTTTCAGCCCTCTGAGGATGACGCCGGTCGAGGGAATAACGGGTGGCGCGTTGTGCCCCGCGCCCTAGAAGGATCCTCCTGAAAGGAACAGGGATCAAAATGGAGACCGTCCGCTGGCGCATTGACACCAAGGGTTCCTTGCTTTTTCCTTAGCGATGCTGCTAGGTATGGGTCTTGAAGATGGGTTGGAATGATGATCCGGAAGTGTTCCGTGTCCACAGTGGATTTTGATTTTTTGGATCAAGCCCGAAGGATTCAGACAGTGTGTCATTCCTGAACTGAGTTGTCTCTGTTGGAATGTCGATCCTTCTGTGACAGCCACAGGGAATTGGGCCTCATCCAATCTCTCGGGAAGAAGTGTTGGTCGACCAACAGATCTTAGATATAAAAAGAAACAAAGCCCCAAGATGGAAGAAATGACCTGCATGCGTTAACAATGCCGTCGTCGACTGATTCCGGCGTCTGAGGCACTGCCGGATCTTACGACAGAAGCGCACAGTGACCCCTTGATTCTTGGTGTGCCTGCCCCCTTCTCGTACGATTCACCTGGGTACCGTCATAGTAGCAGTGTTAATGATGGCCACACTGTATAGAACACCCTTTTCCCAAGCCGAGTGCGGCTCAAGCCTTTCTCGGTTCCGCGGTGGGTGGCGTTTCTGGAAGCAGCTTAGACACAAAATCGGTCATGCCCACCTCGGCGGTCGTGCATTGCAGGGCGTTGCAACTCTTTCGGTGGCCAGATTTCGCATCTGGTAGGTAAGACAAAGGGTTAAGTGCCTTGTTTTGGGTATTCCCCCTGTCAAAACCCGTCTTGTTGGAAACTCCACGTGGTTCTCCTCCTTCTTGCGCGTGTGTTCCTTTTCCCTCATCACCCTCCCCCCTTCCCCCTCCGTCGCGCGGTGGTCGTGTCGTGCCCAAACGTTTCTTTTACATGTTTTCACAATGGATCTACCGCCAGTTCCCTCGAATCCAAAGGAGAATGGAGTAAAAGACATTCTCGCGGCGACAGTTTTCATCATTTCATTATCTACAATCACTGTTTTGGCTCGTTTATACGTGAGACTGTTGGTCATTCGGAATACCGGCTGGGATGTGAGTCCGCAGCCCCTCCAACCCGCATTGGGTTTTCTTTTTACTTTCATCTTGCAGCTCTTGACTGACTTTGCATGCTTGTAGGATTGGTTCATGGTATTATCTCTCGCCTTGGCTTGGGCAGGTCAGGGCGTCATCTTTGGACAGCTGAGCCATGGTGCTGGAAGACACAAGGGCGATGTTGATCCGGATGTCTACATGGTCGGCATGAAGCTCAACTTTATCAGCCAGCCCATCTTTCTCATAGCCATCTGCGTCGTCAAGTTGGCTGTTGGTTGCGCCCTGCTGCGAATCGCCTCGACCAAGTTCTACCGTTACTTGATCTTGTCCATTATGGGCTTCATGGCCTTTTACACCATTGGATGTTTCTTTGTACGCCCAACACTCCATTCCTCTCATGGTACATGCTAACAATGACAGACCCTCATGTTCCAATGCACGGATATCCGCATCCTCTGGGACCCGAGCGTAAAGGCGACCTGCTGGTCCCAGCAGACGCTCCAAGGCCTTTCATACACAAACTCTGCGCTCAACATCATCACCGACCTTCTCTTCGCCATCGTCATCCCCACACCCATGCTATGGAAACTCAACGTTCACTTCCGCACACGAGTCACCCTCATAGGCATCCTGGGCCTTGGTGTCTTTGCCTGCGCCGCCGCGTTTGTGAAGCTGGGCTACATTACAAACTACGGCAAGTTGGGTGACTGGCTCTGGGACTCTCGAAACATTACCATCTGGACAAGCCTGGAACTCAACGTCGGTATCATTGCTGGTAGTCTTCCCTGTCTGCGACCCATCTTTAGACGCTTCCTCGGCAGCACCTACGGCAAGAGCTCGAGAAAGACGCCGACTACTGGAGCCACCAACTACGGTCGTGGTACACTCCGTAGCGGCAACAACTGGCACACCCTGTCGAGTGGTCGAAGGGGTGACGATGAGACGAGCAGCCAAAAGGCCATCAACACCGGCGTCATGGAGTACGAGCTCCGCGACCGGATAGCCACGCCAGCTGGTATCACGAACAAGACAACAGTTTTGACAGACATTGATGCCAGGTCGAGCGATGAGAGCGTGGATCGGGGTGGCCATGGTCAGCGGTACCCTCCAGGTATCACCAAGACGACGACAATGACGGTCGAGGTGGTCAAGTCGGATTCATCGTCGTCTCGAATGTCTCGATGAGATACTTATACCCTTTAATTACCTCTTCTTTGTATCTTGTAACTTTCTTGCCCTAGTTACCGTCGTAGTTGGACGTGTTGGGTTATCAACGGCGCACGTCTAGACGGAATGGCTTGTATTTGGAGCCTGTTGATGGTATATACCCTTTAGCCTCGACAGATCCATTCTGTTCCATATTGTTATAGCTTTCAGGCAGTTGGGTTATGGTTGATGAGATAGAACCATAATGATGAATGGAATGAGGATACCCAGTTACCTACCTAGAATGTCTTGTTGAAGGTTGTGTCGCCTCTTAGTGGTCATGAATACAGCAATGAAATCGCTGTTGATTTGGTGATGTCTTCAGAGGGTCCATGAGACGTACAGATAAAGAACGCCGTTATCGAATCGTGGCTATAAGCTTCCTACTCATCTGTACCGCATTCCAATAACACATGGCCTTACATGCCATTCCTAGCTCATAATCCTAACGTTGATACCGGTGCGTGGTCAATTGATATTGGCTAGGTTGGCTCTGATCCACTAAAGTTCATCTCAAACTCTATATTGATGATAGAATATACCCCTCTTGCTGGTAGCGGTTATTCCGAATGATCGTTCCCCCCTAAGGTCCCCTATCCTCTTCTGCTAAGTTTAACCTTTTCGCTGCCGTAATATCCTGCGCCAGGCTCTCCAACCTGAGCACCCAGTCAAGCCTCTCCAGGCAAATTAGAGATAACTCGGCCGGATGGCGTCTCTTATATCCCAGGGTATGAATTCTATGTAATCCTTTAGCAATGTTATAGCTGCCACTACCTTGTTTGATGTATATCCTCGAGTTAAAAGGGCCATATCCGGCTGTCCTTGCGGCCCTCCCTGGACCTTTTGCGCTCAAGAGGGTCCCGCCTTGCTTCTTTTCACAATTGATCTGTTCAAGTTCTTCGACTCTCACTCTCACTGAAGTGTTGGGTCCTGATCGTTCTCATAGTACATTCTTCACTGTGTAAGAGGGTCATATTATCTTTTGGGGTTTCGTTTATTTTGTTGTCACTATCAAAATCACCACTCACTCTGCGACCCTAGCTGCGTTTCCACAACGACAACGCTCTTGGTGGTCCTCTCCTGTACTCCCCCCACCCCTTCCGCATAGGTAAGTATCTCAGGCGCGATTTCCAACACCCTAGCCAGTGTTCAAAAAACATTCAGCTCTAGGCTGCCTAGGCTGGACACGTGGTCATGTACTGGAAGCCTTTTGTGCCTGATCCCCTCAGGCATTGGCCTTGCTGGCCAATCCGTCAACGCATCCACTACTCCTTCGTGTCCTCCTTCGTGTCCTCCTTCGTGTCCTCCTTCGTGTCAACCCAGCCCGGCCGTTCGTTCGGAGGAACGCTCAAGGGAAGGCCGTCCTCCACCTTCGAGGCGTTAGGATTTTTCTCTAGATCAGATAAGGCAGCCCTCATCCACTCAATTCGACGCGCTAGGTTTGACTGGGCAGACTGGAGGGATAAGAGATATAGTTGAATCCTGGCGCGGTATAGATCAATAGATTTCGCTCCCCCCTCGAATCCCTCCTTGAGATGCTGTTCGAATACTTGGAGGGCTTGTTGGGCCCTCTCAATAGAGACTCTGGCTTGCTTCTTTAGTCCATATTCCTGGCCTGCATATCTTGCGAGGCTCCGATAGACCATGATGGCATCCGCGATGTCATCTTGGACATGGGCGGCTATCATTTCAAATGCCTCTGCCTCTGCCTTGAGGAGCTCTTTCCGCGCCTCCGCGTTGGTGGCGGGCCAGAGCGCCTGAAGGGGGTTTCGGAATCCATCGAGCCGAGCCATTTTGATGGGATAGAAGGTAAAAAAAGAAATAAAAAAAATGAGTAATCGATTGTACTGAGTGGCGATAGAAAACAAAGCGACGGTGGTAGGTAGTGAGTGCCGGTAAATGGATTCTTTTTTCGACTGTGTTGAGTAGTAGTTTGTTGTGTAGCAGATTGCTGTGTGTGTGATGTTTTGAACTCAAGGGACGGAGAGAGTAGCATATTTTATAACCCTCATACCCAGCGAGAATGGTCATGGCTTGGGTGAACAACCTCAACCTCATTCCTGCTCATTCTTTCATCAAGGTCACGGACAGGGTAGGTAACAAAGGAGGGCTGTCACACATCACAGGCGGCGTCTCAAGTCAAAGAGCTTTGGATATCGATGACCAAAATAGATTAAAACTCAAAACTGCCACCTCCCAATACGGATCATGGCTCAAAGAACGAAAATCCTTTCAACCCTGGCAAGGGCCCAACGCCGACCAAAGCAGTCCCTTCATCCATCCCACCCTCTCGACAACAAAGGCTTCGCCCTTGCTCAACATCCTGCCAATTGGCAGCCCACTGATGATCCCTGAGATTCCGGTCAAAGCGTCAAAGCATCAAGTGATAGGGATCAAAGCTCGGAGTCGACGACCGAGCTGCGAGGCATGGCGCCCCTGGAAACAGGCAACGGCAAACAGCGACAATTGCGGCTGTTGTATGCCGGGGGTCGGTTAATGGCCTGCACGTTCTACTCAACGAGAGCGGATCGGCGATTCAACTCAGAGTGTCATAGAGGCGGCACCCACGGCCTGCCACGACCTGTCAGTTCCCGCCCGACAGGAAGGGAAATGAGGGAGGGAGGGAAACTCTGGGTCTAAAGTGAAAACTGCACAGTTGAAGGACGGGAGCATGGGCAAACGCAATCCAGGGGTCAGCCGACACTGCCACCCTTGATGATATCCAGGCTGTGGAGGTTGGAGTGTGCTTCCCTTTTGTTTGCTTTGTTCTGGCCTGTCGTTGTTCCTGCCTTCCATCTCAGGGACAGACAGAGACAGGGAGGTAATTAACACGGCTCTGAACGCAAGCAGGGCGTCAGCGCCCAACACTGTGTACCACCCTTACCTGTCGGCCTGACTTCCTGGTTCTCCCACCGTCCTTACCACCATCCTTACCACCATACTCTCATTCTCTTCCGTTTGGACTTGGCGTAATAGTACCGAAGCTTAGGCAACTTGGCTCAAAGTCCGTGTGTGTGGGGCACTTGTTGGCACATGCAAGAATACCATAGCTTCCGTCATCTCTGGGCCTTGCCCCTGACACGCCAGAGCCAAGTCCCGGGAAGACATCGTCTGTCGTCTGTCCACATCCTGACCGCCCTTACGAAGCTGGCTTGTGCAGTAGTCCCTGTTTGGGAGCCGCCGGATTCTAGAGGATATGTCCAGAGCCACACTCGGTATCCAAGATGGGTTATGCGACACAACTCAGGTCGCGGTAGGGCTCGAGATGTGCCTGTCGCATGTTGCTAATTCGCGGAAGAGGGTGACATCCGCTGGCACCCCTGTATCCGGGAAAGCTCCCCACCCTTAAAGCAGTGTTGATGACAAGTTGAGTCGGGGTCTTGCGAACCCGTCCTGCTTCGTGACCCCCCTGGTCAGTAGATTAATTCGTTTGGATGTTAAACCCCGATATTTTGTTCCTCTGATCAAGATCCATGAATTGGTGCACCTTTATTTGGCTTCAGATACCAGCGAAGGCCACAACCTAGGACGGGTTCGCAAGACCCTAGCTTAACTCAAGAGGTTGCTAAGGTACCGGCAGACGGGACGGCAGACTGTGATTCAATGCACAGTGCATGGGCTGGGCCTAGACCGTCGTGATAATCATGGAGCCTTGCATGAATACTCCCGACAATTGAACGTATCCACCATGGTGATAGTGTGATGACGAAGGGAGAGTTGGAACAACAGATGGAGGAGAACGGCAGAACTAATTGACGGGTCATCACGGAGCCGCTACCCCTGTCCTGCAGCAGCCCTGCAGGGTACCAGAGGCCAAACATGGATGGCAACATGAGAGAGAAACAGTTGTCCTAGGCTACCATTTGGGAGGATGTGCAGTGCATGGACACTCGTTTGGCTGATGTTGCCGGGGAAGGGGGGTCTTCTCCAGCCGGTCTCTCGTTGGGACCAGTTGGCCCCTGCGCCCAGCATGTCACCGTTCCTGCGGCCTCCAGAGCTCACAAGAAATTGACCACTGCGGGTCTGATGTAGAATTCCATGGCGTTGTTTCTATGTAGGCGTGTTGGTTGTCATTCGTGAAGGGCAGCCAGGCGTGGGGGATGTTGCGAGGCTGGATATTTGGTGCGCTTCTTTGCAACCCTTGAACAGAAGGAGAGAATACGTCCTAAAAACGCATCGGGATCTCTACTTTTTGGTGCTGCCATCCTTTGGCAAAAGACCTTTGGCTGAGGGTTCAAAGCAGAGTGTTCTACATTGGCGAGCCTCAGTAGATAACCGATATCGTGGTACCAGGGCATCTCCGGGGATTGTCAGATGGAAGGTGTGATCAGCGAGAGCTGGGGTTTTCACTGTCAACGGCACTTGTAGGTCAAATAATAAAGAAACATCAGATCTATCAACTTCACAGGTGGCTACATCTCCATTTCAATCTCCAAACCGTCGACTAGGCAGCCAAGGATGCAAAACCTTCACCCCTAGCCTATTCTTCAAAATGAGTAAGTCCAGTAGAGAACGGGACAAATTCAACTTGGTCGTCCCCGACGCGGAAGTTGACGGGCTCACTGAGTGGCTTGGATTTGGAGAGATCAACTGCAACTGGGTCAGCGGGTGGGCTTGTTTGACAGTGTATTTCAGGAGGTCTTCTCACAGCACTGAAAGCTGGCGTGAGCCAGTCCAATCTTGGCCTCGATCACGAATCCGACCTTGACGAGGGAATCTCGGATCCCCATGCGCTCCATCGCCTTGCGGAGGTGGTCTTTTGCCCCCTGAGGTCGCTCGATGGCGATTCCGTCGACGCGAGAGAGGTGGACTCGCATCGAAGCAAACTTTCGAGGTCCGCCTGTTGAGTTTGTCAGTACTAGCCAGGGACAAGTCTGGGGATCGGTACTCACCTTTGGTTCTCGAGGCCATGTTTGAGGAGGCGGCAAACTCGGCCGTAATCTTCTTCGGCCAGCCGTGCGTGTGGGAAGCTGTATGGGAGTCGGACACGTCGGACCCCGTTCTGTTCCCTGAGATCCGCTTGATGTGGCATGACGAGCTCAAGATCTCGAGACCGGCCAAAAAGGAACTCAGACAACGTTGAAGGTGGAGGCGACGACTGGGGAGTATACAAGGGAGTCACAGGTGTAATTAATGGTAGATAGCGACGGATGGATGCCACAGGTACAGATTGCACAGGGACCACTGTCTTTATGGTATTAGTTTGTTATGTATGGATAACCACATCTTTTTTGCTATTGTGGTCGATGAGCAGTTGTGAACACGTCATTAACAGCGATACCAACCTGGAATGCATGACGAAAAACGTGTCAATTTTGCCTGTGGACCAATGCATTTCTTATTATAGTTACATCCTGGCCCTTCACAGGTTAACTGAGCCCGAAGATCATTACCTACGAATGCCAGGTATTGCAAATCCACGGGCGGGGAGAAGCAGCATACCCCGCGCCCAAAGATCAGAGACTGGGTCAGGATGGTGTTCATGATGTCATGAGGCAGACTCAGGCCTAGATGTATACATATCCCTGAAGCTAAATTATCTTGCTTATAATGAGAACCAGATAACCGGTTCTTTGTATTAGAATTGTCAAGATCATTCGCTTCTCAACCACATACCCTAGAGAAGCGTTGACGTCTTCATGGAAATGGCCATGTGCTTTGTCTTGCGTGGTGCTTATGTACCAAATTAGCTGGTCTGCTTCCAACAACCCCTCAGGGCGCTGTGGCGGAGTGGTCTAACGCGTTAGACTGTGAGTAGTGACGCTCAAGTTCAAAGGAATCCTCCACTAACATAACTAGTGAAATCTAATTCCTTCGGGAGCATCGGTTCGAACCCGATCGGCGTCGCTTTCTTTTTTCATTTTTTGCACTTTTTTCTCTTCAATTTTCTCATTGCTCTTTGATGTCCTTGTATTTTTCATGCATTTCTCTTCAACCGGCTGTTTTATCCGGTCGGTGACCGGTGGAGCTGGATAGCCTGAGATACCTTGCACTCAACTTCCCACCGTACTGGCTCACCTACACAGCGACGTCCTCCATCAATCTCATGGTACATGGACGAATGGACAGGCTTGTTGGAGTCTGTCACTGCCCTTTGCCCGTCACAGAGGCTTTGTAATTGTCCCCGCATTACGGACCATTGCCGGTCCGAGAAGCTTGAATAGCCGAGCAGAGAGAAATTGCGGGGGTGGATCTCGTTCGCATGAGAGAGGGAAGCCCAGCCCAGCTCTCCATGACCATCTAATTACTTGTTCTTGTTCCTGATTGTGACGATACTTGCTTTCTGCCCCCATTTACTCATACTCCCAATCAATTGCAGCGTGGGGGCTCGGTTTAGCTACTACTGTACCCCCATTACGTGTTTGTGCCGAGCCTCGGCTTCCACCACAGCCCGCAGACTGCCCACAGCTCCTCTGCATCAAACCCGGCTTTGGCTTTGCTTGGCCAGACAAATAATATGTCGGACCCCAGGGCCAGGGCTCCCTTTTGCCAGTCAGAGGCCCTGTTCTCGAGCTATCCCTTTCTGGCACTCGACGATCTGTCTGGTCTCACTGAGCAGGATGTCCAGTTCCTCGAGCTCAACGGGTGTTTCCACCTGCCCCTGCGTCCCATCCAGGAAGAGTTTGTCCACCAGTACTTTTTGTATATCCATCCCTGTTATCCTTTGATGGACGAGGGAGAGTTCTGGTCCATGTACCTTGATCGAGATCGTCGTCGTGGAAAGGAAAAGACAATGTCGCTTCTCCTGCTCCAGGCCATGCTGTTTGCAAGTTCTGCCGTAAGATTCTCCTGCTCTCACTATCCCCTTCATCAACTGACATCCCGCAGTTTGTATCGCCTGCTGTTCTCAAGAATGCTGGATACTCGGGAGTAAAAGTTGCTCGAGGCATCTTTTACCGACGGGCCAAGGTGTGTGGTCTTCAATCTGCCGTATTCACGACTGCTAACAATGTACCAAGCTTTTGTTTGATTTTGGTGTAGAGAGCGACCCCTTCACAAAAGCACAGGCGGCTTTACTATTGACTTTTCAGTTTTCAGCTGCTGAGCCGCACGCTGGGAGCCTTTGGCTGAGCACGGGGATACAGAATGCCATTGTCGCTCAGACGCACACCTTTCAAGCACCCGGATCGAGCACCGCCCTCAAGAGGCGCAACAAGAGGCTCTGGTGGTCTCTCTACTGGAGGGATCGGGTGCTGACCTTGGGACTGCGGAAGCCCTTGCAAATAACCCCTTCCAGCTTCAACGTCCAACTCGACCTCCTCACCCAGGATGATCTGATAGACGAGGCTCACCATTCCTTTGTCTATGATCCTAAGACCAAGCGGCACCTGACGGATATCCTGACATTCCAATGCCGTCTCGGTATTCTCCTAACTGAAGTGCTCGCCCTCACCTATGGCCCGAGCTCTTTTGATCCCACTTACTCCCTGGACCACTTTGAGGCCACGCTTTCACAGATGAGAACTGCAAGAGCTCGGCTAGCCCGGTGGAAAGAGGATGCCGAGGCTGCATTTTACGTCTTTCTTGGTGATGGCCACACTCATCGGTCCTTGACCCTATTTTCAAGTTTGATTTACATATATGCCTAGTAAGTCGGCCATGGCGTTTGTGCTACTAGTCTGACTCCAAATAGTGCCGCTCAAATCGCACTGGGAAACCACGAGGCTTTGATTATCGAACGGATGCAGAAAGGCGTGACACTCCTCGATGATTCAGCTTTGAGGAGTATCGGGGAGGAACTAAGCCATGCGACAACTGAGACGACAAGGCTGGTCAGGCTCATTGTCAAACAAGGCCTGACACAACATCTCCCCATATCTGTGTATGTGAATCCATACTTTCAGCCAAGCACAAGTTTCCTAACTTTGCCTATAGCATCGCATATATTGCTTTCCCGCTCATGCTCAGCTCCTTGGACGACAAGATATCATCAGACGACGCACAGACTGAATCTGACCGGTCCCTTACCAAGTACCATGCGCAAGCAATGCACCTATGCAGCAAGCGATTCGAAGGAGCAGAGGACATAAGTAGAATGATTTCTCAGATTCTGCACTCAGCACCGATACAGCTACCAATCCGGGTTGTCCAGCCAAGACAGAGTAATCAAGGAAAGGGGCCGAATGGAAATAGTGGAAGCTCTGGCTCCAAAAAGATGGGGAGACGCTGGGATGAGATATTTGTCACGCGTCTTTATATGCGCCTCCGTCTATCTCTCGACTATGCTCTAGTCACCGGCAAACCGCCCACCGAGGCGGATCTTCCGTCTTATATCCTTCAAGGGGCAACAAAACGGTTGAACCTTGGACCTGTTCATAGCCTGTCCTCGGCCATGCTAGGGACATCGCCGGGCTCTTCAGCTGGGTCTATTGACAATAACCCCAGGGTTGTCGAATTGGACGACAAGTCACAGGACGGTGAGGCCGACACAAATATGGCCGGTGCTCAGCAGGATTCTGCGATGCCAGATGCCCAAACCGCCATTCAAGCTGGGGAAAGGGCGAGAATACTTCGAAGCTCATGGGAGTATGATCCGATCTGGGCGGCAAACCTGTTTGACGAGATGAATGATGTACTCTGGAGTTGATGAGAATTGCGATCTGAATGCACTGCCCCTTTTGTATGTAATATCACCTGTATTGACTTGTTGGTATAGACAATTATACGACTCCCTAGCTGACAAGAAATCAAACCAGACAGAAATATGCCATTGCACCTGCTTGCACCCGCTAAACTCCGGCACGTCAACGATGCCGGGCCACGAGTCAGCTGATGTTGAGCTCCCCAACAAGCGCAACCACCGAGGCGAATCCAGCATCAGCAGTAGGCTTGATGGAGAGGACGCCACTGCCCGAATCCCACTCGGCAAAGTGAGCAGCCCCCTCGGTCGCCTGCTCCGGGTTTCCATCTGGTGTGGCCGGGATGCCGAGCACTCGCACGATGCCGCCCACCTCCTTGGCCTGGTCGAACTTTTCATCAATCTGCCTCGCTAGCGTGGAGTCTAGGACGCTGACTTTGAAGCCGAGATTGCGCACGACTACTAGGTAGTCTGGGAAGGCGAGGTTGCGTGACTCTTGCGAGGCGTTGCTCTTGAGCTGGTATCGTCGTCCGGGGCTGGGGACGTTCCTGCGAGGTGTAAGAGAGTTTTCAAGGAGCTTAGTTTGGACAAGACTCACCAATCGCCAGCACGGATAGCAACAGTCTGAATCTCATCGTACGAGAATTGAACATCCAGGCCAATATCTGCATTCACACCCTCATGAGAAACACCAACTTCCTCAGAGCTCCCCTCGGTAGTCGAAAACGAGATCCAAGGACCATAAGAGAAGCCGTCGGTGGCCGCATGTCCAAAATCGGACTCGTTGACGGCCTGCCCGTCCGAGACGTCGATGCGGGTGGAAGAATCCCCGTCGCCGACGCCATTGAGCCAGTGCTCGACCTGGTACGTGTACTCGTACGAGTTGAACTCGGGGACGTATGTGATGGCGTGCGGTGTGCGATCTTTGTTTAGAAGTCCTCGAACTATTTCGGGAGAAGCGTGGCAGGCCGGCATGGTAATACTGCATCACCGTGAGCGTGATATAGATGCGCAAGAGGCGGAAAACTTACCCCGGAACTGAGTTACCCCCGATCAAAGCCTGGACAATTCGATTAAAGTCCTTGGCGAGTATACTAGCTACAGGTCCGCCGATCTGGCCAAGGGCAGCTTGGTAGGCAGCGGCAGCGGCCTCGACCGTCTGCTTAGCAGCTGCATATGCAGGGGCGTTGGATGGCCACCACTGGGAAAAGTCCATCTCGCCCGTCATGCCATAGCCTTCCTGTTGTTCGAAATCGTCTAGAGCTCGGTCGCGCTCGGCGAGAGCCTTGTCGAGGGCGGTGGTAAAGTCTTTGCCCGCCATTTCTATCCGGGCTTGCATGGCTGGGTTATCATCGCCCTGTAGATTGTGAGAAGGGGACTACGCTTGTAATAATTGATCAACCTACGACTTTGACAGATAAAAGATACCTAAATGCACCGCATGAGCTTCGTCCATAAACAGCTACTACTAAAAAATGCCACTTACTCAAGCAGACAGTGGACATATGTCTTGTGGTGCGAAGGGTCAAAGAACAGATCATTGGTCTGCAAGAGATTGTTAATAATGGCATTGATGCCAAAGTTGGTATACGAGGGGTCGATCGTCTGCGATGCGACCGGCGCCTTCTGGGCCTGCTTGGTGAAGAACAAGGCTGGCTTGTGTCCAGGGAGGCCACCAACGGCGTTCTGTACCACCTTGCAGTAAGCCAGCCAGAGCTGCTTATCAACGTCGCTGACAGACATGGTAAACGGACAAGTATCGAAGCGAGAGTGTGTAAAAGGGTCGGATTGGTCGCAGATCTTGACGAGACATCGGGCAGCTCAGCTCTACTGGCGATACCTAGATATATAGCTCCCCTACTCTCCAAGCCCTGTTGCCCCCTCAATCGCCGGCCTGATTGCCAATTCTAGAGCCCTCCCGCCCCGCTCAGGAAGGGGGGATTGAGTTGCGGGAGATCCATTGTGATAGCGCCAAACTCTGAGACAGGCTGAGCCCAGCTATGCCATTCTCGACGTGGTTGCCCAGATTGTGGCGGATAGCTGCATAGCGCCCCGAGCGCTCGGAAAAGAGGACAAAGCTCCCGGACGCGAGCCTCGAACGACGAGGTTGCGGCCGTTGATCGTCTCTGGAATACTACGTAGTAGATCTGCCGAGTTTCATCTGTGGCTCATCATTCCCCTATCCGTTGCCGAGAGGTTTCGGAAGAGGCACTAAATAGCCTGATATTCGCATTAGCATCCACAAGCTATTGATAGACGATAATAAAAAAAAAAAGAGGTCAAAGAGTCAAACCCTCGTCAAATCCCGCAAGGGTGCACCTGGCGTAGACCAAGCTAAATCATTGGTCCAAGACGAAGCTGTCGCCCAACACTTTGACATTGGAGGCTGAGCCTACGTCAACCTTTTCAGCTAAGCCGGTGCCACCATTCCACACCGGGAGCGCTCCCCGCAGCCGAGCCTGTCAGTATTTTGACAGCCCTCGCGTGGCACTTTCATAGCTTGCAGCAGGTCCGTGAGCGGCTGAAAAGCTGGACGTCACATGCAGGAACACGGGATCTTGGGAATGGTCTATGGGGGCTGGATGGTGATCATGGCGCTACGCTTCAAGGGAACAATGGCATCTCGGTATCAAAGACAATTGGGTGGTTATTGTCTACCCGAAGCAGACGCAAGAGTTTCTTCAGTCTTGGCAAGAATCTGCTTCTGTTGATAAATAGTAGCTTGGCGCATACTCTTCATCTCCCCCTTTTCTAAACTCTATACTGCAAAAGCACATCAATGACATCCATCTCGGATAACAACGCCTCCCCGACACCGTCGCAAGGCTTCCAACGATAACGCCAGTTCGGCAGTTCTAGACTCCCAAATCCTTACCCGTGGAACAACCTGAGCGCCACTAATCTGATTAATCATCAGATACGAAAGAAAGAAAAAAAAATACACAAGGACCTGGAATTCCTCTAACCGATGTCCGGAAATGGTTTAAGCACGCAAGCCTAGCGTGGCGATAAGATTTCTCGGGACGAATCGAAGAACTGTGACCCGCTGCATTCGCAATGCCCCTTTGGGTCGGGTTTATCGCTGTTTAGCTTCTTCTAGAGCTGTCGAAGACGTGTTGAGTTCTCCGAGGAAGAAGTCAAGTCATGTCGTCGAGTTTTGGCGCCTTGTTTGACTCTTCTGGCACTGTTTTTCAATGAAAATGCTACAAAGAGTTGCTTTTTGTACATGGCATGCTGCCGTGGACTGGTAAAACCGGCGTCGTTGATTCGAACGAATTAATCGTCTTGATTTTTCTGAGCCTTGACCACATGGTCGAGTCATCTATAGTCGGTGATTCTCTAGTACGAATAAACCTGTCGTCATCGTCACCTCCGTAAAGAGATCATTGACCGTTACGTTGGTGGTATTCAACGGAACAAATTCAAGATATGCGCAGCAGGCGCCATGCTCGGTAAGCTTTTGATAATCCAGGTGTGGGTTCGGCAGATAGAAGTTGCAGGGGAGTCAGCTAGCTAAGCAAATAAACATTTACGATTAGTTGGATGCCCTGTTAAAAGCTTTAGGAGGAAGAGAAAAGAACGCTTGATAAGAAAAAAGCCCATGTAAGTCATCCAGAGAGTGTCAGGTTGATCTGTGTTGTTGTTTCTATTTCTCATCCTACCAGTAGGATCGCCAGTATGGGGAGGATCAACAGCAACGCACGCACGCGCACATATTGTATTTTCGCATGAGTAAATTTGGCCTGATATATGTCTCTAATAAGAACACACAAAGTCCCGACCTGCAAATCTAGCTTCTCGTGGAGCAGCCGAGGGTCCACTGCTCCCACTAGCAATCAACGTCGCACCCTTTTTGCTTTGTCCCGAGAACTCATAACAAGCTCTAATAACTAGTCAAGCATAGGGCTAGTTCTGAATAAGAGTTTGCCACGTGGGAGACTCTTACCTAGTTGCAACACCATCGTGGCCTTGATGAGAGCGATTCTGGAGGCGGGAATAGCATCAAACCAACACAGCGTAATTGGTTTAGTGGTAAAATTCTCCGTTGCCAGAGCCCTGGGTTCGATCCCCAGATTACGCATTGCATGGAGCCTCTGGGCGTCTTCTTTTTGTCCCGTTGGGAGTCCTTCTGCTGTTGACTGATCACTCTGCTTGCGGTCCTTAACATAACATCTAAGGAAAGTGCGAGGCGATGTGAAGATCTTGTTTTCTGATGATTTGACCGAGCAGACGGACCATCTGCGGTTTCTTACCATTATCAACTTATCAGCTCTTCAGAGCACTATCGTCAGACAGTATCGGAGAGAGTAGTACAACAACCTGATCCGTACGTTTGCGTTCATCTTAAGAGAACAACTTATGAGCGAAGTTTCATGTCCAATGTAAACAGATCACTTCATGACACCGGGTCATGCTCCATGCTTTCTCACAGATGTCTTACTACGCTCCTCCGTAGGCATCTTCTTGCCACCCAATCTCTCCACAAATCGCTTCTGGAGGCTACAAGGATATCTCAAAGCGCCGTAAATCGTCTAATTTTGAAAATCACATTCACCTCCTGCCATTTCATCGTTGTGGCATTAGATCTAGTCTTGTAATTAGCTACATTTAACGCCATCTATCCCTTACAGAACTACACTCCTCATATCGAGCTCTGCAATTCAAAATTGCCTTGAAAACAGCTGGCACAAGGACGTGTTCATGATTCTCCTGTAGGTATTCAACAAAGAGCGGCTCTCGGCGTGACCCCTAGAGCACATAGATCACTCACAAGATGAGCTTTACATCTATCTTTTCGGTAATACGGCGTCCGGATCGTTCTGGGAGCGGCAATCATAGGACGAGTGCACATTGAGGCTGGAAAGCCACAGTTCCAGAATCTACGGGATGACGTTCCAGTATCTCCTTGTAACCTTCTAGTTATGTTTCTAGCCCAACTCTAATCTATTGATAACGCCTCGATTCCACCTCCTCTCCCTTTTATACTTCTATTAAAACGCTCAACTTTTCAAATACCAGTCTTGCCATCCACCGCCTCATATTGTGAAGACGTCAGGTCCCGAGCTGCCGAACAGCCACACGGTAATCACTCTCTAGCCACTCCGTCAGAGGCACTGCCCTACGCTGCGCTCTTATTGCGCTTCTCCTCGTATGCCCTGCGCCCCTCCTCCTTCAACTTAGCGTCATCTGGCCTCGCAAGATCGACCTGAGGCATGAGAACAAAGGCCAGAACAAAGGCAAGGGCAGCCACAGAAGCCCCAATGAGAAAAATCACCCTAAACCCTTTTCTGTACGCGGGAATAAGGACAGCGCGTATTCTCTCGGCCTCGCTCGACGAGACGGTGTCGAGGAATGCTTGAGGGTTACCTATCAGTGTCTTGGACTCTTTGCTGTCAAGATCCAATACGGATAGAGAATTGGCGATTACATTGTTTCTGTGATGCTGTGTTAGCCAAGATCAGCCATCAGAGCGAGAATTTACATACAGAACTGTGCCGCAGACTGCAAGGCCTAGTGTCGCCCCCAAGTTTCTCACGAAACTGTCAGATATGATTAGCGCGAACCGGAAGTGAACATTCTCGCCTCGTTCCTTACTTTCGAAATGATGTCACAACAGCCATGTCGCGCCTTTCAACGCCGGCCTGTGTGGCTATAAGAGCACTGTGTTTTTGGTCAGTCTAGAAAGCTCGTCGTTGTGAAATAAACTTACGGCTGCAGAGTATTCCCAACACCCACTCCAATGAGGATAGAATATCCAATCTGCTTACCAACTCCCGTATTCTCATCAAGAGTCGACATCAACCCAAGCCCAACAGCCCAGCACAGCCAACCAAAGAGAATACACTCACGATAGCGGCCTACCCAGTGCACCACCAGGCCAGAGAGGGTGCTGCTTACGGTCTGCAGGAGGGTGATGGGGAGTAGCATTGCACCTGCCTTTGTGGCTGAGTAGCCGTATACCAGCTGGTAGAACGAGGGCACGTAGTAAACTTGCATGACAAAGTTCCAGCCGTTGATGGCCATGGTCAAACAAGCCCCATTGACGATCTTGGATTTGAAAATGTGCACTATGCTGCACGTTAGAGAAGTAGTCTCAAAACTAACTTTAGGATAACTCACAAGGAATCAAGGGATACCGAGGGCCTTTCCATTGCCACAGTATAAAGGCCACCGAGACAGCTGTGCCAATCACCAATGTCGTGATGACCTGGGCTGAGTTCCAGGAATATTCATTGCCTCCCCAGGTCAGACCTAGAATGACAACAGTCATTCCAGCCAGGGCGAGAAGGATTCCCAAGAAATCGACAGCTTTGAGCTTCCTGTTCTACATCAGCAAAACACTCACTGAATCTTTAGGGGTGATGGCCACAAACAATCTCCAGTCCCCTTCCACCTTCTTTAGGGGCATAGAAAACAAGACACAGCAAGTAGTGAATATCGTCAGCGGCAGCTGCATGCGAAATATCCAACGCCACGAATCTTCAGACTTTGAAGAGAGAGCGCCACCAATGACGGGACCAACACCATTGGCAATGGCCACAACAGCACCCTGGATACAACCATCAGCTTTAATCCGAAAAGATATCATGCTTTCACTTACTAGGATTCCCTGGTATTTCCCTCTCTCCCGCAGAGGCACGACGTCGCTGACGATTAGCTGGGCGACTGTCATCAGACCGCCTCCTCCGATACCGGTGAACGCGCGGAATATGGTGAGCTGAAGCACAGACTGGGCAAGGGATGAGGCCAGGGAGCCAGCAAAGAAGATTGCCAGGCCTGTCAGGAGAATGATCTTGCGGGACCAAATGTCAGACAGTCTTCCATACATGAGTTGTCCAACCGTCGATGTTCTATGGCAGCTATTAGGTATGTGTGTGATGGACAAGTCAAGACACTTACATGAAATAACCGCTTGCTATCCATGAGACTTCGGCTGTTGATCCCAATGCGTTTCCAATGATGTACAAGCTGGTCGCCAGCATGGTTTGGTCCATGAGAGCCAACAGGTCGACGCTTGCACACGCCAGGAAAATCTAGACAAGTCAATTCGAGCTCAAAGCGATAGAATAAGATATCTCACCGTTATGATGGCCCTTTTGGGCACATAGTTGGTCTGCTCATTGAACTGGTGAGTCTTTCCGTCATCGGAGCCTCCATCGACGACAATCGTCCTGGTAGAGCCCAAGCTATGGCTCATGACAGCCGCTTCATTCGGTTCATGGCCTGCCATTGTGTCTAAAGTCGTGATAGGAAACGTCTTGAAATCAATTGAGGCGTTGGAGCAGTTGCAAGAGCTTTATTCAAGAAGCGGAAGCAAGGGACGCACGGAGGTACCTTGATGCCAAACCAAGACACCCTCGGCTCAAACTCGATGCATCTCCTATTTCGCAGGCCTGCTTAGATGATCGACACGATGACGAGAACCCGTTTGGCTGAGGGACAGAACCCGTTTGGTCGAGGACACAACACACCGCTTCAACTACCGGGCAACTACCGTGCGCTCCCGTCATATAGCCATGTCATGGCAAGACCCCTTGTTGCATTCCCGTCAGACATTTGCTACCTTGAAATTGGCCGGCTCAAAGCGACGTCGCAGATCCCCGAAGATCGGAGGAGGCTAGGGTGTCATTGTGGACGTCTAATCGCGCCGTCGGGACATAGTTTAAGCTATTTGAGCCCATTTGAGAGAATACGCAATCAACATGCTCATTGACATGATTTTTGAATCTTTTGATTTTCACTCTCTTCTCAGCTTCTCTCATAACTTGAAGCTCACGATGCAAGGCTGCAAATCATGCCAAGACAACCAGCCACTCAGCATTTTTTGCCCTCTTGTCCATCAAGGTCCCGTCTAGAACCATTAAACCGGACCCAACATTGCGTCAAACTCCACCGGGATCCCCTTAACTATCAAGGTCGGACAGGGGCAGGGGTAGCTTCGACGTCGTGTGACTTAATAAGCCATGTTGCACGAGAGCCCATGCATTGCAAATCATTATGCGCACTCGAGGAATATTCCCGGCATCCCACGACTTGTGTCTCGCCTGTTTCTTATGCTTATGATGCGTGGGCTGCGTCCACCTTGATGGACAACCAGCCATCGTGTCACCACCCGCTTGTGCTTCCCCAAGAAGTCGTCAAGTAAAGCAATCATGACCATTTGAGGCTGCTCCCCCGAACAAGGTAACTTCCAAATAGAGCCGAGAGCCTAACTAGTGAAACCACCAAGTATAGAGACAAGAAATAGAGCCGCCGATCTTGCCAGTTCTCTCTTGAACAAAGGAACCGTAACCCCCATTCTCTCCTCTGACCAACGCATCCACCTCCGTTACCCGTTGAACGACGATGATCTTAGCGCCGAAAATGTCGGGTGGTGGGCCATTCTTGTTCTGATTGGCATACAAGAGGCTCGTTCCAAGGGAAGTGTGTTGTTCATTGCCAGACATCCCACGCTTTGTATGCAGACACCGAGCGATTTTCACTGCAACCTGAGAGCTCCTGTGTGAAGAAAAGAGGAGCGTCGTACTACTTTATAGTGCTGAGATTTTTCATATATATAGCGGTGCTTGTCTCTCTTTCCTTTCTAGACATTATCCGAGGTCCTAGTCTCAAGCCATAGACAACAACAGCTTTTCACCATGGCGAGCCCGAATCCCCTCAACGTGTACAAAGGACCCGACTCTGTCAAGCAGTATTTCGACCCGGAATCGTCGCCCCCACTTCCTCTTGTCGAGATCCCCGACTGCCTGAACCCCTTCCGTGAAGATGGGGTACGCATCTATGCCAAGATGATGACGATGCATCCTGCAAACAACGTGAAAGCCATGCCGGGTAAGTTTTCAGCTCTTCTACTTCTATTCTTTGCCAACACTATTAGCTCTCAACCTTTTGCAGAAATGTGTGGTGCCTGGACAGACAAAGACGGTGGTTGAATACAGCTCTGGCTCAACTGTGCTGTCCATGTCATTGATCTCCCGCGCAATTCACGACATCGATGACGTGAGGGCGTTTCTAAGCAACAAGACTAGCGCAGCAAAGCTACGGCTCATGCAGTTTTTCGGTATTGACATGTGAGTTTCTATCCCGTCAAATGTTTGGAGCCACTGATGAGTGTCGACTTACTCACATCTCATAGAACACTCTTTGGTGGTCCTTCTCAGCCAGAGCCCGTTGATGAACGTGGTGGTATCAGAGCAGCACAGAGATTGGCTCATGAGTCAGACTCTGTTATCAACCCCAACCAATACGAGAACGACTTGGTGAGTTAAATGAGTTATGAATACTGAAAACATTCTAACTGGAACCAGAACTGGAATTCTCACATCAGATGGACTGGACCTCAAATCTCCAAGCAGCTCCCAGAAATCAACCTAATATGCGCTGGAATGGGCACGTCAGGTACGTTTGATAATGAGTTGCCCGTAACAACTACTAACAAAACCAGGAACGATGACAGGACTTGGCACTTATTTCAAAGAAGCAAAGCCTTCTGTCTATAGATTAGGGTATGTACATATACCAATCAAGAATACAAGTGAAGCTCACAGTTTCACAGAGTATGTACTGCGCCAGGTGACAGAGTCCCCGGCCCGCGATCATTCGCCCTCATGGCACCTGTCGAGTTCCCCTGGAAACAGGCCATCGACCACATCGAAGAAGTTGATTCTCACAACTCCTTTTCCCTGTCACTCGACCTCTGCCGACAGGGCATTGTTTCCGGTCCTTCATCTGGGTTTAACCTTAGAGGTCTTTACCAGTTTCTCGAGAAGCGAAAGTCCGAGGGCACGCTTTCCGAGCTGGCTGGAGCAGATGGCACCGTTCATTGCGTGTTCTTGTGCTGTGACCTGCCTTATCAGTACATTAACGAGTACTTTGACAAGCTTGGCGACAGCTACTTTCCGACTATCAAGAATGAGGTGTGTATCAGAATCCATTGGATTGAATGTAGCTAACTTGAGGCAGCATCTCCTCAAGGTTGACCTCTACCGATACGACGAAAAGTGGGAGAGGCCAGCCTCAGAAGCTCTGGATGCCTTCTTCGACATTGATAGAGGTGCCCTACTTGATATGGTTCTCTCTGATCCCAAGAGCGGATCAATGGGCGCCTTTGAGCTTCAGAACATGTTGCGCTCTCGACAAGACGCCGTGGTCATCGACCTCCGGCAACCAGACGACTTTGGAGCCTTCCATCTCCCAGGCTCCGTCAACATGCCCTTCACCCAGCAGTCTAAGCCAAGTCCATTCTCAGACGCCAAGATCCTGGAATCTCTGTGGCAAAGACTCGAAGCCACATTCAAGGCCCCAAGCCAAGAGCTCAAGACTCTCCTCCAGGACAAGCGAATACTGCTTACATGCTACGACGGAGATAGCGCTCGTGTGGCAACTAGCGTTTTTCGAGCCAAGGGTTACGAAGCTGACAGCATAAGAGGGGGTTTCACAGCATTGAGCAAGATGCGGCAGAGTTCGAGTCAGGTTACTCTAGATGGAAGTCGTGAGACCTCGCCGTGGATGGAGCTGAGTCAAGAAACTTATGGAATTCAGTCTGCTCCTGTTTCACTTTGAGGAGGCCTGGGGGATTTTGAGAAGAACTTGTGTTCACAAGGGCTAGAATAGTAGAGGGGAGTGATAAGAATACCCTGGAAAGAATGTGTGGGTGGCTAAACTATGACAATGGACGTGGTAGATGATAAGGATCAGATATATATGATAGTTATTTTTGCAGGAAGTATAAGACAGGTTTCCAACTCATAACACAGCGTTGCCCTTCTATTATAATGCACTTGCTATTACTCCGTTGGCAGATAACATGTCCTACGTAAGGTTGCTGCTGGATATTGATGTTTTGATTGCGCGGCTAGCAACTCAGGGCTTGTTTGGGTTCCTAAAATGATGTACTTGATTCTACTGCCCTCTGCCGTGAGGAAAAGGGGCGGCCCCGAGACACCAACGACACCAACATGCTACGTAGGAGGTATCTAGTGGAATCAAGATATTACCAACAGACCCGAGACTCTGTACTTTATTAGAGATAGTTATGTGATAATCAAGGTCAATTTACTGTCTCCTAAGCTCTAGTTGTAGGGGAGACCGGCCAGCTTTTGCAATCTCTAGCAGTATGCCCCGAATCATCCTAGTGGTAGGTACACAATTAAAATACTCAAAGTTGGTGTCACCACCTCCATCGGGTTTCTCCATATGTTGTCGAAACCCAGCCGAAGAGTGGGCTCCAGCTTTCTCTCGTAAGCATCTACTTCATCCTGGGTGCAGTTGTCCCAGAACTGACCCGGCCGGATGTGGACGAGGCCATCATAGCAAATTCCAACCAGATGCTGCCCTATTACGTAGTGGTGTCAGGAATTCTGGCCAAGCCAGGCCGGCAATCAAGGTCAAATCAGTTTGTTTTCAGCCGCTATATTTCGCTCGCAAAGCTCTCCCGCCACATGGAGACTGATATGTGTCCCGAGATGAACAGCCCTACATGGAGAGAGGGAAGACAAAGGCTGGAGAGGCCTCGTTTGAACTTGCCTGGGTCTGTTTAATAATAGACCCATACAGCTGCATCGTGTATGTCGCTTCAATCTATGACGTGCAAACGCTCTATCGCGAATACCTCTTCAGGCCTCAGCCAGGCTTGGACAGCGGATATGGCGTCGTCTGTAGCCTTCAAAGCCGCCTGGTGGTCTGCGTGTTATTAAATTTCAGTATACGCAGTGTAGACCTTGCTTGGGATGCTGGTGGGCACGAAATTCTCCAGATCCGAGAGACTGCCAAGTGTTTGAAAATAATGGTCAGCATTGACTTCACGGGAAAAGGTTCATTCGAGTAGCTTTGAATGCAACTGCATAATCAGCGATAACGGGCAGGTTTTGGTCCACCATCGCAAGCTCATGTCCGACCTGGCCAACCAGGGTCCCAGCACCTCACGGTAACCCAACCCAAACAGAGTCCCAACTGAGCAAGAACGTCAGAACACGGCACAAATTGCTCCCCCCAAGCGCGAATGAGGCTTGCCGAGCTACTCACAGCCAGCCTAGCCACACAAGTTCCGTCAGTTGTCGGAAGTACCTACATTAAACTCATTATACTTCCTCCGTCAGGGTCTTGCCACAAGCCGTGAAAGGAACATGACCATTGGAGTTTTATCCTATTTGGTTCCACAGCGAATACACAATGAAATTATTATTTCCATATTCCTTCTCATTTTTTTCCCCCTTCAGCCATTAAACCCGCTCTCAGATATGAACTAGCACCGATGCCGTGCCAGGGGCTACAAGGAACAGCCCTTTTGCGTTCCGCCTATTTACAAATGAACTACCTCAAACCTGCCCCAAACCCAGTGCTGAACTAAAATTCCCATCCGCTATCCGCCAACGGATTCTGACCTCTCCGATCTCAACCAGCAGACCGTTCGCTCGGCGGAACGCTCAAGGCAAGGTCTGGAGGTGGCGGGAGCGGCAGGAGTACTCTGCAGGGAGCAATAAGCAAACACCCGTTCAGGTATGAATTTTCAGCTAAGCCAGGCCTATTGAAGGGCTGTGCATCCCCGGCGTGGCCCAGGTGACCCGTTAACTGCCGACTTGCCATGGCGGTGAGCATCTTCTGCGATCTTACGTCCAACAGCCCCCCCGGCGAGTCGTCTCAAACGGGCGACGAGAGGAAACCTGAAGCCTCAGCTGTAGGCTTGCAGGGCCAAGTCCAAATGGAAAGGGGGGCGGATATTGTCATGTTCACAGTGAAATGAATCAGGGGCCAATAACACGATTCAAGCTCCTAAACGGTAGCGATGTGCTGTACCGGGCGTTGAATCCGCCGTCAGGGGCCGTGTTTGTCACCGTACCCGGTGCTTGAAGAAACGGGAGGAAAAGCAGGGCCGCCAACTCTATGAGCTAAACTTAGATATCATGTATTGTCGCCTCAGATTGGACAAACAAACGCCTCATTCATGCCACTTTCTCGCTGGCCTCCTTAATCCACTCAACAACACAGACTTCGCCTTTGCTCTGGTCTTGCCAATCGGCCACGCACCAAAATTGGAGTTGAGAAACGAACTTGCGGGAAGAAGCTCGGTATAGCGTCGTGTGTGATGTTGAGCGACTGAGAGAGTACTCCCGGGGAAACCAAATTGAGAGCATTGAGAGCGTGTTGGGTATTTCGGTCATCCAGGCAAGGACTCCGGCCCGTCAAGTGGAAGAGGCCATACGAAACACCAAGGAACGCCATCTTGCGCGCGCAAGGGGCGGGCATGGACCCTGACCCAAGGATGACGTGTTCAGGCCCAGAATCCAGCTGCGCCAGAGGCAAAAGCAATACCCAAGAGCAATCATGATGGGGTGACGGCATCTTACTGCAGGGATGGGTGTCAAAATAACACGAACCTAGCAAATCCAAACGTTCCGAGCCATTGAACGCGCCTCTTCGCTAGCTTGGTCTTCCTCCCAGGGACTGTTCATCAGCCGCGCGGGTATCAGTTGTTTCCTGACCAGGTTTCCCATGTCAATGCGGGCAACGCTGGAATCTCACCAGGCAGCATCCCCTGCCAGGCTGGCATCATTTCCAGCCAGTCAAGAGAGGAGAAGGCTGCCATCCGCCACTTCATCACCGTGAGCCTTTACTATTGGGCTACGGGAAGAAGGTGGGCATCTGGGGCGCTCTGTGTGTTACACGGGGTGGATACTGATACCTGTCGGCGCCCCTAAAACACCAAACAACGACAATTGCGGGTGCCGTGTGTAACATGGCGCAGGAATCAGTCGGGGGCCTGCATATTCCATTCAATGAGTGGATCGGTCATTCAACTCAGCGTATCATGGTAAACTAGGAGGCGGCATTCGCGACCTGTCAAGACCAGTCAGTTCCCGCTAGGCACGGAAAGAAAGGGGTCAGAAAGGAGACCTCTCGGCCAGAGGTGAACGCTGCTGAGGAGAGGGCTGGAAGATGGGAGTGTGACCAAACGCCATCCAGGGCTTGGCCTTCACCAGTGCTCTTAATTACACCCCAGTCGCGGGAGTTGACAAGTCCCTGCCCCTTTTGTTTTTCTTTTGGACTTTTAATCTACCTCATTTTGCTTCCCGATGAAGAGACCAGTAACTGGGCACTATACTCTCTCTACCTTGTTCTGTTTGATCTTGGCAAACTACATCTGCAGCTTGGGCAGTTCCTCTGAAAGTTTGTGCATGGGGCACTTGATGTTGCATTAAAGCGACATGTGGCTTTCGCGACGTCTGGACCTTGCCCCTGAAATGTCAGACCCAACGTCTCGGTGCCGCCTTTTGGCCATCCGCCCAAAGCAGGCTTGAAAAGTAACCCCTGCCTGGGAGCCGCCAGATTCCAGGGGCCATGCCCATTGCCGCGTCCAGTACTCCGTATGCAAGACGGGTTACACGACACGACCCAGGCCGCGGGGAGCCTCCAGATGTGCGCACCGCATACCACTGACTCACGGGGGAGGGTTCCACCCGCTCGTGCATGCCTGGAAAATCTTCTCGCCATCGAAAAAGAGTGCTGATGGTACTGGGTCGCTTACGGACTGACGGGAAGCCATTCTTTCTCTTACCGTCAGTGACATCTCTGACGGAGGCCATCACCCGCAATGATATGAGACATGCATGAGAATTAACAAATGACAACACCGAAACCCAATTGTCAAAGCACCTTATCTACGGGAGGCTTGCTTGCGCTTGAACGGACAGTACGTGACCTGGGTCTAGGCTCTCGCAACTCAAATGGCTCCTGCATGGGTACACCCAATGACTGAATGCAGCCGTTGTGGTCGGGGTGTAATGATACATCAGCGGGAGAACATAGTGAAACTGAGTGGTCGGGTCATCAATGAACCGCTACCCCTGTCCACCACCGCTCCTGCAGAGTATTGGAAGCTGGCCATCCATGATGCTACCAACGCGAGCCCAGGGCTCTTTGGCACTGAATTTTACGTGAGCTTGAGTCATGACGATCCCGTAAGGCGGGTTGCCAGAAGACAGCGCCCTCAGTTAAGGATCTCCAGATAACGGTCGGCTCAAGCGCTGGTAGCATCTGTGTTGATGGCAGCAGAGATAGTTGGTTCCCTCTCCCAGGGCGTGTCTATACACACCTGTCCGAAAAGAAAACTGGGAAAACCTGTCTACCAACTCTTCACGCCTGGTTGACAAGTTTTGTTACTCGCCACTCCACTTTTGGTTTTCAAAAATAACACATCAACCACAACAACAAAGAATGCAGCAATCAGCACATGGCGGTCTAGAGACAGATGTCAACTCCCACGCTCTGCTCCCCCAACCTCTTCATGGACCAAGGCTAACTCTTGAAGCATCTTTACCACCCAGGCGAGATCTTTGTTTCTAGATGGTTTGGTGATTCTTAGCTTCGTATCGCTGAATGATCCCTGGTCCTTTGCCTGTTGATGGAAGTCAGAACTTTGAAGATGTTGAAAAAACGTTGTCATCCCTTCAGGCTTGATACTCCAAATGCCCACCAGATCAGATACTCTAACTGATTCATCTCTCTTGGTTCTATCTCTTGACTGCAAGACACTTCACAGATCGTCTGGCGATCGCTACGCTCCACCCCCTTTCACGCGCTTCCATTCCTTCTCTGGCCTCCAGAGGCACTTGATTGTCTGCGTCTTAATGGATTCCAATGTACGTAATGTAGACATGGTTTGAGCCGTTGGTGAGTCAAAGCTTTCACCTCGGAATGGGGAGTCGGTGGATCTTTGACTGGTGGAGCGGACAAAGGCGCGCTGGGCAGCTGGGATGGGTGTCGACGGTTAGGACTGGCGTGTCTCGATGCGTTTGCGAAAAGCAATGGCTTAATTTAACGTGCGGGTTTAATAACCTGGCCACTGTATGTAAAACACTCGAAAGGGAGCCAGTTGAATCGACTTGAAGAATGCACTGTTTTGTAGAGATCTAACCGTGGGCATAGGGGGAAAAACCGGCGAACGAAACAAAACCCCTGCCCTCTGCTCAATCTCATGTAACCACCCCAACCCTACTCCAAACGCAGTATTCAATCACAATCCCCAGACCTTATCTGCCAACTCATCCACTATTCCTTCGTATCCCCCTTCGTGCCAACCCAGCCCGGCCGTTCGTTCGGCGGAACGCTCCAGTCAACGACTCGTTTCTCCTTCGAGGCGTTAGGACTCTTCTCCAGATCGGACAAGGCAGACCTCATCCAATCGATCCTGCGCGCCAATTGCGATTGGCTGGCCTGCAGGGGTGCCAGAAGTTTCTTGACTTTAGCGCGATCTCCGAGAAGCTTGGATAGGGTTTGACGGCTGTTATGCTCCTTGAGGTATTCCTCGAACATCTTGAGTGCGTATTCGGTGTTGTTGATAGAAATAAGAACTCGTCTCTTGAGCTGAAGCTCTTGGTTAACGTACTTGGTGAGCTGATCGTAGAACATTCTCGCGTCCTCAATGTCATCCTTAACATTGCGCGCGACCATGTCCATGCCGTGAGCCTCGATCTTGAAGCTGACCGAGTTGAGACTGAACTCAAGCAAGAGCTTCATGGCCAGGCCTATGACCGGCCCAAGGAACTCAGCGCCGGACATTGTGACGGACGAAGAAGTTCAAGGACTCGAATAGTGAAAGTTTGGTTCAAGTGAATGTGTACGGGTGGCTGTTGAACAACGGTGACAAAAATGGATGTATGAGTGTCGTATCGGCTAGGCGTCGTAGGAAGATTGAGGGAAAGCTCGGGAGTGTGAAATTTCAAGCTTTAGATGGGCAAGGCTTAGGTTTTAGAGTTTCTGGGTGCGGTGGTTATCGCACTTCAGCTCAACCTCCCAGGCTGGTGCTCGCTGCATCACAGAGAACTTCGTTGTGATAGCTCAGAATCAAGTTCCGGAGGTGGCCGGAATGACATGGGTCTGCAGGCAAGCATGCATTCAGCTATGGATTTTCAGCCAAGCCAGACCATCGTGAGCTTTCGGCAAGGCATAGCTCCAAGGCTTTGCATCCCCAGCATGGCCTGGGCGGCACGTCAACTGCCGGCATGCCATGGTGGTGATTCAAACTCCTAAACGGTAGCGTTGTGCTGTGCCGTGGGTCCACGCCGTCGTCATGCCGGAGGCAGCGTTTACTACCGTGCCTGGCGCTTGAATAAGGAAAAAGAAGAAAGAAACAGGACCACCGACTCCCGCGGTCTAACTTGGACGTCACTAATGCCGCCATCTCGGCTGGCTTCATGGTGCCTCTTGACCCATACCCCTGCCCAGTTCTCTGCTCAATCTCATCCGTCACAGGTAGAGTAGTTCTGGACCGCGCGTCGTTTCCTTTCCTTCAGACCCCGAGCTGGCGAGCGCGGAATGCTGCTACTTGATGTTCCCCGATACCGCCCTCGGATAGACCCATCTGTTCACTCCCATGCATTGAACAGAATGAGTTCTACGGTTGGTCGTGCCAAGCATCAGGCATGATGTCAAGGGTCAAGGGATGCAGTAACTAACACTTGATGACAGCATCAAGATCCAATGCTGGGAATTGCCGTCAGTGAGCTCCGTGACATGCCACATCTCCAGTGCGCAGTCACCGTTGGCTGCCCTTTCCCGCCTCCTGGCTCAAGCTGGGGCTAGTCTCATCCGTCTGGCAGTATGGCCCCTTAAGTTCCCAAATTATTGATTTGGTCCAATAGTTGAGATGAAGGTGAGTGACGTGGTGGATGGCGGCCTGCACCTCTCGATGGCCTACGGAGGGAAATGCAAACGGCCGGTGACATTGCCTTGGCCCCTGCACTTATCACATTGAAACGAGAGTCTAGAATACGAAAATGATCATTAACGGCGCGGCACGTGGAAACGAATGCCCAAGAAGGGGCGGGATAGAGGCGGTGTGGATTTCCGTAGTTTACTGAAGACTTGAGTGCTCAAGTTCCGTGACATTTTGGCGCTCATGACGGTGTCTGACTGAGGGGATCGGCCACGGTATCAAGGAACGCAGTCATTAATGCAGACCAGGGTCTACATCTAGTTCTGCACAGCATCATGAGGCGACAATCAGCGATGGCACACACTTCTCTTCTCATAGACAAGGACGTAGGATTCGACAAACACAAAAAAACGACAGATAAGGTGAACTACGAATAGCTATCTTTGTAGTGAGAACCGGAGAGTGGTGCCGTCCCTGGCAGTCTTGTGCTCAGCAGTCTTGTGCTCACGCAGCTGCGAGGAACCATGAGGGGGCGCTTCAGCAACACCAGACTTGGCATACTCTTTAGATTGACTGTTAGGCCGATTCTGGTCATCAGGGCGCATCGGTCAGGCGAGTTCATCATCCAGCACCAGGGCCGGCTTCGAAGTTTTGGTTCTGCCCTGCCAGACAAACCTCAGCCCAGGGTAAATAATAAACCCCGGCTTGGTTGAAGACCACACTGCCTCCCACTCTGTGGGCTGACCTAGAAGAACGATTGCAAAGTTGGCAGCCCTCTCAAGAATGTCCGCCATGTGATTCTCGAATCGATCATTTCGTGGGTGGTCCGTTCTGAGCGCCTCTGGCTGCAAGGCATTGACGATAGCTGGAACCATGGCCCGAACTCTTTCCTTCCTGGGGTCGCCATCTTCGAAAGGCCCGCATGGTAATGGCTCAAGGGACCAGGGGTAGTCCAGGAGCATAAGTATGCTTTCGCGCCAAGCAGCGATGGGCCTGATCCCTGTGTCATGATTAATATAAGGAATACGCTATGAAGTTGCTCAGAAGGGTCAACTTACTTTTAGGAATATCGTAGACCCGGCACACAAGCTGGTAGCAGCTAGAGACCTCGGGAGGAAGAAGGCAGTCATCAACAGGGCAGGTAGGTTGCATGCGCTTGTAGACGACTTGTGCGAGGAAGCACCTAATGGCCGGGTCTCGCGTGGAAACGTTGCTGATAGACTGGGACCAGGTCCCGCCATTGACAGGCTCCCCAGCTAGACGAACGAGCTCAGATTCATCGAAAAGAGACTCTGGAACATCTGGCTTCCCATGGAGGCCACGGCCGAAGAAAACCCTGGTGAAGTTCCCGAATTGATACTCAAAACTCTCAGCCTCTTTGAGTTCTGCAGTGCCCGAGATTGCATGCACGCCAATGTTCATTTCCTTGATCGCATCTGGCGGTGGAGCCAGTATGGCAGGCGAAGGCTGTGGTTGCATGGCGATGGCGCGTTTGGGAGGCACGTAGTAGGCGGAGATGATTCGAGATATGCCAAATGTCACGGCTATGAGGATGAGGGAGCCAGCGAAGCCGACGGCGACCCCAACACCGATAGCCTGACGAACTGTGAGCGCCATGATGATCGAGGTATGGAGAGTGAGAGTGAAGATGAGTGGAATGAGAAGAGAGGAGGGGAGGGCATGCATGGACGGCAGAAGTTACCTCCCCATCGTTGTTGCACGGGTCAAGACACCTGACCTTGACACCCTCCACACATACCGTTTACGCCGTGGCTTGATTGATTGCCCACCAACTTGTTCACATTTGCATTGTGGTTTGATTGCCGTCTGGGCGTGCCATGAATGTCTAACCAGACCCTACGGGGTGGCCTGGTGGGGGCAACACATTAACTGAATATGGAAACAGCCCTGTGCGAGGCACATGGAGTACACCATGTCTATCGGGACATTCACTTCTCCATCGCCATTGGACTCTTTACTAAGTTACTTGGTAAAGCCTTGACCATGGAATGACGGGAGGTAAAGTATCTCTCTTTGAACAAATAGTTCTTGACCGCCATTTCCAGTGGCTCACGTATCATAACAATCCCTACCCGTGCAAACATACAGCCAAGGTTAATGGAAACGAAGCCATGCGGCATACTGTGACTGCCTGAGTTATCCTTTCCTTTCTTTTCTCTGTTTGACATTCTGTCTGTTGACTCCTGAGGCATCCCGCCCTCACAGTCGGTCAATATTGAGACCTTGACATATTGCTCGCCTCCCCAACCACAGCTTCACGAATCCCCTGACGGACTCAATCACTCATCATTCACAATACTCCAACTATTCAAAATGGCTGTCGACTTGACTGTCGGTATAGACGTCGGAATGAGCGGTAGGATGCCCTTCCTTTGATCCTCGATTCTTCTGAGACCGACACATCTGACCCATCGACACAGGCACCGGTGTGGCGTATCGCCAATCCAAGACCGGCGGTGTCGAGTGCGACGTCGTATACCTGAAATGGGGAAGCGATGAACAGGTCAAGGTTCCAACCAAGTTGGCGTACGCAAGAACGGACGATTCGCAGCCGCCCCTTCACTGGGGGCTCAACATCCCAGATACCACCGAGAACCTATCCGTCAAAGGATGGTTTAAGACGCACTTTGGAGGAAACGGCTCAAATCAGGCAGAAGCCGAAAGGCATGCAGAAGCCGAAAGGCTGTATTCTGACTACTTGAAGTGTCTACACGACGAGCTTTCACGGAGGTTTGTCCGTGATGGGATACTCGGTAAAGCATGGAAGCATGCGAACATCGCCTTTGTCTTCAGCACGCCAGCTTGTTGGGAACCCCCTGTAGTGGCTCAGTTCAAAGCCCTTGTATTGAAGGCCGGGTTCGAGAAGGCGCAGAGCAAGCGACTTGGTCGTGGCCTTCATACCGTCGCCATCACCATGACCGAACCGCAAGCAACAGCGGCTTTCGAGTTGCATACCCCACGGCCCGCCGCAAACCTCCGGGTAGGCGATCCCATCTCTTGCCATGTATTGGATTATTGCTGACCATGATTATGCAGAGAGACCACAATGTCATGATCATTGATGTTGGTGCTGGCACCGGGGTATTAATCCCCCTCTTTCGCTGCTGTTGGGTCTCGAGCTGACTTGGCACAGGACTTCTCTCTCCTCCAGGTTGCAATCAATGCGCAGGAGACTTTGCATTGGCGTGAGCACCAGCCGGCCATAGGTGAGTGGTTATTTTTTCCCCTTTCGTCATGACAGCAGCTAAGGTTGGACTCTTGAGGGGAAAACATCGGGTCGTGGCACATCGACAAAGGCTTCGAGGCGCGCATGACGGAGATTTTGAAGCCCTACCAACACCTTCTGAGTCATAGCGCTTCTCATGTGGCTGGGGAGATGCGCCGGGGCACAGAATTCCTCCGTGTAAAGCACGAGTTCGAAGGTGCGAATGTGCAGAGTGAGACGATTCCCGTACCCCATCTCGGAGATGGCCAGCGTGTCCACGACGATACTATTCAGGATGGTCACTTTACAAACCCTGAGTAAGTTGGTAGGTACAAGACGGGAGTTCGTCGCACTGACGTAGTCCAGGACGGAGCTGAAGCCGCTTTTTGACAAACAGATCGAAGGGATCACCAGCTGCATCTTTGAGCGGGCAAGTCAGCGCAATGAACCACTGGAAAGTCTACAATCCTGCTCCCTCTTCCCGTCAGCGGGCTAACAATCTACGCAGGATTATCTTCTGCTCTCTGGGGGTCTTGGGAGCTCGCCCTACGTCAAGCGACAGCTGGAGAGGTTTTGCAACGATTGCTCGATACTCAAATCTACCAAGCTGGTGGTGTCTAGGCAGCCCCAGCTTGCCGTCTGCATGGGTCTAGTGTATGCCGCCACTTCCAACGAGGCTGTCTTTCCCACGATTGCTTGCCGCACGTCATTCGGTCTCGTCAGTCGCATCCCGAGCGCTGCCCCCGCTAAAAGAACGTGGATATCCATCTTGACACGAGGCAAGGGATTTGAAGGTCGTTTCGACGATTGCGTCGACTGGATCATTCCCAAGGTCAGTTTCCTTGGTCGACTTAGCCAGACTCCTTCCTGCCAGCTGACATGAGATTAGGGCAAACAGATCCAGAACGGAGGAGAGCTCGAATTTGAGCGGAAGCTGTTTTTTGAGCCAGGTGAACGTCGGGTTTGCAATATTGAGATTGTCTACAGCTTGGCGGATGGCCCAAAGCCCCCCAAAGGTATGTCCACCGCCCAACCACATCTTGAGCATCCACATTGACAGGCTCCGAGATTTTATTAAGACCCATCAATTCATGCGCGCCAACTTCTCCGAGGCCGATGCTAAGAAGAAGCGCAAGGTCCTCTGGAGCAAGGAGCACTTCTTCCAAGTCGATTTTAAGATTAAGGCGACAATCGGACAGGCCGAGGCAAATTTCCTTTGCGGTAAGAAGAAACCCTCAGCATCATGTAAAATTGTGACACTGACTTGGAGCAGTGGACGCCAGCGGAAGAAAGATCAGTGAGCCGGTCACGATTTCCACACCTCGCGAACCACCGATCATGGGCTTGGATGGTGTTGAAGAGGAGTAGACCGAGGATTGGCTCTGTTTTCTTCGTGTGTGGTGTCTTCGCTTCTTGTTCCGGTGGTTGTGTTGCAGACTGGGTAGCTCGACGATTCTCAACAGCAGATTGAATAGAAATAAAGCTACGAGGTGAATAGATTCGCTTGCCAGTAAAGACTTATCGCAGAGCAACTCCCATATCCCCACCTGCGTTACATACATACTGCGTAGTTTACCAAGATCCAAACTCCTCCCATTCGTCAAGCCTTCCGGTTCCCTTGGGGGGTTGTGTCCTCGGTAATCAGACTCCAGGATCGCATTCCAATCACCACCGTCCTGTTCCCGATTGGCCGACTTGGAAACACATTGGAGCCGGGAATACCCTCCCCTTTATTCCCGCCAACAACGACAGTTCGATTTACTTGACCATACCCCCACCTAAACGAGAACGAGGGACCGTCGGGGGTTATTCACGACGCGAGAAGGCGAAGGACCACGTGAAACATTACGGGGGGGGATCTTTCCAGCTGAGCTTCTCCCAATATCTTTAACTAATCTCTTTTCTTGGCCTTGTCGGAGCTCCCGTCGACTCTGAAGCATCCTTGATTGCCGTCTCAACCTAACCTCTATGAACTTGCAACGAGTTGGCTTGTCGGCCATTCGTGGTATTACTCTCAAGGGCGCATTCTCTTGACTCAATTGCTGACAAGCTCCGAGCAGGCACGGCGAGACCAAATGTCTTTTTCAGCCAGGACGTTCCCAAACTGGCTGTCGCCCGCCTCTTGTCACAACACTCACGGTACACCAAACATCCCCCATACTAGAGACGATTACCTTCCAACGGATTGAGTCCAAGCCTGATCTAACATACCACCTAGAAGCCCACCGACCATCGTACGCATGAGCGCCAAAGACGGCCACGACATACTCGTCAAACAGCGCCTCAACCGGCCCGTCACCCCCCACCTCAGCATCTACAAGATCGGCCAGGTCTGGTTCAGCGCCTCAGCCTGGACCCGAATCACCGGCATCGCTCTCGGAGGCACAGCGTACCTCACCCTCTGCGCCTACGCCGTCGCCCCGCTCCTTGGCTTGCCGTTCGACTCGGCTGCGGTAGCGTCGGCTTTTGGCTCTTTGCCGTTTGTCGTCAAGGCGGCTGTCAAGTTTGGCCTGTTGGGTTTCCCGTTTTCGTATCACTTCGTCAATGGGGTTAGGCACTTGGTCTTTGACTTGGGATTTGGCTACAAGAAGGCGCAGTTCAGAAAGTCGGAGGCGGCTACTTGGACGCTTAGTATAATTGGTGGACTTGTTCTGGCCTTTTTTCTCTAATGGTCTGATTGTATGAAGGGAAATCGTCTAGAAATGCTTCAGTCAGGTTGTTAGAGGTTATTGAGAGTGACGAGGTCCTTAGTAGGCACTACTTCGTCTGGTCACGATAGGAGTAAGTGTTATGAACAGCCACCGTGTTTTTGGTCAAAGAGATTTCATCAATCTATAATATTTTAGAGTTTTATGTCAAGATTTTCGAGAATTTTCTATATGATACGAAACAAATCTTACAGCGATGCTTCGGTACAATTCCGCGCCGCTAATGTTTATGTGCCAGCACACTCTCGCTACAACTCTGCAACTTGATCCAACTCGGCAAAGACCGGGGGACCGGAAAATGATCCATCCCTCAATCAATGCTCCCGCTTAGCCGCAAGCCTCGGGAGTCAACTCACACGCGGGCCGGAGGTGTACTTCCAGGAGCGGCTCCGGGGGTCATGCCATCCGGGGGACTACCTCCAGCGCCACCAGCACCCGAGTTCTCATTGGCGACGCCTCCGGACTCGTACAGGTAGGCTGCCGGGGTGATGGACTGAGACTGGGTGGCGTTGATGCCAAAGGCGAGCCATGCGAAGAGACCGTCGGCGATGTCATCTCCAAGCATGGTGTATTCCATAAAAGGGTCGACTCCATCCGTGGCTGTCTCCTCGCTCAGGATGCTGTCGTCGGCGTTCTCGGTGAGCTCCTGCGTGTTGGAGCTGTACGGCTCGAGAGTTTCAACCTGCGAGATGAGGTCCTGGTCGAAGAAGGCCTGGCCAACGTGGCTGGCGTAATTTTCACTTCCCAGAGTCATGTTGGCCAGCAGAGTGGCATTTGTGTGAACCATGATGTGAATATGCGTGGCTCGGCTGGTGTAGTGGCCGGGAAAGATGGACTCGAACTGCGCGACGCCATCACAGTCGGTGCGCTGAATTCCGCGAAGCCAGGTGTTGTTGATGTTTGTGTCGTCGGAGCTGTCACCGTTGCCGCTCGCGACGATGCCCGAATAGACACCAGTGGAGTTGCAGTGCCACATCTCGAGGTAGACGTTGGGGACGGGGTCGCAGGTCTCAACGTCAATGACCTGGTAGTCGAGCACAATACCGAGGCCTTCTTGGTCTTCGACAATGTTCTCACGGACGTATTCTCCTGCCACATCTTACGGTGTTAGAGTTCATACATAACAAAATAAGGCTGCGCTCTTACAATAAGGACCTTGGGTAACCTCGGGGGTCAACACGCAAGAGTTGATTCCAGCAAAGAGCGTATTCGCGTCTGTGTTTAGAGTATATCCCTGATCCGTCTGGTTATGAGAAGCGCTCAGGACAGATTCGAGATCGCGCTTCTTGAGGCCACGCTTCTGCCGGGCCTTGGAGATTTGCGCTGAGCGGCGAGCAATATTCCTTGCCTCGATGCCTCGGGCCTTGAGCTTCTCAGCACAATGGGCGAGTGAGGATCGCTTCACCGAGTTGAGGAAATCGCGTCTCTCGGCCGCCTCCTGGGCGACGTTGTGTCCCGGGTGGGCTGTGACAGCTCCTGACAGCAGGAGGAAGCTGGTAAAGAGGTTCGTAGTGAGACGCATTTTGATGCGGATGTAGTTGAGACTTGGTGGAAGGTATGATGAATCTGGTATGATGAGAGGAGTAGTTGTTTGAAGAATGAAGCGTTCAAGACTGTTGATGCTTTACAATCGCTTCACAGCATAGGTCTTACTTATAGTTTCTCCATCTTGTTTCCAGGTTACATTTAATCTATTCGAACACAGCCCACATCACGGCGCCGGCTAGTCATTGCGCTCCCTAGAGACAAACAACGAAACACGCTGACGCGTTGCAGTGCCCAAAGACTCGTGTATGGACATTCCCCGGAGATGCCCAGGGGAGATCAAAATCTCTGCCCTGCGGCAATGACGACGAATTAAGCAGTGCAGCCGAGGCACGTCACCCCTGACGCAAGGGGCAGTCGTCAAAGAAGCGCCACCTATCACAACTACCGTGAAACAAACCCAGATCCCGGCGAGGCAAATCTGGATATTGATTCTGCCGAATAAGACGGACTCCATTGGTCAATTGGCGCGACAAGACACGCAAGCCTCTCGGGGCCATGTGGGGATGACTCGGCCGGATGGCGCCTCCCACATCCCGGGGCATGAATTAGGTTCAAGGCACTAACAGCGTCACAGCCGCCACTGTCTCGCCCTATTTATGGCTCATGGTTGGAATTGCAAGGACTGCGCCAGGCTGCTCGTGTGGCGATGCCGAGGCCTCTTATACTGACGTTGCATTCAAAGAACGTGTGAAAAGGGAAAAGTTCTTGGCTTAATCAAGAGGCGCAAATTACCCTACAGTCGTCGGCCTCCACTATGCACGTCTTTCATATCACCGCCGTCGTGGCACTGGTCTCCCGCATCGCAGAGATAGCTAAAGCTTAGATATGTAGCAGAACGATTGAGAGGGAACGCATTGAGGAGCAGGAGTCGACTGTTATGATAACGCACCAGATGAGAAACAAAGTAACAATGGCAACTCGGAAATGTGTTAAAACCCTTCTGGGGCTGGGTTTGGGCATCAAGCTTCGGGGGAGACAATCTACAGCACCGATCCAACAAGAGGTATTCGTGATTAAACCACGACAGCAGGAAGCAGAACCCCCGACAGACCGAAACAACGTCCCTTCACCCTTCCATCCTTCACTCAGTCCTCTTCAAGTTCATCCAAGCCCATGAAGTGATGAGGGAGGTGATAGAAATGAGATGCTCGACCACCAACCACTCGTTTGACGGACGACCACTTTGGGCAGAGCTGCAAGGCTGCCGTGGAGTGTAGTTCCACTAAGCTCATGACGGCTGTGTGGGTGCCGTGACCAGCCTCGTCCGCTTTATCGAAGCCCGAGATGGAAATAAAGACGGCTGAACTGATTGACAACCGCAGGATCCCATGTGGTTGGAGCACTGAAAACGAACTGGATGGTGGCGTGGGCCACGACTTGTTGCGTAAGACCTCACTACCTAGTGAGACGTCTAGACAGCTCTATGTGCAAAAACTTCAGATAATCAACAAACAACTTTCAGACTATCTCTTAGTCGGCCCCCGCTCGTCCAAGGTTAGTCTTGAACCATTCCTTGACTATTAGGTTGGCGGTAGTGCTGTGGATGTCGAGCCCCCAATACAGAGGCTCCCTCAAGTGTCAGCATAAGAGATCTTGGACGGCACCTTCTCGATGCTGCTGTTTCCCCCCCAAAGCAGAGGGTTTATTTTGTCATTGCCGGGCTGATGGTATGTCACCCCCGTGGCTGTGTTGATGCTTTTAACAAGTGTCCGAACGAGTGGGGGAAGAGAAGAGAGGCAGGGTTCCTACCGCTCATGCCAAAATCGATTCCGACGATCAAATAAACCTCCATCTTGAAGAGTTGGAAGGGTTGCTCTTGGGAAACAAAGAGTGGTGAGGGCGCTGCTCGAAGAGGGCGGGAAAATTGGTGGTGACACTGTGGATGGGAGAGGAGCCAGGCAGGCCTTATAAGCCACGACATTGACCGAGTGTTGATGTCTGCACAAGCAAAGAAGCAGGTAGCTACAACATACGGTGGCAGAGATAGACCGAAAACCTCCGCGATTTCCTGCTCATGCCGTGCTGTACTGTACGTCGATGGCAGCGTCCGCACGTCACACTTGTAGGGCTTCCCAAGCTGGTTAGTCCAGTTGGGGAACTTGCCGTACACCCTCTAGGGTCTCGCTAGTCATCACACCTCCTCTCTCAGGCCACTATACAAACAACAATACAACTATCAATACGTTGGGTAAGCAATCAACCAAGCCACGGCACAAGTGCCCTCTGGTCATGCAGCCAACGCCTCATGCAAGGGGGTAAGTAACTGCGCCTGTTTCCTGGTGTTGTCTCGACCGGTGGTCAAGTACTTGAGTAGGCTAGAGTCGCCAGTAGACTAGAATGTTTGACTGACCATCATCAGCCTTTGTGTGCCCGGCCCTTGATGGGTTAACTGAGCCCGAAGATCGTGTCTTCTTCACCTACACTTCAGGGTTGTCTTGCCTCTTCGTTTCTTCCTTCTCCTCACCATGGGTCTCACTACCGCCCAGGCCATTGGCATCGGGGTAGCTGTTGGCTTTGTTGGAGCCCTGAGTCTGATGATGATACTCTTGTGCATATCCCGTTGCTCATCCGCCGAGACCGTCCCCTCTGGCCCTATCATCATACCTGCAGGGACTCCACCCCGGGTCAAGCAGCTTAAGCCTAACCCCCGGGTCTTGACTGCGCCTCGCGATCCGGCTTCTTTCAGAAACCCATCACCAACTCGCACAGAACGCTGTCCGACCGCGTGGAGGTTTTCAGAACCGTCCACCAAATCAGCCAGGGCGTCGATTTCGAGAAAAAGCTCCGAATTTTTGTCGAGAATTTTATTATAAACAATCACCACCGGGAACAGCCTCATGTCTCGCCATCCATCTTTGATGAAGATGAACTTGTCCGCCTCGCAGGAGAGCCCGCCAACGGCGGGACTTGGTCCGAGACCATCTCCAACGTCGCCACAAGGGGCGCTGCAGTCAAGTGCTTCCTTGCGCAACTCATCTTTAAGCGCATGCATCCCAGCTGCCCCGTTCAAGAGTCCCTACTCGCTCCAGAGATTTCAAGCTGTTATCAACTCGTGTGCAGAATCTATCAGAACCCGGGCAGTAGGTTAATCCAATAGCCTTTAGTCCCAGAATAAAATCCAGTATTAACCGGGCCATAGGGGAAAACATTATTGGTGTTTGGCGCGAGTGTGTGTATCTTTTGCAAGCATGTCCTTGGCATCTCGACCATGTCCCGTCCTGGCGTTTTTTTGGAAATGACCCTCGGAGAGAGAGAACCTGGGCTATGGTCCCCGATATTGTTAATTCCCTACGCCTTGAATCTCTCCGAAATGATTTTCATCCTAAGGAGGGTGAACTGGAGGCATGTATAGGCCAAACGCTCGAGAAGGCTGCTAATTCCGCCATGATCCTTCTCGGCCAGCCCTCTGAATGGGAGGCTGTGTGGACCTCACCTGAACCAGGATTCATTGTCTTCCCAGAGGTGAGGTTTACTTGGAACGGCAAGACCAAGTACTCAAAGCCGGCCGAGGTGGACGTCACCGTTCCCAAGCCAGTGCCTTCCGACAACCATGATCAGCCTCATGCCGCAACTGGCGAACAGCACAGTTCTGACGTTGGCTGCCAGTCAGATGCTGACGCTGATGAGCAGCAAAAGCATGTTGGCGCTCAAGCGCTGTCCCTTGACACCTTTCAACAAACTGGAGCTGGGAACGCCGACTAGTGACGGATGGAATCAGCAACCCCCCTTACTCTTCTGTTCTCAATGTAGTACTAGTTCGTGTTTGCGCTCGAGGTATTTTATCCGAAATTGAAAAGCATCATGTTGAATAAGCTTTGTCTACTCCAGTTTCCATTGCAATCACCTCCCATTCCGTGTCCCTTGCTCCAGTCCACCCTGACCCCCCCATCCCCATCCCTATCCACCAAGTTCAACATTTTAGGTGTCGTGAAATGTGACAGCAGCTGCCCAGGCTGGACCCCCACTCATGTGGTGCCGGCCCGTGGTGCGTGATGCCCTCAAGGGTTGGTCTTGCGGGCCAGTTCGGATATCGCGCTTCTCATCCAGTCAATTCGACGCGCAAGGCTTGACTGGGTGGATTGGAGGCTAGAGACGACGTCGCATCCGCTGCTCAAACCTGATTCAAGGCTAAAGATCCGTCACCTTGTGCTTGAAAGAACCATTTGTACTTATTACCTGGTCTTGGAACAGACTCTGCCGTGACAAAAGGCAGCGTCCATCTCCACTCACTCATATTATACTGTAAATATGTATGCGTTTTCATTCTCAAAGGTTGCGCTCGCATTCTACCTGATTGCGATAGTTTTGAACCACGACTGTCACCATTTTAGCTGCGAACAAGAATGAGGAAGGGGTATACTACCAACGAAGTACTGCCTCTGGTCCTTGGGGGCCTGTATTTCTGGCAACTTCGGCGGCAGTCTAAGTCTTCATCTATTTTAATTATTCAGCCACAAGTCCCAAGTCTAGATTAAAACAAAGTGAGACATATACAGGCCAGGCTAAATTCTACATGTTGAGTACTGCTTTCGCCCTCTTGAGGCACGACAAGCTGTCTCGCCTGCAGTTATGAATTGAAGCAAGATTCATTCAGCAATCAAACTTGAAACACTCAGCAAAGGGAGCTATACCATAAACCGCCTGGGCTCGCGCTATCTTACTGCTTATCCATCATGATGCGTTTTGGCAAGCAGGGGTCTATCCATGTTTCCAGGGCTGAACCGGGTCATCAATCTCACCACGGTCTCTCAGGCATGCTTTAAATACCCTCATTCTCCGCCCTGGTCCACGGACCACACCAACACACAAAACAGCGCTGAATGATGCATGGCCTGTTGTATTTCATCGCCCTCGGCGGCGTCGCCATCGCAAAGGACCAGGTTTCCTTCCCGGCGACTGGCGAGTTCGACGTCGTCTTCCCCCGCAACGACACATACGCCGTCGAAGCTCCTTTCCCCGTCATCTTTGGGTTTCAGAATGCCCCAGTTATGCTCTCTTTTCCGACCCAGATCAATTGGGAGGTCACCTGCGGCTTTGGCACGTTGTTTGGCATCAACCGGTTCCAGGGCGAACGGAGCATTGCTCCCCCTTCCAACCCGTACTTTTACATCAACTCGAGCCGTGCACTCATCAAGGCTGAGGAGGGAGATCAGTTCAAGTATTTCAGAAGCGACCACGATACTTGTGTGCTTACGTGGGAGCTGTTTTACTACACCATCTGCGAACGGGAGCCGGATGGTTCTCTCAAGATCATGGGAGGGTATTTCCCGAAACGCACCGGAAATGTCACCTTCACCCTGCGTCCGGGAGCAAAGTCGCCACGAGAGGCCATCGCCAACTACGATGGGTGCGCTGTGGCTGGTACAGCCGTCAAGGTTCAGTCCAACGAGACTGGATGCGCCCACATCGCCGAAGATGCAGCACCTAAGCCGAAACCCTGCGAGTTGGATGTCAAAGGTGTTGCGAGCAGCCTTGCTGCGGCCGTGGTGAAGCCAACCACTAGTTTGACGGCACTCCCAAGTACGACGACAGAGGCTGGATCTTCGAGGACGGGCCTTGGCAGTGCATCGGAACCGACTACCACCGGAGGGACTTCAGGAGGATCAGGAAGTGGAGATGAGGGTTCGAACAACAGCGGCGATGACGATGATAACTGGGCTACGCAGAGATTTACGATTAGCGGTGGAAAGTTGACGCTGACGTTGATTATTGTTGCGGTGGCTGTTATTCCGATCATGTTGTGATGATGAGATGCCACGATTTGAATGAGAAAATATAGCTGAATATGAATATCAAAAACGCACCAAATGTCGACTACTAGAATTATTCTCAAAAGTGTCATGCAACAGGTGCTAGGAGGCGGTTCCAACACCTACTATTCGTAAGTTGCAGCTAATATTGCCCGGAGGCTTGACCTAGAAGATGTTGTTCGGAAACTCTATTGAAAACTACAACTGCAATACCTTCAAGTTGCCACCAATCTATATCCAAGGCTACTTCCAGTCGTGAAACTCGGGAGCACCAAGTGTTGCAGTAGGTGTCTCCTGACACAGCAAATCATCAACTTTGTGACCAAGCCTCAACATCGAAACATATGTGAATCCTCCTTGCGGATCGCCATTCCCTTGATAGCAAGCACCGCAACTTCCCACGCCATCAGAATTCCAACTAGACCCATTGTAACCGTGTATAAAAACATGGCGTCAAGATCATAGTGAATCATTCCCCTGACAGTATCGCTGCTCTGCATCTCGAGTTAGTCAGAAACTCTCGCAATAAGGGGGATAGACTCACGCTAGCCATGAATACAACACCACCCGCAATCAGGCCAAACGATGTCAAAAGCTCAGTCGGTGGGCGCGAGGGTAGGATCGATGATGGGGGTCGGATATACATGATGATATAAGTCAAACACCTGGCAACTGAGGCGCCAAGGAGTAGCTGGCCCCATTGCTTGTGAACCATAGTTGACGTCATTGTAGTTTGGTGATGAGAACTCATCATGGTGCCTAGTAATGCGATGACCAACGCCGGGATGGGGTTGAGAGAGAATCCGTAACTTGGAGGAGTGCGAATCGGGGTTCTAACTTCGCCGAGAAACGCCTCGTGTGAATGTAGTGTCGTATTGAGTAGATCTCTGATCCTGGTGGATTCGACAAGCATACCGCACTAGTATAACATCAGCCATGGTCTAGCAGAGTATGATATTTAGCTTTATCACTCTTCATCACCGAGACTTACCAAGCCTCCACCGAGGAAGAGCACAGTGATTGCCAGATGTTCCAAGTCGCGAGCCCCCCATTTTCCATCTGAATTACCCAAGTGCTCAAGAAAAATGTTTGTCGATCCGTAGATGAAAATGAGAAAACTTTCGACGAATTCAGCCGACAGCTGGTGTTTTCGGCTCCTTGGTCGCATGTTCCAAGCCCAGCCCAGGTCAGCAAAGCTTCCCGCCCAGCGTCCAAGGTTGAACAAGCCAAGCCAGAAGAAGACACCACCTTTGATCCAGTGTGCCAGACCATTGAAGACGGCGTCACCTTCCTGCAAGTAACTAGATTAGTATGTAACTTGATCTTTTTATCTTGACAAAGCAGTTCTTACAAAGAATCTTCCGAATGTCGCAATCCCGGAAGTGAAGGCTATGAAACCAAAAGGTAGGATGATTCGATCGGTGACTTTGTAGCCGTAGCTCATCCAAGTTGACAGCGATCTGACTTGAGAAATGGCGCGGGTGGTGGAGTTGATCACAGTTGAAAAGAGTCCTTGACGGTGAGATGGCAGATCTCTGGAGTATTTGAGGGCGTCTTCGTCGTACTCCTCGGCATGGGTCGTTCCGGAACTACTGCCTATTGAGTCGCTAGAAGCTCTACAAGGCCCGCCATTGGATGAATTCTCATCCGATGCATCGTTGTAGTTATAATCGGTCGTGATTGTTGCAAGAGGCACAAAACTCTGCTCCTCTGCACTCGCATGAGTCCCTGAGATAGAAGTGGTGGACTTTCTGCGTGCCAGGAAGCCCACAATAACATGAGCAACCATGACTGCCGTGATTATCCAGCCAATCTTGTGATGGACATTATTAGGGTACAAATCGGGAGTGCGAGTATTGTAAAATAGTGCCAGAAGAAGGCCGAATCCGTTGAAAGCCATGAAGGCAAGTTGAGCTGCCAACGTATACCGTGAGGAAGCCAGAGAAAGAAACACAGCTGAACATTTGTGAATTTTCAGTCAGTGATATGTCTTGCGTAGAAAGAGTATACGTACCGACTGGTAGGATTACAATCCAAGCAATCGTCATGAGTGCAATGTGAGAATATATGAGACCAGAATTGTCCGAGAGAGTAAAGTACGTTGGAGGACCGTTGTCAAGTTCATCCTTGATTCCTTGAATGGTATCGCTCTCATCTTGTCCTCCATGGTCATGCCCATGCCCATGACCATCGGCAAGAGCCCGTGAGACGTGGGTCAAGAAAATCACCGGGCTCGAGCCCAGAGCCAAAAACCGAGACGTCATTTACACTTACAGAGTCGTTGACTGACTTGGAACGTCCGCGGCTAATTAATTGCAATAGAAGGAGAGTGTTTGAGTTCGCAGCCAGACTGGAAAGCAGAAATCTCGTCTAAAATTTAAGGGTCGATCATGTAGACTCGGTTGTGGAACTTGTGGTGGTGACGACTGAAGTTGGCGAGATGGTGAGTAGGATTTCTCACTCATTCTACTCTTTTCATCTCTACTTATACTATACCGTCTCTCTGAAAGTCTACGGGCAATGAGAACGCCGTTGAGCATCACAAAGTCCGTGGGGATCACCGTAAGATGGCACCAATTAGCTGACAAACTCGATCAAGTCCATGTTTTTGCGACGCCCACTCATGATTGGCCACAGCTGGAATGCAGCGTACGCAGCGTGGCACAGTCAGACGCAAGGTTAATTCAACAACCCTCTTCGTCGCAACAAAATTTTCTCTTTTTGTGATTGCATTCATTTCTAATCATCGTTAATACAAGGCTGCATCACCTGCAAACAGCGACGCGTCAAATCTTACGAGGCGAGACTACATGCCGCGCATGTCAGCGCCTCCGTCTTCATTGTAGAGGGTACAGGGGCCAGGTACGGTACTCTGAATGTATCATTGCTGCATCCTACTTCTTTTGACTACAAACACTATGATGATAACCAAAAATGCACATCTGTATATCCTCTAAAAAAACCTACTTGTAGCGTAAGCTACAGTTGCCAAGCTTTACGGCCCACTCATAAGAATCGCACCCTTCCTAATCTCCCTGGCTAAATACTCCGCCTTGACATCTGCAGACCCTCCCGGCGATCCTGATCCCTCCATGTAATTGCCCGGCTCTGTCGGGAGATGCAGAAGCGTGGCGACGCGTAGGAACTGGTCACGGATCCACTCCCGCTGTCCAGGTCTGAGAAGGCTCGCAATCACCTCGCCGTCGTCTTCCGAGAAGAGCGTCAAACAGCGGCTCAGCGGGTGCATGGCTCGCCACGGCCCTTGCGCGATGACATGACGTCTATGGTCGTCGTTCGATGTTACCCCATTGAGACTACCCTGGCTAGGGAGCAGAATTGTCGGGTCAGTAAAGTCCATAAGGGTAGACCGGGTAGTTCGGTTGCCAAGGTGGAAGGGTATGCTGTAGCACACGCTGTCCACCACTTCTTGGAGTCTCTGCTGGCAGTTGACAAAATCTGCTGGGTCATCGAGGAACTGCCCGTATGCAAAGCCAAAGCGGCCAAGACCCGAGAATGCACCAAGGCAGCCGAGTGTAATCTTGGCCAACACGAGGCGTTGGAAACGCCAAAGATTCCAAATACTGGCAATTTGGCACGAAGGATACACCTCGCAGATAGACTGGTATGTGGGTATAGACGAATCGATATCCCGACCGCTTATCAGCCTTGACGGCCTCCAGTGATCCGGCACGTTTGCAGCCCACGCCAGCAGTTCTGCGTCAACTCTTCTTGCTTCGGCCCTCCACTCTGTTAAAACGTGCTCCAACGACGTTGTGGAACCACCTTGGGTTACAAATTGCGTGTAACTGGCCTGTAGCTCGGCTACTGACGCGCCTATGGCATCGAGCGCTGAGCTGGGGTTATCTGGCACAGCCATGGCATCCTTGCTCCCAATCCAAGAGTATGCGATGCTCTTTAGTGGCTTCTTCTGACGCATGGCGGTTGAAACCTCGGTGTGTAACATGAATTTTCGTAGGTAGGCGCGCACCGTCCCGTCCATGGCGTCTGTGTCCACAAATGATAGCAAAGATGCTGCGCCGTTGTGGTGCATTCTCGAGGCCCTGCGAAGATCATATACCGCAGAAGCATTCTCATATGTCTGTAGCACCAGTATGGCTAGCATAGTTGCCGGCATGGCACGTTCGGTGGGATCCTGTATTGCGGTCCGAAGGCGTGTGATTGCCCGGGAATAAGACCCCTGTGGTAGTCGGAAACTGTTGGTGTCTCCCCGCCACATGGACAAGATCTCTGAGGCCAACGCCGAAACAGCGAGCGAGAGGGCTGATTCTTGCTGCTGCGAGAAGTAGGCCGGAATGAGCATTTCGAAGAAACCTCGAGTGGATCCCATATCCCGACCTATTCTAGCGTAATGACCGAGAAAGAAGGGCACAGCGGTGTCGGGCTCAGAGGGTCGCCGTGAAGTCAAGGCTCTTGCAACCTGCCGGTGCTGAACATCAGACTCGGAGGACTGGCTCGGGCTAGTTGCAACCTTTACGACATCCCGGTCATTGGAATCGACATCCTGGTTGGTATTGGTGCAAAACTTGTAGTTCTGGTCTCTGAATCTTAGTTTGGCATACTTGGGCTTTGGCTTAGGCCTGTTGTAGCCACCGCATCGAAGCTTGAGGCGCTGACAAGATCGGCACTCGGGCTTCGCCTCGTCGCATTTGACGCGGCGTTCCTTGCACGTCACGCAACCTCCAGAGCGTCCACGGTTGACCATTTTGACAGGGAAGCGATGATGCCGAAAAGAGAGACCTGGGCGTGATAGACAAGTGAAGTTGCAGTAATAAATAAGCTTGCTGTGGGGGGGCATCGTCATCGGGTATCGTAATGCGTGCACAGCCGGGTTACATCCGGTAGTAGGCTCGGTCGGCTGTGGGAACAACCAATGAGAAGATGCCGTCGCAAAAATGCACACTCGATGCGGTTTAGCATGAGAAGGGCCCAATTACGTAGGACGCCTTCGATCTGACCGGGGCGATTGTCACCGTACCGACGTGTAAGTGACTCTAAGAGAAAGAAACAAGTATAAGAAGAGATGAAAGGAAGACGAGAAATAAGGCAGATCACTCAGAAACAACAGACAACACATTCACAAGCAAGAAAGCCATCACAATTTCCCTCAAAGTCTTCTTTTCACTCCACCATGAAACTGCATTCTTCCGCCTACACTGGCCCATTCCTGGCCACTCTGCTGAATGCTCATGTAGCTTCAGCAGTGTACGACACCTCCAACAGCTCTATACTTCTGTTGAGCAATGACTCGACCTTCAACTTCGACTTGTTGACCCCTCTCGGCGAGGCCATCACCGGAGGAGCCGACGTCGGGCCTGTTCTTGGTGCAGCCAAAGATATCGAAGCTGGAAACATGACATCCTTTATCGACGTCTTCTATAAGCTCGCCAACGATACCAAGGCTCAGGCCGAAGACCCGGAGAACGCTTACGACCCTGTCAATGTCAGGGAGACGTGGTTCTCTACCGCGGGGTACTTCCGCAGGGCTGATGTCTATACCCACGGTAACTGGAGCAACCCGCTCATCAACACCATTTGGGACGAGCAGATCAAGGCGTTCGACAAAGGGATAGCTGCTCTGCCTATTCCTGGCAAGCGAATTCGCATTCCGGCTACCAAAGCTAACTTCACCGTCGATGCTATTTGGTACTCTGCTTCCGAGAGCGAGCATGACAAGCTGCCGACATTGATCATCGGAAACGGCTTCGACGCTGCGCAGGAGGACTCTTATCACAACTTTGTCGCACCCGCCCTCGCCCGAGGATGGAACTGTATCACTTATGAAGGCCCGGGACAGCCAACTGTGCGTCGTAACCAGAACATTGGTTTTATCCCCGAATGGGAAAAGGTCGCCACCCCTGTTGTGGATTATGTCCTCTCAGAGAAGAAGAACGTCGTGGACGAGAATCGTCTCGCCCTAATCGGAAACTCCTTCGGCGGCTACCTGGCAGCCCGTGCCGCAGCCTTTGAGCCTCGCCTTTCTGCGGTTGTCCTCATTGACGGCGTATGGGACAATTACGCTGCATACACAAAGGAGCTGTCATCTGAGATGCTCGAAATCTACGAGGCGGGCAACTACACGCAGTTCGACGACGTTGTCCTTTCAGCTCTGGAGGCCGGGAAACTTTCCACTGGTGCCACCTGGGGTCTTGAACATGGCATGTGGGCGCTCCACACGCACTCTCCTGCTGATTTCTTCACCCAGGTCAAGCAGTACAACGTCGAGTCTTTCATTGACAAGATCAAGATTCCCGTGTTTGTTGGAGATGCTGAGTTGGAGAGCCTCTATGTCGGTCAGCCGAAGCAGGTGGCGGATGCCCTGGGCGACTTGGCTACTCTGCATACTTTCAAGGGGGTTGCTGGCTTTCATTGCCAGACTGGTGCTGGACAGGAACTTTCGAGGACGATTCACGCGTGGTTGAACAAGGTTTTGGGCCGTGGTCAGTGAGATTAGTGCTCAGATGAAGGTGTTACACTTCTGGGAGCCAGACAGCATACTTAGCCATACTGTCACATGGCATCCCTCATGTGTCTCTGGCAAGGGTGGTTATGTGATCTATAGTATTAGAATTGGATGAGATATACTTTGGAGGATCCCTACTTTGTCCTTATCGAGGACAGTATAAAGTCAACAAACTTTAGTCATTCGTTTAATTAGAAATAGAGAACTTCTTTAACTCTAACTACATCCCCAAACTTGAGATACTGAAATGTGACATATTAATGAGATGCAATAAGAACTCGACAAGATTTACCCACCACTTGAAAACCGAAAAGGCCCTTCCACTTTGCCTCGGAAAGGCATTCTTAGCTAGAGCATCTACTCATCAGGCGTGTCCCACCAATTCCTACTCTTATCCTTGGTCAGCTGAGCAAGACTAACCGGCATCTCATCAACATTGTCCCCCGTTTGTTCAGATTCTGACCCTCCAGCTCCATCACCCAATGAAAGATTAGACATGTCCTTCTGCAACTGCGTCTTGTGCTCCATTTGAAACTTCTTTGTTAGTATGAGAGCGTGTAGCTGTTGCCAGCTCTGTGGTAATGTCGTGGGATCCAACTCGGTATCAACAGAGGTACCCTGCTGCTGTAGACTTGATGCCGTGTTGAAGAGTGTGTATCCAAGCCTCTCTATGTTCTTCAGCTCTTCGTATATGTCTTGGTTCATCGTGTTCTGTGCAAGAAAAACCTGGACGCTCTGTGCAAATCTTGCAAACACCAATGCGATTGGCAGCGCGCCGTCTGACATGCCAAGGCTGGATGGCAGTGACGGTAGTTTGACCATCTTGTTAAGGTCGCTCTGGTAGTCTGATTCCAAAAGTGCAGATACGACATCGACGTTGACAGTCATGATTGCTGCTGTGAGGGGAGTTCCGTGCTCTTCATGAACGGCATGCCCCTTCAAGCTCTCGGGCGTAGGGAATAGCTCGAGTATTCGGTGGATAATTCGTGAGGATATTTGCTGCCGAGAGTTCATCCGGCCTGGATCGTGTAGAGCAAGCATGTGCAGGACACTGAGCTCTTTCGTCAAGTCCACGAGGGGTTCCAAGGCTATAACACCCCCCTCGTGCTTCTTTGCCAAATACTCAATCGCCAGTAGCGAGGAGTAGGTGTGAGACTGCAAGAGGACCCCCAAAATAGATAAGAAGCCTCCTGTGGGTTCCCACTGGTAAAAGTGGTTCACGCTCTCACCAGCACCGTTGTCCAGAAGGAGTTCAGCAAGGGGGAAGTAACCGTTCTTGATAGCTGATGCCAGGGGCGAAGGTCTTTCTCCATCTGCTGCTTCAACCGGGATCAGATTGTCGATCAAGAACTGGGCAATGGATAAATCGTCAGGAGATGTTCGTGGCTTTGCAGCAAAAGTTTGAAGAAGCGACTCTTCCTTGTCGTCAAAAGATAGCTTGGCGTCGTGAGAGATGAGTAGCTCAAACATGTCCCTATTGTTCGATCGGACAGCTGCAGCCAAGGGACGACGGTCTGGTAAACCGTTGACATCATGGCCCAGCTCAAGTAGGGCGTGAACAATATCAAGATTGCCCAGCTCAACTTCCCTGCATAAACATCTTGCACTCTTTAGCACCCAATCTGTTCGACCCTGCGAATCTGGATCTTGGCTTTTGCGTCGATCGTGAAGAATCCTGAGGGTACAGGAAAGCCATTCTTTGTAACGTGCTCCACAACGTACAAGTCTGCTGTGAAGTGTCAAGGGGTCTGCTGCTCCTTTATCGGACATGTCGCGTGCCAAATTGAGCAGATCTAACTCGTCAAGCACCTTGACCTGACTGTCTCTACCGTCTTGACAGTTGAGTAGCTCTTGAAGAATTTCGGGAAACGTCAGTAGGGCGGCAAGCTCAATGGGCGACAAGTTCACAGCCTCTTTTCGAGTGGCTTTCTCCATAGGATCCGCAGAGCCAATTTCGAGCAAAGTCTTGACGGCAGTCAAGCTGTTATTCAGAACAGCCCGGCCTAGTGGTGTCATAGATAAGTTCAACCTGTCTTCCCAATCGGAAAAGATCCGGCGAACATCCTTCCTCATGGTGTCAGTCATCCTCGACATATCTGCCCCAGCGTCGACAAGACGCTTCGCAGTGAGTCTCATCTCGGCTCTTCCAAATCTGGAGATCCAGTGGAGGGGTGCTTCTTGACCAGACTTTGAGCCGTTGGGATCGGCTCCGTTTTCAAGCAGGAACTTGGCAGAGTCGTACTGTCCGGCTCTACAGGCGCAGACTAAAGGAGTTTCGGAGAATGACTGGTTTGGGAGGTTGATGTTGCATCTGTACTTGCTCAGTAGATATCTGAGAGCGTTGACGTCGTCGACGGCAGCGGCGTAATGAAGAAGGCCATGTCCACGCTGGTTGACGTATATCTTGTCAAACCTGGATGTCTCTGATTCTTCCTGTGATTCATCGGAAGACCGAAGACAAGATTCATACTCGGCACCCAGTTCCATCCGGATATCCTCATCCAGAGCTTCAAAGTTGGATAGATCCCATGTACGACTCATCATGCGGGGCGCATAATGGGGCATTCCAGTTCCGCCCGTCAACTCTTTGTTTATCGAGACTGCCTGTCTAATGCGTGACTGGACAGCCGTTGCTTGGTGTGGGTTAGGAAAATGAGGCATCACCAACTCACTGTCCTCAATGCAATTCCGATGTCCACGGACGATACTCCAGAACAAGTCATCAACCTGTTCATCTGTGGTCAGAGGACAAGCCACGCCCGCTGCGTTGCAAAGTCTGGTCAACCAGGCCTTGGCCAGATAATCAGTATCTGCGCACTCGAAATCCGCCTTGGATGCTTTCCATAGCCAATGGCAAGCTCTTTCGAGGTTAGTCGTCATTCCAAATCCGCTCAGGCATGCTTGAAAGAGATGGTATGATGCTGTCCATGGTTGAATCTCGGCCGATTCCTCCTCAAACGACGAAGACTCGGCAAGCTGCTCCAGTTCTCTCACCATCGCAACTTGCTGAGACCAGTCCAAAAGTGTTTTGAGTCTGAGTGGCTCAAAGAGGAATCCACCAAGGGCAGGAGCTGGAAGATCTGGTCGACATCCTGGGAGGTTTTGCTGAGCGTCATAAGTCCCGCCATACCGGCCTCGGGCGTAGCCCAGACTGTCCATGTCGATGCCACGCTGGCCAGGGATACGGTTGCGTTCCATTTCTTTTCGGTCGGCATTCTCGCGTTCAAGAGCGAATGTGTAATCTTCGACTTGCTCCCTTGACATGCCTCGTAACCTGGCCTGAGCCTGGACTAGAGATCGTGAGGCTGGGTCGAGGATGAGTGTCGCGTTCATGGCGTCCGTAACCATTTCGACCGTCACGTCCGGCAGGGATCGTGATTTACCATATGCCTCGACCGTATCAAGAGCCATCTGAAGGAAAGTCTCAGATCTCTTGAGTTGTTTCAGTTCTGCCCTCTCGTCGCCCGACAAGGGGGAAGAGGTCTGTTTGAAAGCGATGGCGACCAACAGATCCTGGCAGTCAATAAAGGTCCTCCAAATCAGCATTCCGAACGAGTACGTGTCGGTGGCTTTAATACCATCAACAGTGAGTGCCTGGCCTGATTCGGGAGCATCGTATGGAACAGTCGTCATGCGCAGAGAATGACCAGCGTCCCGTCCAATATCCATGATTGCCCCACCGAAATCTGCGAGCTTGGCCGTGTATGGCTGATCAGGGGGGTATTCCTCTCTGTTTCTAAACACTAGGACGTTGCTGTGTTTCAAATCACCATGAACTATGCCACAGGCGTGAAGAATTGAAAGTCCACGGCCAACATCATAGCAGAGCTTTTGCTTGATCCGAAAAGGAAGCGGTGACTCGCTCTTGAGTTGGAGATCGTCAAGGGTACCAAAGTCGGCGTATTCAAGGACAAGAGTTGGAAAAGGAGACCCTGTTTCTGAAGAATGTGACCATCCAAAGTCGAGCAAGTGCACAATATTGGGATGATATCGTAGAGGTTCATGGAGCAAAGCTCGTACTTCAAGTAAAATGTCCTTCCACCTCGAGGGGTCTCTGAGAGTATACGCCACTATTTAGTAGACGCTCGAGAAATAGAAATAGACGACTTACCCGGACTGATCCCTGGCAGTCTTGATTGCAACAATCTCTCTACCATCAGTAGGTTGATTTTTCAACCTCGCCCGGTCAACAGTAAAGAAGCCACCACCCCCGGCCGGAAAGCGTGCCGTCGTCTGTATCTCATGACCATCAAAGAATTTGGTGTCATTTCCGCGACGCAGCCTCTCCTCCAGGAAGGCAACGTGGCAAGCAAACGATACGAAACCAGCTGTTGTGAGGGTTTCATCGATGTTTTGCGCCGGAACAGTTGTTCGTGCTGTCTCGGCTGAAGTGTTGGTTACGTTTGACGACTCTATTGATGACTGGCCAAGCGAGTAGGAATGATAGAATCCTGAATCCATCATCGAGGTCGAATGATTGAATCTCAAGTAGTGGTTGGTGTGATGTGCTGTTTGAGGCGTTATTGCCGTTGGCTGGGTTGAGTCAGTGGCTGACCTGGTGCCAAATCAACTGTCGTATTGAGAACTTCAAACGCCAAGACCAACCAACTGGCTATAGACAGTGAAAATAGTTATCTCGGCATCTTGGTTCAAGAGAGAAGAGAGAAGAGTCCTAGATCACAACCCTTGCATGAGTTGACCCCGCCCCGGAAATACATTATCACCGACCGAGCACCATCCCTCATCCCAGCTGGCATATGAAGGCACAGCCTCAATCTCTCTCTAGGTAGACCAACTTGCCACGTACAACACCATGGTAGACCCTGGGACAGGAATCGCCATCGCTCAGATCGCCTTCTTCGCGGCGTGCAAGGCAGTCGACGCCTTTGGCACCGCCCTCCACTACTTTGACGATGCCGAAGCCTTAACCGTGGCCCTCGAGATTGAGCGTCTGAGGCTCCAGGCCTGGGGCGCCAACTCGGGTTTGGCTGATGGTATCCTGGCGCCTCATCTTAGCCTTGCGAGCGAGGTCCTTCTTCGAGAGCTTCAGGTCATTTCTCGCATGTTTGAAGACGCGGACAAGGTTCGAGAACGATACGGCGTCAAGATCGAGGGCGAAGAATCCACCTCGAAAGCCGTGTCAAGCTTCGTAACCCGTATGCGAAAATCACTGCGGTCCAGCGGGGTTAAACTCTACGGAGGGACACCCCTGGCGATAGACGTTGAGGGGTCGGAAGACTCGGAAACCGCCAGAAAGAACAGCGGTATCTCTCGCAGCATGTCCAGTCGTGTACGATGGGCCATCAGAGATAAAGATCAGCTCAAGAAACTCGTCACTGGCCTTCGCGACGAGATTGATCTCTTGAACAAACTCTTGACCGAAACGCAAAGGAGGAGATTCGTCAACGACTACGAGCGCATCCATGTCGTTGTTGTTGGGAGCGCGGTAGACGACAAGTCTCTGGCCATGATCAGAGAAGCAGTTGACATCGATCGAGATGGAGACACTCTCGCCAAGATTGATCGGAAATCCCTCGCAGCAAATGAGAACCGGCCATCGGGAGCAAACGTCTCACAGATTGCCATGAAGTCTTTACGGCTGGCACAACATGACATCCCATCAGACTTTGCAACGCAAAACCGCTTCTTAGCAGCAAGAAAGGACGATCCCGTCATGCTATGTCTGTTTGAACGCAAGTCATTTGAACCTGACTTGGATCACAACTCAAAGATGATGCTCTGGAGTCGAGTTCAGAGACTCATATCGCTGTTAGCCTTGCCTCAATCCCCTGGCTTCAAGGTCCCACAGGCGGTTGGCTATATTCATGACCCAGAGCACTACTGTTGGTGGCTTGTCTTTCAATTTCCCCAGAATTCTAGACAAGCTCCAGGGGACTTTTCAAAGCCATTGTCTTTGTACACCCTACTACAACCAGAGTATAAGCCTCGCCCACCTCTGGAGAAACGCTTCAGACTGGCAAGCGATATCTCATCAACCTTCCATCAACTCTACAGCAGTAGCTGGATGCACAAGAGCATCCGCAGCGACAATATTGTGTTTCCTTGTCAAAACTCAGAGAGTCCTAGCGCTGGTCAGTTAGCTTCACCTATTGTCTGTGGCTTCGAGTATTCGAGGCTAGAAACAGAAGCCCAGACCATTGATCGCTCCAAATCCAATAGCGACCCTGCAGTTGCCATGTACCGTCATCCTGACTACCAAGGTGAAGCAGCACAAGGATACAAGGTCCAATATGATATATACAGCTTAGGACTTGTCCTGTTGGAAATCGGTATCTGGGCGCCGCTCACAAGTCTGTTTGATTCTAAACGTGGGAAAACATCTAGCAGCCGGCCTTCGTTATCAATAGACGTGAAACCCTTTCACAGCCCCGAAGCAAAGATTTTGAGGGAAAGAGTTAGATCGACCATTGATAAGGACTTACCGTTCCGAATGGGGTCAACATACGCAGCCTTGACACGTTGGTGTGTTGACTATAGCGAGCAACCCTCGGAGACAATGGATGAGCCGCCGAATCATGCGCTGGAATTTTACAACCGGGTAGTTGAGCCTCTATCTAGTCTTGGTCTTGGACATTCCGAAGCGGGCGGTTGAATGTTTCTATGGGTTCAGACGGATCTGATGTAGTTCGAGAAGGCTTGGCAAGGTTTCACAAGGAGGCGCAAGTGTGGTTGTACATACAGAATATTGGTCAGTTTACTGCAATCATTGCGTTTATGGAAGCACTTTTATATCGAGTGCATAGTGGCTGAAACTGACTATATACGTACCAAATGTGCCCAATCTTTCTATCGATATCTATTTTGCCCCTACAATCATCATGTTTCTATGGCAAGAAATTAGTAGCCTGCAAATCTCCTAGGGGCGGTTCTAATCCTTGTCAGACCTCAATTCACTTACCGCCGAGCTCCGAGCCTCCCAATCTCCTATCGGATTTCCCCTCTTTATTCATTGGGCAAGGTTCCATGCCATCGGCGCCCCCGATGGAGGAGTAGTTAACCGCCTGGGCCAGCCTCAGATTCTGAGCCACCGTGAAGCCTCGCGGGTTTTTATGGCTAGAAAGGGAAGGCCTTGTATGTAAACAGCGCAACGTGTTTCCTCCCCTGGCTAGACCGGATCTCGTGGTACAGCCAATGTAAGCCTGCGACGGGCAAGACGGGGCCGTATGGGGTAATATCGTCATGTGTTTGGTCAAATAGAGAAAGTCAGATCGGCTGCACCGAGTCCAACATATTACGGGCCTCTTGGCTTTTCCAGTCAGATCCTGTCCGTAAGCGCCAAGCCGGAGTGATGTTGCAGTCGATGCAGCTTCGAATTGGCTGTGCTGCGTGTAAGCTGCAATACGTCATGGTGAGCAAAAGGCTGGTACTACACTCAAAGTTACGCCTCCTCACCCACGAGTATAAAAGGAATTGCATTTGCAGCTAAACTCTCATCTCACCAGCCCCATCCACTTCAAAATCAACTACATTCATAAAAAACAACATCACAAAATGTCGTCCTTTAGATGCATCGTCCCTCCTGGTCCCAGCGCCGAATGGAGTACAGCATACCACTACTCTCAAGCCGTCGATCTCGGAAACGGCTTCTTCAAGATCTCGGGTCAAGGCGGTTGGGATGAAAACAGCGAGATCGCATCCGATACTCGGAAAGAGGTTGAGCTCACCATTCAGCACATCGACGACGTGCTCAAAGCTGCAGGCCTTCGTGGCTGGGAGGACGTGTACTACATGCGGTCCTACCACACAGACATCGACACTACGCTGCCCATCATTGCAGAGGTGCTTAAGAAGAGAATTCCGGGGCATCGGCCTGGGTCTACGGCCGCTGGGGTTACTAGGTTGGCGCTTCCGACTATGACGCTTGAGATTGAGGTTGATGCGAAGAAGCACTCGGGTTGAGTAGCAGAATTTTATTACAGAGGAGGCAGTTGTTACTCTCACATGTATTCTCCCAGAAGACTATCGTCAGCAATCCCGAACAAGGTGTTTTCCGCTGCAAGACCATCTTGGGCAACCCATGGCCCGCTCCAAGCATCCCCAGCTTGATCAGTCCCGAACAACGACGCCATGTCGGCCTGGAAGGCTGTAATATTGTTAGCCCAGTAATTCTGACCGTTTTTTATGATTTTTACCTCTCAAGTCCGGGCAGCCCGTCGTCGCCGTTGCATCCATGTTGATATTCTTAGTCACCTTCTCAATCCGACTCATCAGAGACTTGAGTAACCTCAAAGGTCGTTTGAGCCCATAGTTGCAACCACGCTGGAACTCCAATAGAGCTTGCCAGAAGAAACGAATGCATTCGATATACTCGTCGCAGTTTTGATCAGTGTGTTCCAGAATGACAAGCACCGCACAATATGTAGCATAGGAGATGCCATACTGTGCGCGTCTCAAGGTGAATGTCTTTTTGTATGCTTCAACAAGCTTCCAAATGTGCAGTGCAGCTTCGATGCAGTTCTTTCTGCTTTCTTCTCGGTCGTTGGACTGAAATGGGCTGGGTTCATGTGTCATGGGGGAACGGCCACCATCTGTAAAAGGCAGTTCGGTGAGGATTACTGAAGCCCAATAGAGCGCGCTTTGACTGTGGTTAGCGATAAATCCGGATGTACTTGAATCAATACGTACTGAGGTGTGATTTGGTGTGGTGGAGGAGTGGGATCGAGTCCTGGCTCGAACCGGAGCCAAGAGGGCATACTGTCTTTGTACTGACGCAGCAGCTCTCTGACCTCTTTTCTCTTCTGCATCAAGCTGATGTTTGGTGTTTCAACTGTCTGATTTGAAGTTCCTGTATTTTCTGTCGTGTAGAAAGTATTGATAATGCGAGATATAATACGACAGAGCTGAAGCAAACATCGGAATGTGCTTGTCGCATAGCATGGTCGTCCTCGATAAGCTGGGGCGCTGCTGTCGAAGGGTCGTGCCTCGGGATCAACGTACGGCCTCCATTCTTCCATTTCTTCATACGTATCCAGAAACTCTTCAGACACGCCGCCTGATATCTCTTTTATCGCGGGGGGACGACCCAGGAACAGAGACTGAAGCTTATCTCCGACATAGGCTGCCCAGTAGATCCTCTTTCTAATCTCGACATCAATGGGAGTGAGTTTAAAGCCTTTTCCGGCCTGTGACGTGGGCTCGATGTCCAAATGGCAACCAAGGTCCGTCATCATCCTGTAGGCGATGCCACAAAACACCCAGCCAGCGCTCTGCTTGCCACGCGGGACCAAACATGCACCACAGGTCAGAAGAGCCACTACGGTTGGTATCGTAGGTTTGTCGATGTGTTCGACTAGGAGAGACTTGAATCGTTCGTAAAAGGCCATTCCCATTGTCTGTGGGTCTTGGGGGTCTTGGCGTAGGAGAGAAGTTCGGTCGCTATATAAACTGCTCTGAAAGTAGATGGCGTTCAGCAGGAGTTTATTGACGTATGGTCCATTATGGATCAGGCTATCCATTATGGCAGGTCGGTATGTGAGGAGATACGACATATGTTGACGGTTCCAGTGCAAGTCTAACAGGTGTAGGGCTGTGTCCATGGGTACCCCGTCAAAGTCGATCTTGGATGTGATGCTTGGAGACGAGTGCAGAGCCACTTCTTCCTGCCTTCTGAGGGCAGCGTATGAAACGAGTCGATCTCTGACGGCATCTTTTGATGTCGTACGCTCTTGGCTTCCCTCTCTCTGCCTATCGGCCAAGAGCGTTCTTGAGGACTGATCGTGTAGCAAGCTGGTGGCACCATACAACTGGAAGCCATCGCCATCGTTTTCTTCGCTCCCTTGCGTGGGTTCGGGTGATAGCAACGGGTTCTCGGCGATGGGTTCAGCGCCTCTGTCCAGAGATGCCAGCACTGCGGTCGCTGCTGAAGAAGTGAGGACGGGAGACTGGCTGGGAGGTCCTCGATGTGAACTCGGTGGTGTATATTCAGATAAGAGAGAGCGCACGCTGGTGGGTGGATGGCTTGAATTGACAGGTGTAAAACTTCTTGATGAACCAACATTGTCTATCGGATATTGCTGCATGGAAAGGGACTGTCTTTGGGAGGAGGTCGCACGGTTCGGAGAATCAAGGTCATGAGATGGGGCCTGGAGATCCTTCTGTCGCATCTGCTCTTTGAGCTCCTCGACCTGTCGCTGAAGAGCCCTAACATCTTCCTTTCTGATGCGAATAGCCGTGCGCCTAGCATCTTGTAGATAGACGCATTCATCCCCTTTTTTGCAACATGCACCGCACTTTGGACGTTGCCCGTCACATTTGACCTAGAAACTCAGTTAGTTGATGACGTAGGACATGTCTGACAGCCCAACCTTCTTCTGGCGGCATCTTCTACAAGTACGACAGCTGTCGTCCTTTGGAGATGCTCTTCGTTGAGTTGGTCTCTTTTGAGATTCCGGTGATGCGAATGCCGACTCCATAGTTACTGAAATGTCCATCTCAAAAGGAGTTGGAGGTCGCGGGGACACGGGGCTTTCAATCGTGGTGGGACTCGGGTTCCTTACCCGAGGGAACCCGAGATAACTTCGGGAGCTTGGACTAGGGTCGGCTTCTATATCATCCCTTGTCAAGGACTAGGGGCTCGGGATATCCTTCCTTAACAAGTCTACTAGCCAAGTCTTATTCTTTTGAGTCTTGTAATTCTTCATTTTACTTCTCCCTGGGTCTTACATCGTATTATCGTAGACTAACCCGCTCGTTGTTGTGGTTTGTTAAACCAAGGTGCTCCAAAGTTGGACCCTGTGCCTGCTGTTCAAACCATGCCGGTGATCAAAATTTTCTGTAATAATTAGATTATAGGATTATCACACTTATTGTCTCCTTCTTAAATTATGTCCAGAGGTTATCAACGCCTCAACATCGTGTTGAAGTTCGCCCCACCACACTTCGGACATGACATTTCCGATCCGCCATTGTAGTCCCGCCACTCGGAAATAGCTTCACCGATGATAAGAGTCGCGATAGTCGGTCAACAGGCCACGCCTATTAATCATGTACAAAGAAAAAAATGTCAAAATATTCGTTTATTCGTTCCTAGGACTCGTATTTGTCATTATAATCGTCAACATGTTTTACCAGCCGTCAATAAACCAGCGAGCCTTTAGGTATAACCAAGATTTTTGGCGGCATTACTTGGCCGAAATCGCTGATCTATTCCCGAGAAACGAATTTTATGCGGAACGCACCTCGGGTACCGATATGCAGCTACTACGCCCTTTATCTTGTCAAGTTGTCAAGCATGCACGCGGATAGCTCACGGGACAGAAGCAATAAGCAAGATCGGTGAAAAAGATGAGAGCCACCGGCATTGTCCACTTCTTCCCGGCGCCTAAAACCACCTACGTTGTTTGCCATCTTATTGGCATCCTTACTGACCCCAGATATTGCTGGTGGCACCATGAAGGGGCTGACCTTGCACCCTTATCAGATAACATGTTTTTAAGCTTCCACCTCTATTATATCTTATCACAGCGTCGAGATAAAGGCGAGATAGATAAGTAAGGAGCATTTGCATCAGGATGTCAATTCTACAGCTTGTTCGCTCGTGTTGTTAAAAATAGTAGGAAAATGATTAATTCCGTGCAAGAAAGGATCGCTTCGCTCAGTGTTTAGTTACATGACAGATACCCTGCACCTCCCATTGCAGATTCGCAAAGCATTCCTCAATCGAAGCCTCCTGCATTTTCCTGTACAACTCAAACTCCTTGTTGACTTTACATCCAAGCCCCTTCTCAAAAGTCGCTTGATCGGCTGCGGCGACGTGATCCATACCACCGTCATCACCCAGGTTTGAGTGGAAGATACCAGCCGCGCTGACGGGTAGGAAGTCTTCGTACGTGATGGGTTCAAGCTGAACAGCTCCAGAGTCAATCAGCTCGTCCATATCCGTGCTGGACACTTTTGATACAGAGTCTGTGAGCTTGTAGGTGAAGTATGCGAGGTCTTGATCCCTCAAGCTCTTCGTGTCGTCAGGGAATCTCGCAAAGACCTTTGCCAGAATCTCTTCCCTTGTTTCAGGCGATACATCGAAAGATTTTTGCCGCCACTCGTTGATCAGGTCGTCATAAAGACGTCGACCCTTTGGCGTCAATGCAACACCTCGCTGCTCAATCTCTCCGAACCGCGCCTTGTGACTTCCACCAGTCTCTGCACCCTCCGAAAAAGCAATTGCTTCGTCAAGAGCGAGGAAACTGGTCTGTCTAAGCAAGATGGGGCAGGTTCTCGGGGGAGGCCCCTCAATGGCTTCTTTTGCGTCTAGGCCGTATCGCTTCATCTCGATTTGGGCAGTCTCAATGTCGAGAACGCGTGGTGTCAGATGGTTGATGTGAGGTCCTTTGAAGCAAACGACGTCTGCGATGAGCGGGTGTGTTGATCGAAGAGCTTTGTAGGTCTTCATGTCCACGGTGGATGTCTTGTGCCAGCGAAAGGTCTCGAGCGCCTCCTTGATGAACTCTCGAGCAGCAGCCTCCGACAAGGCGCCTTCAGCTTCAAACATTTCAATCAACTCGATGCATCGGGGAGTGAAAATGTTGCGTTTGCTCAGGATCTCAGTGGCTTGCTGACGCAGAGACTCATCTTGGATAAGCTCTAGGCGAAGTAGAGATGTGAAGACTCGAAAAGGGTTGTAGGCGAGCGCTTCTTTTGTAAGAGGTCGGAAGCATGTGGCATGGACTGGGAGGCTGGCGACGGTAAGATCATAGTAGCCGACGGGATGCATTCCCATTACAGAGAATAACCGACGCATCGTTGCTAGCTCTTCAGGTGTTCCGAGGCGAATTGCGCCATGTCGTTCAACCTCGATACGGTGTTGAATGTCGACATCTTTTTGACGGTTGATGTCAGACACAAGCTTCAGTAATGTGCCGTACTGAGGGACTTCGCGTTGGTACATGTGGGAAAGAGCAGAAGAGAACAGGGCCCGGATGGCATCCGGTGTCGCGGTGTCTTTCGCAGTCATGGCAGGCGATTGTGTGGCGGTGTTGGGATGATACAAGATAAGGGTAGATGA